GTCCTCCCCGTCCATACAGACAGTCTCTTGACTGGCCTTAGCCCTGCCGTAGTAGCTGCCATTGTACACCCACACCCCCTGAGGGCTTAAATGTACACCATCGTTTCGTTACCCGGGAAGTTGTCCCTTCACCCGGGCCGACTGTGTCTTAGGGGGAGCCCTCGTATACTCTCCGTCCGGCAGTTTATGTTGGTTGCTCTCTTCTGACCAAGCTTGGTTCTTAGTGCATAAAATGGGTCAATGTATGGTTCGTGGCTGAGCCTCACTGTATTAGAATGTAGGACAGCGGAGGGTGTCTCGAATGCGGAACAACTTCTGCTCAGCCCTGCTCAGCCCTCTACTCGGTCGACGGAAGAAATGATTATAGCGAAAGTGAAAGCTGGGGGTATGCAAGAGTATTAGAAATGCACGTGACAGCGTCGTGCTGGGGCTTGGTTGTTCGATGACCCCTCAGTAAAGTACGGTCTGTAACAAGCGCCAAACACACCGACTACAACACCGCAAGCGAAGCCATCGCAATTTTGTTAGAAAGCCTTGAACGGGCACTATGAGTTGCTCCTGCTGTCAGCCTGCTACGCTCCCTCAACCAAATGAACCCCCGTCCGACTCAACAATGCAAATCGATGTGGGAAGTCAAACCACCTCGCAAGTGAACGATGTAGTCAGTACAGTACGCGGCAACCCCGGAGCCGTTGAAGCCAGCAGCTTGGATATTACTGTAGAAGACGGGTGTGATAAGGGCGGCGCGCCACCGGACACAAGTTGTCAAGGTGATTGTTGCGGCAGCGTCTCGGCCAACACCAAAATTGAGGAAGCCCAAAACGACAATAACTATCCCCCACCCTCCATCCAATGCCCGGCAAATGCCTGCCGTGACAATGATTCCTCTAGATCCTCCAAACAAAAGACCTGTCCAGGAAGTTGCTGCGATGATCAGCCTTCAGAGACATGTTGCAACACGGATGTTTCACCCCCTAGTGACTTGGCCGGGGGAGATTCCGAAGAAGGTCTTGTCATTGAAGCTAGCGAGGGAGAGAACAATACTTATATGCGCGCGCATCTCCCAAAACGCTGCTCGAGCACCCTTCCATCAAGCAACTCTGCTCCTACCGAATCGGATGCACCAGAATGTTGCAGTGGCATACCTGCCCCCTGCTGCGACGAGACTTGTCTGGATCGCTTGGCTCTACGCGAGTGTGATACAGGAACGGACACCCCGCGGGTTGAAGCCACCCTACAAGGTACGTTGACTGGAGCTAGCGTATCCTACATGGGGCTTTAGTAACTTGAGCTTCAATGCAGCTGGGACATTGAAATCGGGACCTGAGAAAGATGAAGCGCCCCAACGCAGAGCCTGCGATCATCATCGACGTGCTGTTCGCGAACAGTATGCCACTACACTAGCAACTCTAGGATGTATCTGCCGTGCTCTTATTGCTCTAGGCAAAGAGACATGCTGCCTTCCTCGAGGAATGCCTTCGCCGATGAGGGAACGAAGCTCCAGAGAATCGCTGAAAAGGGTACGCTCGCGTAACTCGGTTGACTCCTGTTGCGCAAACGGCATATCTACATTTAGAGATGTTGAAGCAAGCCCAAAGCGGCGCAATGCGTGTCCCTCCGAGAAAGGTTTTATGGAGAGCTGTTCCGGTAAGACTTGCTGCAAACCTAAGAGCGCTTCTTCTAGGGATAATATCCCCGTTCTTTGCACCTCTGAAAGTCCATTTCGTGCCAGCACCAAATCCTCGAAGCTAGATAACAGAGCCTGCACCGGGATTGAGAGCAAAAACAGTGACTATATTACTATGGCCCCTGACCTAGAGAGACAGAACACGGACATCGAGCATGTCGTTCTCTCGGTTTCTGGCATGACTTGCACTGGTTGCGAGACGAAACTGAACAGAACTTTAGCAACAGTGTCAGGTGTCAGGAATTTAAAGACGAGCCTCATCTTGTCCCGTGCTGAATTCGACGTGGATCTCAATATGTCGAGTGTCAAACATGTGATGAAACATCTAGAGCGTACTACAGAGTTTCATTTTGATGTGATCACCAGCAGCGGATCGAGCATGGATATTATTACGTCTGAGGATCCGTCAACGTTCGTCAATCGGCCATGGCCAGAAGGAGTGATAGACGTATCTCCCGTCAACATGGACGAAATTCGCGTTTCATTTGATCCAGAGGTTGTTGGGGCACGCGATCTCATAGAGAAACATTGGGCAGGGGTTGCGAGGCTAGCGCCTACCCGCGGCGATTCAGCACTCGGGGCTGGGAGAAAGCATGTCCGTCAAGTCGGATATATCACACTTTTTTCTGTGATTCTTACCATTCCGGTCTTGGTCTTGGCGTGGGCTCCGATTCCCGAGCGAGAAATACCCTACAGCTCTACGTCATTGGCTCTAGCAACGCTAGTTCAAGTTATGGTCGCAGGCCCATTTTACCCAAAGGCGCTGAAGGCTCTTATCTTTTCGAAGGTCATTGAGATGGATCTCCTTATTGTTCTGAGCACCAGTGCAGCTTATATCTTTTCCCTTATCTCGTTTGGCTACCTCGTTGCTGGCAACTCATTGTCAACAGGCCAGTTTTTCGAGACCAGCACACTTTTGGTCACCCTAATCATGGTTGGGCGTTATGTTGCCGCACTTGCCCGTCAGAAAGCAGTCGAGTCGATCTCTATTCGATCACTTCAGAGCCAAAATGCTGTCCTGGTGGACGGTTTCAACTCGGTCGAGGGTAGGGAAATCGACGCCAGGCTTTTGCAATACGGCGACATTTTTATGGTGGCCCCCGATACGAGGATTCCGACCGATGGTACCATTATGTCTGGCTCATCTGAAGTGAACGAGTCAATGCTCACTGGGGAGTCTCGTCCTGTCGAGAAGGGCCCTCAATCCCGCGTTATTGCTGGGACAATCAATGGCTCAGGAACTTTACTTGTCCGGGTCACTCGACTGCCCGGCGACAACACTATCACCGCCATCGCTGCAATGGTGGATGAAGCTAAGCTATCCAAACCAAAGATGCAAGAACTGGCAGATAAAGTGGCTTCTTACTTTGTCCCTGTCATTGTGGCCCTGGCCATTGCTACGTTTGTCGTCTGGATTGCAGTTGGTGTGGCGGCCCAAGGTAAGACCGGATCAGAAGCAGCCGTTCAGTCGATCACCTACGCCATTACCGTGCTTATTGTCTCCTGCCCCTGTGCTATTGGCCTCGCCGTTCCCATGGTGGTTGTATTTGCAAGCGGTATTGCGGCAGAGAAAGGGGTGGTCTTTAAGTCCGCTGATGCCATCGAAGTAGCCTATAAGACGTCTCACGTGGTTTTTGACAAAACAGGAACTCTGACCCAGGGTAAGCTAGGTGTAGTCGTCGAACACTGTCTTGAGGACGGTGAATCACGATTGCCCTTCCTCCTAGGCCTCATCAGCAACAACAAGCATCCGGTCTCAGTTGCAGTTGCTGACCACCTAAGGCGCAAAGGAGTTATTGCAACAGCTTTCCCAGGAGCCAAAAGTCTGACCGGCCGAGGCATGGAGGGTGAGATGGCTGGGCAGACGATGCGAGGAGGAAATTCTCGCTGGCTCAATGTCCAAAACCACCCACTGGTACAGCCAGTGCTTCTCCAGGGCTATACTGCGTTCTGTTTTACCATCGACGGTGTACTGTGTGCGGTTTTTGGCCTCGAGGACTCTCTTAGGGATGACGCTTCTCAGGTCGTCACCACTCTACTAAGACGGAATGTGTCAGTCCACGTGGTATCGGGTGATGATGTCGAGCCCGTTCAAAAAGTGGCATCAATCCTAGGGATTCCAGACAGGAATGTCCAAGCCCACAGCTCTCCATCTGACAAGCAGTCCTATATTAAGAATCTTTTGGGAGATCCATCGAATGTTAAGGAGCCCGTTGTCATATTTTGCGGAGATGGAACCAACGATGCCGTCGCGCTAGCGCAGGCTACTGTCGGCATTCACATGAATGCAGGCAGCGACATTGCGCAAGCTGCTGCCGATGTGGTGTTAATGAGGCCAGCTCTATCCGGGATCATTACTGTAATGGATACGAGCAAAGTGTCTGTACGGCGCATCAAATTTAACTTCGGTTGGAGCTTCATTTACAACACATTTGCCGTGCTTCTTGCTGCCGGGGCATTCGTGAAAGCTAGGATTCCCCCTGAATTCGCCGGGCTGGGTGAACTTATCAGCGTGTTGCCTGTCATTATCGCCGCAGCCCTTCTGCGATGGACCAAGATCTAGTTTGGACTACATGCACTTCACGTCAGTTGTAACTCTGGGACGTGCTGGTTCAGTGGCTTGGTAGTCTCACATATGGAGAGCTGGGGCATCCAACGTGCTTCCACCGAACAATTCACCCGTTTATTTGTTTTCAACAAACATTCCCATCCCCCTTCCGATGAGTTTCAGAATAGTTATCCCATCTCACCAAGTTGTTAGTGAATATCACACCGATTACTGTTCTACTGGCTCCAAACTACCTATTTATCGCAGCCTTGCAGCCTTCGTCATGTAATAGGTAGATCGAGACGAAGGCTACGGAAAAGAAGAAAGAAAGTGGGCGTGGATCAAGCTAAATCGCCAGATCTCCTCCCCCCACAAAACCCTTCTAGGTCTCTCCCTAGAACATTCCATAAGGGAATACGGTAATTACAATGACTGGATTGGCATTGAAGTCTAATTACATCTAATGCCGTGATAAGGCTAAGCAGGGGCTGGTTTTGAAATTGACCCCATACAGATTAGTATGCTTCTTGTCGGTGCGATAAAATTCATGTGTCTAGGGTTTTTGGCAGTAAATTCATGAATACTATCAGTATCCAAAATATAGCGAGGAGTCAACCGCCGAGAATTATTTCTCCTGCAAGTTGGTTATAGCAAACCTCCCGACGGACTGAGGATTTGCCCTACATTGCTGATATGATTGACTGTGGTATGGATCTCAATCAATTTGATATATGTTATCAAGCTCAAACTCCAGGGATTAAAACATTACACGGCGATCTCTTTGGGCCATCTTCCAAAGGTAAATTGCGAGTTACACATGTTGGTCAACTCCCAACTCTCAGCACCCAGAATTGCCGGCGTATTCTCATCCTCTTCATCTCCTGCGGCGCCAGCTACAAACATGGCAGCCATGAAGTGGTCATCGGTGGCGTGTGCATCTCGGAATCGGGGATGCTTCATGAGCCTTGTCATAGCACGCCGTAACTGCACACCGGACGTCTTGGTGATGACATCCTCGACCGCCTGGCGAAACTCCATGGCCCAATCCTCCGGTGGTGTCTCCATCGCAAAGTTATCCCGGAAGCGCATCATAGGCGCCCATCGATTCCGGTATAGATTGTGCACCGCTCCTCCTGTCCCGATGATGAGGTAGTTTTCTCGTCGTAGCCGACGCAGGGTTGAGCCGATCTTCATGTGGAAATGAGGGTCGTAGCGGGCGTTGGCTGAGACCAGAGTCGTCGGTGGACATCCTCCCGGGAACATGCGGATGAGAATGAGATATACGTCGTGGATCCAGTCAAACGTGTCATTGCCGCTCACGTTGAATCCCTCCTGGGCCAGCATTTGGATGCAGCGCTTTGTGGTTTCGAGATCGGGGTTGAGCTTGTAGTTCTGGTACTTGTCGGGATGCACATAGGCCACTGGGCTCTTGTTTGGGTTGGGATTTGTCGACAGCTCAATCTTGTCCCCCATGCAGTCCCAATGAGCACCCTGGTATGTGTTAGCTGTGTTATCTGTGTCGGGTGTATGTGGTATATGAGGTACCATAATGACGACGCCCTTGATATTACGCTCCAGGGCTTCATCTCCACACTTCTTCCAGTAGTCTGCACTCTCCGACTCTTCTCCCAACATCATGGTCGAGCCATGGGAGAAGAAATGAACGGGTGTGAGGCCTATATTGTTAGCAAGCATCACATATGAAGAATGCAGACATACCCATTGTGAATAACTATGTAGTCAACTTGACTGAAAATAACAGGGGATAAAGCTGTACAAATACTCTTCCTCTTTAACTCCATACTCTGTCGGGTATGTTCCCCCACATCCCGAACGTACATTTGCCACAAATCAGACCAACTTAGACCAATTTCGACCATTTTAGATCCAAATAAATCAGCCACTTCTTTCTGCTCAAGCCCCTTTGGGGTAAATGAGGGGTAAATAGCCAGTTCCAGGGCAAATATCCTTCAGACTCTGGGGAATAACGGTGTACATGGAGTATGAAATCTGGGGAATGCACAGTGGAGTAGGCGGATGAGCGCGGGACTGGCCGCTGAATGAACTGGTTTAATTTCTCTCTAATTTCTAGCTTCTCGTATTGGACCAGCAATATTGGAATAATCTCCAATTTGGCATACTTTGGCGTCTGAGAATTTCGGTGGCGTCGATCAACTGCCGCTTCCCCCGGATTTCCTCTCTCTCCCTCCTTCACTCCTTCGCTCTTCTCTTCACTTCTCTCGCTCCGCCATTCCATTCTTTTCTCTACAAATGCAGTCTGATCATGTTCGCTGACTCACCCCCAAAGTCAGAGCGTCTTGACTGTGCTAATTCTCCACTCAAGAAGGAGAACGGCTACTTTCAATGTGGTTTCTGTAAACGTCACTATAATCGAGCTGATCATTTGATCCGCCATGTTCGCTCACACACGCGAGAAAAGCCATACGTCTGCGATATTTGCGACAAAGGCTTTGCTAGGCCGTTAGCATAACCCCCCGTAGGAGTTCTGTTCCATGGCTGATGTGTTCCCAGAGATCTGTTAAAACGCCATGTGGCAGGCCATTCCAATGACCGGGACCGTAAGCGGAAACGAAGCTCGTCAGTCGCCAAACAGAGCAGAGTGTCTCAGGCATGCAAATCTTGTGCTTCTTCAAAATTAAAATGCGACGATGACAAGCCCTGCCGGAGATGTCGCGAGCGCAACCTGCCCTGTGACTGGCAGGACGTATCGCAAGATTCATCACCCGAGTCTACACACCAGCGCAATGCCTTCGATACGCCTGCGCAAAATAATGCCCATATGGACTTGAATACTTCGCCTGCGGTGGCATTCTCGCCAATGCCAACGCCCCTAGAGGATTTCTCGGCGACCAATATGTTGATGACGCCGAGGCCTCCTCTGTCAAACAACATCCTTTCTCCAGAAATACCCTCAGTGGGAGATCAGATTCCCCTTGAAACTGGAGGTAAGAATGAGCCGCACACATTTTGTTACCGGTGACTGACTGTTGCATAGTGTCGCCCAACGACCATGAGAGTGGCATCTTTAGTGTCGACGGCACATTCTTCCCAAACTTCATCCCCGACTCCCTCATCCCTTCTCTTGCTCGATATAATGACCCAGATCCATCGCAAATGGCACCTGACTATGTCCATTATGGCGCCTTGGATAACCTCCACTTTGACTTTACTCTTACCGATGGCGACTTCGGCCTGATCGACTTTTATAACTCCCGGAGCCTTCTACCAAACTTCCACACTAAAAATCATGAAATTTATGATACCGACAGTGGCATCGGAATTGGTGCAGAGGCCTACCACCGCTCATCACTCTCCGCGTGGAAACCTGCACCTGAGGATCATGCCATTAACGACCATGAAAACCTATCTGTCCCGCAAGTGATCAACAGTCCAGAAACCAACGTTTCGTCTGAATGGCCAACTCTATGTGAGCGGTTGACATCCAGTAGCCGCGACCTAATTTTGAGCTTGGTCTTGGAGGTTAGCCGAGAGGCCAGCCTGAGTCGTATCATGAAGTCATTTCCAAGTACAGAATTACTGGATGGCTTGATCCAGCAATATTTTGAGCTACAAAAACATAAAGTTCAAACATTCATTCACATGCCAACTTTCCAGACCAACAGCGAGGATCCTGGTGTCCTTGCTGGTCTGGCTGCTGCTGCTGCCGTTTGTTCACCCGTTCCTACTATCAGAAAACTTGGATATGCGCTAAATGAGATTGTGCGACTGCATCTTCCGAGAAAGGTAAGACTATTTCCATTGATGCACGTAAAAATGATGTTGACATGCTCTCAGTACGAAAGAGATAATACATTTATCCGCGATCTGCGGACTTCACAAACCTATGCCTTGACTATCGACATTGGTATCTGGAGTGGGAATCATCGAAAGACTGAAATTGCTGAAAGCTTTTCACAACCGCTCATTACAATGCTTCGTCGAGCTTTGCGATTTCGTCGCTCGGTTTACGCTAATATAGTACCCCTTGCGGAGGATAAAGGGCCTGCCCTCGAGGCCAAGTGGCGCGAATGGATTGAACAAGAATCCTTCAAAAGGTATCTTGAATACCACATCCATTCCTCGTCGCACACTAACTTCGTCGGTTTAGGCTTGTTTACTATATCTTCATACATGACTCCCAGACAGCAATGGCTCTAAACATCAATCCAGTTATATCATATGCAGATATGGAGCTTCCTTTGGCAGCGTCGCGCCATTTATGGGATGCCAAGTCTGCCACCGAGTGGAAAGACCGCTTTGGTACAATGGCTCCCGAGCGCTTGCCATCTCTGGCCGACCTTCTCCGCGACATGTCACAAATCACAGTGTTCCAAGATCGTGTCGACACCCAATTCGCAGCATCGGTTTTGATTCACGGCCTAGCCGCGTTGATCAACGAATATCACAGGCTAAAGTTTATTTCTACCAACAACTCCAAACATTGGCATGCTCTCGTGACAAACTCTCGTCAACAAGAGCTTGATCAGGCTCTGCAGCATTTCCGAATGGTCTGTTCTGAACTGCGTACGCAATGTCGACCTGAGATCATGCTTGTATGTGAAGTCGTCTCAATGCTCTTGCACATGTCCCTTGAGGAACTTCAACTCTTTGCCGGCAAGGAAGATAAACAAGAAGCTCGGCGGGTTTACCATTCCGCCTTGGAGTGGATTGCTAGTTCTGATTCACGAAGAGCGGTATGGCATGCCGGTCAAGTCATCCGCGCTGCAAGAAGTATGCCACCAGGTTCCTTGACAGGGTTCTTGGCTATTGGAGTCTACTACGCCGGTCTTGCATTTTGGTCTTATAGTGTGGTCTCCAAGGCGAACACGGCTCGACTCACTGGAAGCCCCAACTCTCCGATACCACACACTGGCCCTACGGTCTTTCTTGATGGCGATGATTTACCGGATGTCTCCAAGTTTGTAACCATGGACTGTGGCTCTCCCGCCTTGCAGGGCCCGGGCGGAGCAGCCTATTTGGTTGATCCGGGGACTACAATGGATGTTGTACAAACAACACTTCGAGCCGAAACTTCCGAGAGGACACCACCCTTGGTCCAGATGCTGGCTCAATTGATTGGGGACTTGGGGCACTGCGTGCGTACAGATGGTTAAAGACTCGGGCCTTGATTTGTATTACCGATATTTCATTGATACCCCGATTTATGAATCCAATTAGTCATCTCCGTCTTTGGGGTGGTAGATGATATAGATATTGACCGAAATATAGTAACGTATTGTGTAAGCGAATGGAACATGTAAGCGAGTGGAACATGTAAGCGAGTGGAATACCCGCCCACGATATCTACTATTATTATTCAATTTATTCAAGGGAACGCTCCTTCCCGCGTCTGCTTCCAGGTCCCGGACGTTCAAGTTCGGTTACAATTTCGCAAAAGGGCAGTTCAGTCGGGATAGACAGAGTCTGCTTGACAAATGCGAAGAAGCCGACATTGTGCGGCGCATATGGGAGTCTGCCATTCGAAAGCCCCAGACGGCCATGCTTCCGATCTATCAATCTCCTCCGAAAATTCCCTCTAGCGGCCGATGTTGAGTCAGCCGACCTGCTGGAAGAGTCCACGAGGAAACTTATATGGCAGCATCTGCTGAGTGAAGCCAATAATAAGAAGTTCTACTATAGCGAGAAATGCCACGTTATGGTTCATGGTAAAGATTGCTAGTCGGGGTTGTGGTGAACTAACATTGTAGAGGGTATTACTATGATCTCCAAAACCCCGAAAAAGGAAACAACAATGCTCCCTGAAACGCTTTGGGATCTGCTACGCCCAAGCTCATCAATAAGAACGGCGGAAGAAGGGCAGATCGAGCTGTTCAAGGATGCGGAGTTATGCGCCCCGCCAGAATCGACGTTCGCAAGGGCGATACTGAGAGCTGTGCGCGCATGTATAGCTATGTTCAAACAGACGGAGTACATGACGATACGCCTTGTACAAAGCAACATGAGCGATGTCGATTTCTTTTTCGATTCAAAACGCAATACACTGAACATCCACCACAAGTGGTTGCACCGGCAATATTCGTGCAGAGATTCCGGCGACGTGGCAGCACAGGACGCTGTGGTCTTTTGCGATCATATCATTGAGAATGTCCTGAGTATGTTATCAGTGACGGTTTTGTCGACAGCGACTATCTCCTACCGCAGCAAGATGCAACGGTACAGGATGTCAGGCACACGCTTCGGTTGATGCCCCACAGAGTCATTCTGGAGCAGTCTCTACCGGTCTTCACGTCCTGAAGCATCAGGGTAGACCACGATGAGACGTGGATCGAACAGCCTCAGCCCATTCTCTTGCCATCTCTCGGTCTGACCCGATCTCAACCTCTGTGAAGGTCTCCGCTCGCCATGGCGGTAGCGGTCGTGGGTCGATCATCTCTAGTTCATCTAACCTTGCTAGATCCATAGTCTTCAGGGCTTCCACTTCTGGGGTGGAAGTGGCCACCGTCCTAGAAACCGATAACATGCGGATCAACGCGGTCCTCTGCACTGTGTTCAGATGTCGTAGATGAGTTTTGTCTCACAGAGGCATTACATATTCTAAGTGCGGAGTAAAAGGGCATAGGTTCTCTACATGCCCGCAGAAGATTTAAATTGTCAATTTACTGGTGTTCTGGTTGTTTGAATGGCGTTTAAAAAAGGTAGAAAAGTTGAAGTTTTGATGTTATGAGTACGGCTTGTTTTTCTTCCTGATGGCGCTGCTGAACTAAACCCAACTGATTCCGCCCGAAATCTACTCCCGTTGCCCTCAGATCAACAAAGAGTGGCCCGCATCTCCACCGCATAGTCCACCGTCCAGTCTTGTCCGTATTCGTTTTGAGTCTCTCTTCTGGCAGAAGAGTTTCGAAAGCAGGTTCGAAATGTATCACACATTGACACATTTTCTTAAGGTCGTCAAGTGGATAGCCCCCGGTCCTCGATACATATACTGTACATAGCTTGCATAACAAGTATTTGATTTGACATAGTAAATTGTAATCAGAAATCCCCACAAAAATCTAATAAGTTGGTGCCACACCGACCCTTGGTGTGCTCTGAAGATGAAAGATATGCTTTCCAAGCCCCCCTTTATTGTTTCGTCAGAAACTAGTAAATTAGTAGGAGGGTATTGCTTACACCCGGATGCTCATTCTTTTTTTGGCGTCTCAATGGTTAAGCCCTAGTTCAGGGACTGTTCCGCCAACCTCGTGCTTTCAATCCATCATGTGAAACACCGAATAAATGCGACATAGGTAATCCACCAGTAAGAATGATATTCGCGTCACCTGACTAGGGAAGCTGAACCCCGTCGTTAATACGTCCATGCGAATCTCTTCGAAATCGCATAACCTCGCGGAGGCACGAGGCACCAAAGCAAAACCTGTCACATGTTCTGGTAAGTTACGGTATAAGGAAGTCAGGGAGAGAGGTGAGAGCACTCTCGTACATAGCCACTAGAAAGAGAGGGAAAGTTATAAATAAGAAAATTTGCTCCCCGAATCCATTAGGATGGAAACAAAGGACCAAGGCGAGGATTGCAATGGAGGATAGGTCGAGACAGAAATTAAGCATGGGATGAAGAACGACTTGTCTGTGGGTCAGAACAAAATGAACTGATGACCAGACGAAAGGGAGAGAAGCCTATCTAGGGTAAGTCGATGAAGACCTTTTAGAGTTGAAAGTCTTACCATCACTCCACTGAAGTTCCAATTTCCCATGAGCAAGACGGCAGGCAAGCTAGCAATGGCGGAACCCACTCGCAGCCATCGAGATGTCATCCAGTATTCCTCTCCGAATCCCGTGGGAAAATATACCGACATGATTTCAACGATGAGCAGAAATGGAGGAAGAAAACAGAAGGCTCAATTGAAACTACGGGCGAGGAAGGGCAATTAAGGCAATTATACCCCGGAGTTGAGCCGCAATTCCAACACTAACCAACACTGCCACTGGCCCCCGAATTCCCCTACAGACTTAGCGTCTCATCAATCAACAATCTATTAATAATTCACTTGCCAGATTACAATTCATTACTCCTTGGCACCATGCGCAACACGTCACTGATTTGGGGGATTTAAGTGATGTATTTGGAGCCGCAGGCAGTCATATGCTAACTTACCCCTGATAGGGCTGAGCTGGTTCCAGTAGGGTCTCATTTTGCCCAGCAAAGAGAGAGGTGGGCGGATTGGCTCATCTTTGCTTTTATAGACATCGGTGGAAGAAGCGACCGGCCTATTCTGGCATCGATTGTTGTGGTGGGACCCCGGCCTACGGCGTCGTATGGTACAATTATATTCCTTTGTGGAGACGCAACATGCCAGCAAAAAGACTTGGCGAGAATCTCGACCAACGAAGTCTTGAACTTACAATTCTTACACAATCCTCTACTGAATCCCAAGTAAAATAGCTCATAGGATTGTAAAATGACTTGGTGGTGATTGTTAAATACTATGTTTGACCATACTAGGTAGCTGCGATTAAGGTCTCGTGTAGGGCACCCGTTGCCGTATCCTAGAGCCGGCCGTCAGGAGAGAATACCACCGACTCAACCCAACTTAAATGGCCCTCCAGAGTCTGCAGTTCTGAACTCCAGTGGATGGCAGCCGAAATGACAGTGAAGTTGATATTTGGGGGACAATTGCGCACATATGAACAGTGAGGACAACCGCACGGCTAACCGGTCGGGAAAACATGGTAATTATGATGGATAGGGATTTGAAAGAGTTGTCTAAACGATAATCCAACGGTGTTCATCTCGGATATAGCACTTAACGATGCCGGGTGGCGAACCCGATGCTCGGAGTCTAATCCCGATAGTCGGGGGGCGCATCCGACGGGCCCAATATTTTATATCTTGGTTTTCAACAGGTTTCGCGTATAGGAAAATTCCAAGCAGACAGCTACAACTCGACCTCTTCTACACGATGTTTCTCGCGAAGGCGATCAGGCGCCTCCCATATAGGTAGTAGGCGTCCTAACACCTTCCTCGAAATCGCCACTTGTGCTAATCTTTGTCGCAGATTTCACAATCTCAGTCAGAGATATCGGATTCAAAACCAATCATTCAAATCTTTCCGAATGAGCTCTTCTGCGCCTGCTGCCACCGCTACCCAAAGCGACAATACCGTAGCTCTGGAATCTTACAAGATCGTTCAAGATTTCGGCAATTTTGCAGAGACTGAATCCAAACGCCTGGATTTCGATCAAGCCAAGCCTATTGAAGTCACCAAGTCGCCTTACCCAAACTGGAAATATGGGGAGGGTGTGCCCGATAATGGGGCGAGTCTCGCTCAAAAGCATCATGAAATTGATCCCTATGCGCCAGATCGGCCAATGATCAACAACTATCGCCTATTGGTCTCAGGCATCGCCCCCCGACCGGTAGGCTTTCTGAGCACTGTTAATTCTAAAGGACAGAAGAATCTTTCACCCTTTAGCTACTTCCAAGTCATTGATCACGACCCGCCAATGTTTATTGTGGGATTCTCCTCGCGTCCCGGACGGGTGAAGGATACATACCGCAACTTGAAAGAGACTGGGGAATGTGTCATCAATACTGTCTCCGAGAATATGATCGAAGCCGTCAATGCCAGTTCTATTGATGCACCATACGGTGTATCGGAGTGGGAGGTCTCGGGTCTTCACGAGGCGCCGTCGACAACGGTGAAGCCTTCACGTGTTAAAGAGTCGGTCTTTAACATTGAAGGCAAGGTGATCGACATTAAAGAATTTACCGATCATCAACAACCTGGAATGAGCCTTGCTGCTACTGTCCTCATTAAAGCCACTCGTTTCTGGGTTAAGGAGGGCACGGCTGATGCGGATTACACCCATATCGACCTAGACAAGCTGCGACCAGTTGGACAACTTGGCGGTGTCTCCTATGGCCGTGTTGTGTCAACCTTCGAGCGACCACGGAGCAAGTGGGATAACGAGGTTCCTAAGAATGAGTTACTGGCAGAATTGGATGCAGCCAAGCCAAAGTAAATGCATTCGTGTATAATAACTTCCCCGGACTACTAAATCTTAGTTGCGTATAGACCACTCAATCAATCAAAGATATTCTATAGCTTAATCTCCCTCCGCAGGTTCAATTGATCATGTGTCAAGACCTCCCTACTTTCAACCCTCTTGAGGCAAGACCAGATGCAGCCATCTTGTTTACTCCCTGCCATAGGCCATTCGTTCTAGTGTTTGACAGTCTTGCTCTTGGCGGTCGTATATGTTTCACTTAATATAATTTTCGGCATATCCTGCGTCAAGGGTTACCGGTCACGGATAGAATCATATTAGTACACGGGATGATGACGTGGGGCTAGTTCTTCGCAGCATCGGGAGCGTGCTCCGAATGTGTTCACCGCAGAACGGCAAAACGAATATTAGAGATTACCGCTGCATATATATTGCCCTGGGACAGCCCAACATTGGTCTACTAGTATCAAATCTCGCAGTGTATCTACAATAGCAATGCTTCTAAACCGCTTTGTACCTCGCGCTACTGGGTCTCTCCTTCGCTCTACACAGTCAGCGCGGGGTGTTCTCTTAAGAAGCATGGCGACGGCACGGAAGAAGAAAGAATTCCTTTGCATTATGCCTGATCGACCCAATGTTTTAGAGCTGAGAAAGAAGGTCAAAGGGTAGGAATAAAGGTCCTATTCCACATTCATGACGCTAAACGTTGGTCAAAAGTTGTCACTATGAAGGCATCCAGCCGCTAATTGCCGGAGGCAAGCTTGTTGATGGAGGTCAGTGTAGCGCATTTATAGTATTATCAAGAACTCGCTGACTTTATTGGACGCTCTATAGGTGCAGTTTTCGCAGAACATCCGCAGGAAGGGAAAAAAGCGCAGTTTTTGGGAAGTGTAGTTGTATACACGGGTGAGAACGCCGAAGAAGTTCGAGAAATTATCAGCAACGATATCTACGCTTCAAGTGGTGTGTGGGATCTTGAAAAGGTCCAAATTTATCCAGTAAGTGGCCTTAACAAACCGTGATCCTAAAATCACCTAATGAATTTTGGTATAGTATGTGCCTGCTGTCAGACAACCACTGCCTTGAACACCCATTTCCCCCAGGATACTTCGACTTGGCTCGTTCAGATATAAGCCGACAGAGTTATAGATTAAAGTCCCTATCGGCGGTTACCGCAGAAGTAAAATAGCTGTGGTTGTCGAACCATACATCATGACATTGAAATACCACGTGCAAAATCAGAGTTGTAACGAAGCATCGCGTGGATTTAGGTATACATACCGGTAGCCTTAACATATAATTTGTTTTGGAGTGCGGAGCGCTCATCAGGCCGTTGAAATTGGGAGCATTAGCAAAATATTTGTTCCCATTGCCAATATTGTACATGATGCATATAATTGGAAAATAATCCTAGAAACATTCGGGCCCAGCCCGACGGCATATATCCTGAAATCGTGCATGATTGGCTAAGGTAAACAACTGTGCAACTCAACATTCTTCGCAGTTCTGCTATCTTTGCTGTCTCGTGATGAAGGCTGTAGAGTCTAATAATGTTTCGATGTTATCTTGATGATTAAAACCAAAATGTGGTATTTTGACATCCCCTATGCTCTCGTTACCCCTAGTGTTTTCGCTTTAGACATGAGTGGATACAAACAACAAGGCTCACGAAATATTTTGGCAGTAAAATTGCAACGACAGGTACCTAGGCCCAATTTCATTATTGACCAGTTCTTTAAGTCCGCACCGTTAAAGCGAGGGAAAGGAATATAGTGATATCTCCTATCTTTACCGCCACTCATGATACAAATATCCACTTCTAGAACCACGCGCGAAGTGTAGAAAAGTAAAATTTGTTGCGATGAAAACCTTTTCGACCCCCCGACAAGGACGCTGAGGGCCTCATGACCGCCAACGTCTGGCGTGGCCAAAAGAGCCATTCTTCCCACGGGGCTCCGAGATACTGCCCGATCGATTCAACCAAATATTTGCCACCGTCACAAAACACCCACTTCTATTTGTGTGTATCAACAAGTGCACCAAAATACGCTAAAATAACCAGAGCTTCCCCCTTTCTTTCCGAGACCATATCAATGTATTCGCGGGGGACAAGCACTGGCCAAGCAACGAGAGCATCTACGCAGTTGCCTCCTGGGGGTTCATTTTCCATCAGGGTCATCACGGATTGTAAAGCCTGGACAGCCTGTTCATATGCCTTCGTATCAGGATAGTCGAAAGAACGGCCTTTAATACGACCTATCAAAGTCTGACAGACCGGACCCAAGGCTTTACCCGAGAGAGGAATTCTTTCTCCGAGCTCCAAAAGCGGTTTTAGACCTGTTTGTTGCAAGAGTTCCCATCGACCCTGACCAGCGACAAGATGCACTCCGCGATGTATTTCAGCGTATTGAATAAATCTGTCAAGGAAGCTCTCAAATTCATCATCGTCCCGAAAGACTATTGTTTCGCAAAATATGTGGAGGCCTAGAATGCTGGCGAATAGAAATATCGAAACGTAATTTTCCTCGTTGATGTGAGATGATAAGTCATTAAATGATTTCAGTGCATAATTTTGCAACTGGGCAGAATGGTGTCGGTAAAAATCCCTTTGTCCTGGCCTAACAATGCTAAGGTGCAATGCACTGAGAGATAAAATTTCATTAACGAGGTAAGGTGCCCCAATGCCATACCGCAAGATATCCTGGTATGGAATACCCGAGGCAGTGCCGGGGCGATTGAATGCTGTCATTGCTTCAGAAGAAAGATTATGGACGAACTCAACATGAAGCATGTTAACGGGGGCATTTTCGGGAAGATTGCTGAATTGTTGGGCGGGGGTGGAGAGCACAGCTGGTGATATAGCGGCGGGCGATACAGTAGCAGTCTCACGACTAACGCTGCGGGAAGCTTGTGCGAGAGGTCCCAAAAATTCACAGTGCCGCTGGGAAGTGGTACAATTGAACATATGGGTCTTTTTTCATCACACTATGGGCGGGATCAGGAGCTGCACATAAATGGTCATTGTGTGACAAACCTTCATAGGACGACGCTTGCATCAATGCAGCCGTTCCGGGTTTCTTATGTGTTCTTCGGACCATTTTGCCCCGGGTGATCAGAGAAAAGAGACTAGTAGGGCGCCGGAGCTCGGTTGCGATAAGCGAAAAGTATGTTTTAGATCTTCCGCGCCATAGCGGAGAATGACGGTGCAGCCTAACAAGTCGGCGGAGAGCTCACTGGTCTGCCGTTTCTCTTGAAACCCACCAGATCATTTAAGATCAGAGTCGGGAAGTCGAGGTGTGCTCAGTTCTACTCAATGAGCAAAAAGCGGCAAGGCGTGAGCACTAAAATGGAACGGGAAGGCCAAGAAGTGGCAGAGGAAATCCGGTAAGCGATGCACTGTCTATACGCGTATAAACAATCAAAGCGGCCAGGCGCCAAGCCTACAGCCGACTTTAATGAAGTCTTCGAAGATGCTAGCATCAGTCGATCCTTGGAAGACTCGAGGCATTAAGATGCCAGCCTGGCAATACGCTTTTCGTATCCCGTTGTCCCCTCACATCCACAAGAGTATGTGATTTAGGTCTCAGTTTCTAAGATAGGACGTTCTAGCACATTCTAAAATACCTTCGAAAGCGCATTGTCCTAAATGAGCTTGGGTGACTTGAAGACTAGGAATTTATACGCTCTCCACGAGGGGGCTTGGAATACGAAGAACAAAAAATCCAGCATACCATCTCTGTGGAATGTGACCACCCAAGTACCTGGTTCATGGAAAATTTATCCAAAGCTGACTGGTTGAAGCACGTAGAGACCTGTATATCGCCACCTTATAAGTTGTTTTATTTACAAGATACAGAAACGTGGAAAGAATTAAAAATTTCCCCAAGTCAAGTTAATATAACGCCGCGACGATTATACACTGCCGCTTTGCTATGGTATAATTTCTGGCTTTGTTTAAGGTACTACGGCAGCAATGTGCAGGATTGGCTGCCAATCAGTGAATAAAACTTTATGGCCTCCAGAAGAAAACGTTGAAGAATGACGACATCAAATTCATTCCTGTTATTTTTACTGCCAGACTGCGGCCACTGCTCGAGGGTCCCTAACAACTGCCTACCTTTCAGCTGTATTCACTCGCCTCCAAACCTTCAATGGCATCGGACCCGGGTTCAGGTTTGACATTTCGCGGACCGGAGGATCCCAGTCGGGATGTGGCAAGGCAAATTCATATCGATGTACCAAAGAAGCCAGGAGGACTGTTTGTTCTAGGTAGCTAATGTTCCGGCCAATGCAGCCTCGTGCCCCAGTACTGAAGGGGATGAAGTATGGCTGCAAAGCTTTACCATGTTCTCCCAGCCACCGTTCTGGCTTGTAGGTGGCATTATCTTTGAAAACCGACTCCTGGTGATGCATCACGTAAGACGAAATGCTGACCGATGTGTCTCCAGCGACATATTCATTGAGGATAGAAGTTCCTTCCACAGGCGTTCGGCGAGGCAGACCGAAAACGATAGGCGGGAGCATTCGAAGGCTCTCGTCTATGCATGAGCGGAGATATGGCAGGTGTTTGACTTTACCATACGGTGCAACGACCTCATCTTCTTCCAAGACCTCGTCAAGCTCCTCACGAAGCTTTGCCAGACATTTAGGGTTTCTTAGCAGGAAAAAGAGAGCGTTTCGAAGTGAGATAGCTGTGGTATCGTGTCCCGCATTCATCATGATGCTAATCTCTGCGACGATCTCGCCCCATTCTAGATTGTGGGGTAACCCATTCTTATCCTCCATCATAGCTGTGAAGAAATCGTCCAATTTCTCGCCATTCTCGTATCGCTTCAATCGTGTAGTGGCACGGTTATAGACAATACCGCCCCAATCCCCGTCTAAATGCCACAGATGCCGATAGCTTGACGAAACCACTTTGCTAATTCGGCGCAGAGTCTGAAACCAGTCGTATGACCAGACTATCCGGAAGGACGCTGTCTGTGTAGCTGTATGACATTCACGGAAGGAGACATCTTTAATTGTGCCGTCTTTACTTTCAGACTTCACTCTGTCAGATCCCTCGTCAAGGAAACCGAGATCTTCGCTAAGTCCAATATTGGCAATCGCAGCTGCGGTCCACAGGACCGTCCAGTTTCGATATTCAACTGTTAGGTCTTCCTTGTTTGGATTCTGATTTAGAGGCAGTGGTTCGGTGCACCGCTTATCGAAGGCCTTAATGAGCTTCGCGCTGACTTCCGCCACCTTAAACTCCCACTCTTCGAGGTTCTTGACCGCGTAGGCGCTTGATAGCACCTTTCTCTTCCGAGCATGTTCCTTTTTGTCCACAACATCTGCAAGGTGGGCGTGGGAGCCTGCGGTCTCGGAGTAGAAACGATCCTTAATGCAACTGGTACCGTGACCGTAGATATCCTTGATGGCGTTGGGATCAGAGTAAGACAGAGAATTCGGACCGATTCGCAAAACAGGATGCTTTTTGTGGGCTTCGAGGAGATTTCGGGAGCGGAAACCATTGTGTGACTCGTAAATAAGTGGCAAATCTGAAATGCCGGATAAAAGGTAGAAATTGGGATACTTCCTGAGTCCATTTGGGTCATAGAAGTACTTGATGACTGGGGCCACAAAGAAGTACCCCACCAAGGCAAGTGTTAAGGCGAGGGCGTACATTGTGTGCCAATGGGGGAAATCGGAGAGACGAAGATATTTATTCTTCAGATAGAGCGAACTTGAGGCCTCTGATATAGATTTCGAGATGCCAGCAATGGTTGACTTTAGGTTGAATGGCCAATGATCAGCAAGGGGAGTGATCGCCATATTCCAGACCAATCCTGGAATTGAACCTGCAGATCTTCCAACCTCGTGGATCTTTTTGTCGCGGGGCAAATAACTTCATTTGGAAAGATATCGGGGCCCAATTTTCCTGCTTCACATTGTCAGCCTGCAGGTGTGTTTAATCGAAGTACTGGAGTAGCGAAAGATCTTCTATTTGCGACGATAATAAAGTGACACAACGACGAGCGGTTCAAGCATGCTAATGTCTCTGACTGATGGTAAGGTATAATGATATAGAGACCGAGAAAGTCAAATAGCGATGCCGGGAGAATGTCTCCGTACTGTGTATACTCTAGAAACGTGACAGGCGTGCGGAGTTCGATGCTCTAGGTTACCGATCGGGGGGAAAGTCTCTAGGGAACAAAAAAAGGAAAAGGAAAGCCGCGTCGAGTCCACCACCTCACCAGTGTCTCTCTCTTACCCCGTGATCTTGAAAAGGGTCTCGAAGAGCTCCAGACGAGGAGCACGGGGAGAACCAATCACGTCAAGATTATCAACCAGAAAATCCCTTTCATCCCCATGGACCCAACTAAATCCACTTGCAATGACTTCACAGAGTGCGGTGAAAATAACCGTCCTTGGCTGAAGTATCAGTCGCGCGGGTTATATTTCTCTACGAACCCGAATAGTTTTGGGCTCTCTTTGTTTGATGTTTTATATCGAAGTACCACTCTCTTCCTGTAACAATCATCAGGGTTCCTTCTATAAATTCTCGGCACGGCATTTGTCCACACGCTACATTTGTCGCCACTTGAAAGGCAGCAAAAGCGGGGATAATGTCGATTTTGTGTCATTTTGCCACAAGTCCGAAGAGCCTCCTCTCGATAGGGAAACATACCCCGTCTACACTGATGGCAACAATAGGTGCCTAAGCTGAGAATGACCCAATCATTTGCAGCCGCTCCTTCGTCCTGTTCTACCGTTGCTGATATCACCCATTTCCCCGAGGGTTAGGACATGTCTCAACCCCATGGGGAATATAACCCCTCCCAACCCCACGGGGAAATAGGGTTTTGCCATCAAAGGCCGACCCGCCGTTGACCGCCCATGGTAAGATGAATTGACGGATTGATGCAAGGCTGATTGGCCGAGATCTATAAATTGCTCCGTTTTCTTTTACATGGATAACTTCTTGTCTCCTAGATGCCCTCCCTCCTTCATCTTCTCAGACTTGTCAGCTAAACCAATTTCAACAATGAGCTTCGATAAAAAGGCAAACGAACCAGTGGTTCCCAGCAATGATCATGTTGAGGAAATACGGGATGTTGAGCCTGTGGACTTTGGCAAAAGCCAGGCCGGCCTCAGCAGCATTGAGGCAACGGCTGCCTCGAAGGCAGCTTGGCTAATCTCTACTGTCGTCTCGATCGGCGGCTTCTTGTTCGGTATGTATCTCATGCAAATGTGAATAGTATTTTATAATAATCATCCTCTAGGATATGATACGGGCTATATTTCAGCAGTGCTGGTCACAATCAACTCGTCTCTCGGTCATCCGCTTAGCTCTAGTGAACAAGAAATGGTGACATCCTTAACCAGTGGCGGTGCCTTGGTCGGAGCGGTAGGAGCTGGTCTCTCTGCTGATCGATTCGGCCGTCGCTGGCCCATTTGGGGTGCCTGTTTGGTGTTCGTGATTGGAACCGTCCTCCAGACATGCGCCTTTTCCGTTGGCCAGTTTGCCACTGGAAGATTTGTCGTCGGTCTCGGGGTTGGCAGTGCTTCTATGATTGTTCCTCTTTATAGTAGGTCGCCTCCCTCCTCCCACGTTATAGGGTCTGGCTAACTCATCACTTTCATAGTTGGTGAATTGGCACCTGCCAAATACCGCGGCCGCATGGTGGCATTCAACAACATGAGTGTTACCTTCGGTCAGCTCGTTGCGAGTGCTCTCGGCGCCGGTTTCGCCCAAATAAAAGGCGAGGGATGGCGAGCCACTGTCGGCATTGGTGCTGCCCCAGCCCTTGTGCTCGCTGGCCTTCTCTTCTTTTGCCCAGAATCGCCCCGTCAACTGGTCTCTCACGGCAAAGCTGAGGCAGCAGACGCTGTCCTCCTCAGGATCTACCCTCAGTCAACCGTGGAACAACGTCAAGCCAAGATCGCGTCGATCGAGCTCTCTCTCCAAGAAGCCACGCAAGCCATGTCCGAGGAATCCCTTTGGGCGACCTTCAAACGAATCTTTACCACGCCGGCTACTGGTCGTGCCGTCCTGACTGCGTGCATGATCATGGCCATCAGTCAGCTTGGAGGGTTCAACACGTTGATGTATTATGCGGCTACGCTGTTCTCCATTGTCGGGTTCAATAACCCAACAGCGGTCGGGATCACGGTTTCAGGTACGAATTTTGTCTTCTCATGGGTCAACCTCGTGCTCGTTGATAAGTTCGGTCGAAGGATTATCTTGGCGGTTACCGTTCTTGGAATGGCTATTTGCATGATAATCGCCGTCGTCGCATTCCGATATATTCCGGTGGATACGAAGACTCTGGCCCTGGAGACGACTCATATCGGCTGGCCCGGTACTTTGGTCCTGGTTGCGATTATATGCTATGTTGCTTGTTTTTCGTCCGGTGTCGCAACAATCGCCTGGATTGGCACAGAGCTCATTCCCCTTGAAGTCCGAGCGATTGGAACCATGCTAGTATGCTTACCTGCCTTCTTTTCCCTATTCTGTATCCTCCAGTGCTAATCAATGGACTAGAACACTGTCACCTGCTGGAGTACAAACATCATCATTGCTTCCACGTTCCTATCAATGATGAAAAGTTGGACCCCGAGTGGTGCTTTTGGCTTCTATGCCGGCATCTGTTTCTTTGGTTGGCTCTTCGTCTTGTTCTTCTATCCTGAGTGCAAGGGTATGCCCCTGGAGGCTATCCGTGAAGTTTTCAGCAAGGGATTCGGCGTCGGATATTCGAAGAAGTGGCAGAGAGACCATGAACATGATGCGAAGATTGACAGAGTTGTTATGGGTCATTAGGGTTTTAGTATCCAACAGATTCGCCTGGCACAGTGGGCAGTAGGAGGAAAATATTTTACCCAGAGAATCACACACAACCTTGGGATGCTCCGAGTACAAGTTGGGCCCAATAATCAAATACAGCAAGGCTCACGATCATCACGTCATTCGATAGTGAATTGTGTTTAGCATGCCCACCACGAACGACCCGATCATTGATCTATTTCCATACCCAGGCTAGCTTCTAAAAGCCACTTTAGAGTTTACAGCAAGGTAATGCATAGATTGAACTTCATTGTTCAAGGTGTAGAATAAAGCAATACAATTGGTTTGGAGAGAAGGTCGATTTTAACATCAAAATCAGAACGCTTCCCAGTTTTGAAAATAATAGACGGTCTGGAGCCAAACTTGACAGGTATCATAGGAGCCCGTTATCGACTAGTAGAAAAAAAGCCCACTCGTAGTGCCCCACGAATGCTTAAAGGCCCTGCCATCTCCCTTCGAATTCCACTGTATAATATGTTATGTCACTAAAGGTTCTCATCCTTATCAATACGCGACGGTGCCTATGTTAGATCATGTCGATTCGGGATGCAAATCCAGTGGCTGTGTGCAGATGCCAAGAGACTAGCTGCTGTAGGAGATGCTATATCATCTAAAGATTTCATATTCAGTCCAGCCGAAAAGGTCAGTGCGGCGATCGCGCGACCTAACGGCGCCGCTGCGAGGGACACCATCCTGTTGCAGCGCCCTCGTGGGCAGAGCCTCTCCTCTAAAAAAGTCCGTTAACCGAAATAATTGGAAGCCCGACCAGTAAGATATAGACGCTACCAATAAGAAAAGAAGATATTCGAATCAGCTATTTAAGTATCACTATTCTCTGTTAGGCCTTGCGCTAGGTAACGCTCGTTTATTCCTTCTGAATCAGCTGCCTAAAGATACCATTACTGTTCACACTACATTTGGCCAGAGCAATAATGCCCTTCCTCCCGAGTCGATACGGTACTCGGACTTATTGGCCTTCGGCGCTCCTATAGTATATCCTGTTAGCGATTATAGATCTAGTAGGCAGGGTGCTAAGCGGCTTACACTCCGAGACACATGAAATAGAACCAAATTCATTCTTTGTAGCCCTCCACCAGGCGGACTCGATATCTCCCGCGTTACAGGCGATACCGACGTTGAACTGGATAAACCCGTGGCCGTCGGCGGCAGCGTTATCACAGGTCCGAACGGATGGGGCAGGGCAGCGTAAATTATCCCAGAACCCCTTACAAAAGGCAGGACTGAAATCAACACCGCCGCTGTGATCGATATTCCACGAGTTGATAAACAACCCACAGTCATCGCATGACCTATAGGTGCACGTGTTCGCCGAGACTAGAGTTGCAAGACTGGTAACAGCAATAGTAACGGTAGCGAGGGAGACGCTCTTCATATTGATAGAAAGAGGTGTAGAAATAGGTAGGTTGGAATATATAATTAGGAGGCTGGGTAGACAGTACAGAGATCAGTTGACTGAGGAGGAAAGATAGAAGCTGCTAGATAGGTTGTGCTAAGGACTTTATATATTTTTGCTCTAGTAAAGCGAGGACCTGAGTTCCCGCTTCGAGTTAGTTTTACCTCCTTCAGGAAATCCGCTACGCCGTATGGTCATCACCCGCCGCCGACTCCCCTCTCGTTGTTGTTGCATTGTTCAACGTCCGACGGGACAGGCAAGGCCCTGCGCCCTGTAGCCCGCGCCGCCTCCTCCAGGAGGCCTGAATGTAGATCGCTTGGCATTGGAGGCCCTACATATCTAAATATCTCAATGAAAGCTGATCGGGTCAGGCGCCATTAAATAGCAACATAGCTCTAGTAAGGATATCCAGAGCTGGACGGCCTGTGACAGGTGACTTTCATTGGTCATGGTAAATTACCGTAAAGTAATCAATAACAAATTGAAAATTTACATCGACGAATTGGGTTTCTATCAGCATGGTTGTTCACACAGGTAATTTGGCCGATGATAGTGTATACTATAGACCCAGAGAATCGAGTCGAGAGGTTAGGATGCTGTTAGACAAAGTTATAGACCTATTTCACGCTGACTATCTCGGTCGGATCAGTCCTACGGTCCTTAAGTAGCAAATTGGCCACTTCTCGTACGGTATTCGGGGTGAGGGTGGCAGCTCTACGCTTATCTAATAAGATGATCTAATTCTCGAGGGTTTCCTCTTCTAAAAAAGTCAATTTATAGTTGTTAGCGCGGGCTTCTTCGCGACTGTTAACGCCTACCATACGGTGACGGAGTATTAAGGCGGACGTCGAAATCGCGAGCCAATTAACTAATTGAGCACCTTTCTTCAGTCTAAAAGAGAGCGAATAGCTAATAAGGTCTTACCCTCGTGCTCTATACGTTTTTGAGAGCTTTGAGAGCGAATTGGTGGCATAGTGGGTGGTTGAAATTGATGTAATGAATATGACGCGAAACTAACGCGTAGGTGTTCCACTTACACAATACGTTACTGTAGACTCACAAGTAAACTAGGTTATTGTCACGATTTTTCCTGTATCCGACCAATTGGACATATCAATGACTCTGTATTGCAGTACCCCTATTTCCTGCTATTTAACTAACGTAATTCACATGCGAGCCGCCACCACAAGCAAGCCGCAATCTCCAAAACACATAGTAAATGCGATAGGTTACAACTTGATATCTCAACAACAGTGGTCTATACTAAAAATTTTCTTTTTAATTCTATGGTTTTTATATGATATCCAGCTGCTTTGGGCAGTTTTAAGAAACTTAATGATTTATTGACTAACATATATATATTTTTGGAGCCAAGCGACGTAATTTTCAATACGACAATAAGGTAAACCTTCGACTTCGTTAAAATTGCTATATGTTACTAAAAATGCTTATCAATACCTATCTACTAATAGCGGAAACTAACTTAAGTTGTGGCGGTTGAAACATGAAGCTATAATTTGTCGCATTTACTACGTGTTTTGGAGATGGCGGCTCGACCGGGATGGCCACTCGCCCGGGAATTACGTTAACGTGTTTGCCAAGCGAGCCGCCACCCCATCCAAAAACGCGTCAATTAATTAGACCTTCCTTCTTTAACCACCTACCATGCCACCAATACGTACTCAATCTTCTCGAAATCGTACGGAGCAAGAGGGTAGGATCTTATTAGCTATCCAGGCTATTAAGAAGCAAGAAATAAGCTCTATTTCTCTCGCAGCACGCACTTTCGAAGTACCACGTTCTACTTTACGCGACCGCCTCTCCGGTCATGCTGAACGTAGTACTATACGCGCAAATTCACATAAATTGACCGAAATTGAAGAAGAATCTCTTCAAAAATGGATTCTCTCTATGGACTCTCGCGGAGCAGCCCCTCGGCCTTCTACCGTACGAGAAATGGCGGATTTACTACTCGCGGCGCGTGGATCTACCCCTCCTCCTTCGGTCGGCAATCATTGGGTTACAAACTTCGTAAAAAGGCATCCAATCCTCTCCTCCCGATTCTCGAAAGGCTATAATTACGCGCGCGCAAAGTGCGAAGATCCTCAAATTATTTCCGAATGGTTTTCTCTCGTTCAAAAAACGATTATTTCGTACGGGATCGATCCCGACGATATCTATAACTTTGACGAGACCGGATTCGCAATGGGCTTGATCGCAACCGCGAAAGTTATTACGAGGAGGGAATACTACGGTCGGCGATCGCTTTTACAGCCCGGAAATCGCGCGTGGGTGACTACAATTGAGTGTATAAATGCTTCGGGGTGGGCGCTTCCTCCGTGCGTGATTTTTAAGGGCAAAGTCTTTATTGAATCTTGGTTCGACGGCCTTCCGAATGATTGGAGATTCGAGGTTAGTCCGAACGGGTGGACGTCCGATGAAATTAGCGTTCGGTGGCTCGAAAAGCTCTTTATCCCGTCTACTTCTTCGCGTACGAAGGGGAAGTATAGACTTTTAATACTCGACGGCCACGGAAGTCATTTAACCCCGAAATTCGACGAAATTTGCGAGAAAAACGATATTGTCGCAATTTGTGTGCCTCCGCATTCGTCTCACCTTTTACAGCCTCTCGATATCGGCTGTTTTGCGGCGTTAAAGCGGGCTTATAATCGTCTTATCGAATCGAAAATTCGTGGTAGAATTAACCACATCGATAAATTAGACTTCCTCGAAGCCTACCCGTCCGCGCGAATCGAGGCATTTAAATCGGAGACTATTAAGAATAGCTTCGCCGCCGCTGGTTTAATGCCTTATAACCCCGATCGAGTGATCTCAAAGCTCGATATTTGCCTTCGAACCCCGACACCCACCTCGAGCCGAGGAAGCGAGTGGGAGCTAAAAACGCCGTCGAACTACGTCCAATTGCAAAAGCAAGCTTCCTCAATTAAAGCTTTGCTGAAACAGCGCTCGAAAAGCCCACCGAGCCCGCTTAACTCCGCGATAAATCAGGTTTTAAAGGCCTGCCAAATTATGATGCAATCGGCAGCTTTACTCGAGAAAGAAGTAAGCGAATTACGCGTTCAAAACGAGACGAAGAAGCGAAAAAGGACTCGGTCTAAAAGGCAAATAGCCTCCGAAGAAGGCCTTTCGGTTTTAGAGGCCTCTACCTTAGTAGCGCAGCCAGTGCAAGCAGTTTTAGCACAAATGCCCCGTGAGGCAGAATCCGCTCCGACACCTTTACAGCCACGTACGAGAGCCTTACCGAAGTGCAGTATATGTGGAATTCAGGGTCATAAATTGACTACATGTCCTAATAGAACTCGTTTTTAGCTTATTGAATTTAATGGCGTTTTGGTTGAGATAAATGCATCTAAACTTGATAGGTTAGGTGGGGTGTCCAGCTCGCTTGGGTGTCCAGCTCGCATGTGAAATACGTTATACTGTATACCTGAAGCCATTTGGATCATCTATAGACCCGGTTTCATGAAGTATTCGTAAAATAATTGCGACAGTTATTCTAGATAACTGTACGCACAGTTATACGTCGGGTAAGCGTCCACATTCCGACGTGCTTCCCCACACTTCACCCGACTGTGCGGGGAAGATCGGACTCGGCGCCGAAGCCGAAGGAAGTATCAAGCTTGCCAACTGCATAAGAAGAGCTTCAAAACTTGATAGTGAATTATCATTCGAAAAGGTAATCAGATTTTGATACCGTGTGATTCTTGACGCAAAAATGGTTTTCAAGCTGAAACAGCAAAACCGTTCAGGCGCAGGCCCGGCTCCGGTAGTAGATACACCTACTATCGTCAGAGGTGTCATCGATGAGATTCGCGCAAAGGGCGATGATGCTGTGAGGGCATACTCGGAGAAATTCGACAAGTGGAGTCCTACCAGCTTCAAGCTCTCGCAAGAAGAGATCCAGCATATTATCTCGACGGTTCCTCAGCAGGTTCTTGATGATATCAAGCAGGTCCAGGCTAATGTGCGCGCCTTTGCGCTTGCGCAAAAGGCGTCTATCAAGGAATTTGAAATGGAAATTCGCCCCGGTGTGCATTTGGGACAGAGAAATATTCCGGTCAACTCGGTTGGAGCGTGAGTTTTTCTTTTTGGTTGGGTGACTTTCATTTACTGACGCTTGGATAGATATATCCCCGGTGGTCGGTATCCTCTTCTCGCGTCGAGCCATATGACGATCCTTACGGCAAAGTGTGCTGGTGTCACTCATGTCACGGCCTGCACTCCTCCAATTGCCGGGAAGATTCCTGCCAACACGGTTGCTGCGATGCACTGCGCTGGTGCGGACGATATATACATTCTGGGTGGCGTTCAAGCCGTTGCAGCTATGGCTATTGGTACGGAAACAATGAAGAAAGTCAATTTCATTGCTGGCCCAGGAAATTCCTTTGTCGCTGAAGCCAAGCGACAACTGTTTGGAGAGGAGATTGGAATTGATCTGCCTGCGGGACCGACTGAGATTCTCATCGTGGCCGATGAACATACCGATCCCTTCACCGTTGCCACCGATCTCTTGTCCCAGGCTGAGCATGGATATGACACACCTGCTATTTTGATCACCACTTGCAAGACTCAAGGGGAGAAGACCATTGCGGAGGTTGAACGACTTTTGAAGATCTTGCCGACTGCCGATGTTGCTGGAGTTTCATGGGATCGCCTGGGAGAGGTGATCGTGGTAGATAGCTTGGACGAGGCTTACGAGCTCGCCGATGAATATGCCTCTGAGCATGTTCAGATATTGACGCAAAACCCCCGGGAAGCTTTGGAGAAGATGTCCAACTACGGAGCGCTTTTCTTGGGCGAGAAAACGTGCGTATCCTATGGCGACAAATGCATCGGAACCAACCACGTTCTGCCAACTCGGGGCGCTGCACGATATACAGGGGGTCTTTGGGTTGGTAAGTTCTTGAAAACAGTCACTTATCAAGAAGTTACTTCACCGCAAGAAAGTGGAGAACTTGGTCGGCTCTGTGGGAGAGCAGCACGAGCTGAGAACTTTGAAGGCCATGCCCGCTCAGGGGATGCCAGGGCTCATCGGTATCTGAATGATAAGTTTGAGTGGATTGAATAAGAATATGAAAGGAAGCCGACTGTTAGATCAATGCCAATTGTTTTGCGATAGACTCCCAACTTCACCTATAAGTTAATTTCTCGAGTAACTTAATTTTAATGGTTAGCCAACTACTGTATACTCCATACAGTAGTCAACTCGGACAACTTGCCGATCCCACTGAATTACCATTATCAAATCCTAACCGGACTTTTCCCCGGTGACAGGCTGCTGCATCCAATAAAAGTGCGATGTAGGGCGTGTAGGGCGTGGTGTGGGTCAGGGCCTGCAGTGGAGCTTCTTCCACAAAGAAGCCGAATTCTTCATAGGTTGAAGGAACTTCCAATATCACCAGCCGGAGACGTCAATTGGTGCTCTATTTCAATGTGGGCTACGGATCCATTCGCGACTCAGCTTCTCCAGCCGGAGAACCTGTGACAAAAATTTATCGTCCGGCGTCAATGTTGCTTAAAGCCTGGCCTGAGTCCGGTCCTTTCTTTGAATAGGCAAATACAGTAGAGAATTGTCTGCCAAAGATGGGATTGACATCGTCTAATGATTTTCGAGATCCTCTCACTCTCTCGCCGGTGAGTATTATTCCAGCGTCTGAGTCTAATTTCTTCATAGGTCGCTCGAGGCCATAACTTACCTTCTAATTCACATGTTTAAACAGATCCGAAAAGTACACGTCGTCCTCGCTGGAATCCTATTCATCTTCAATAGTGCCTTTGGATCATCACTTCCCTCGGGCGCCCACGATGCAATTGCAGACTCATTCCACCTCGCCCACGACGATACGAAGCTCGTCCTTCTGAACTCACTATACCTTGTGGGGTTTGCCATCGGTCCACTTATATTCGGGCCTCTGAGCGAGCATGTGGGCCGTAGGCCCGTCCTAATCGGCACATTCAGCGGATATATCATCTTCACCATGGCCTGCGCGTTATCGCCGAACTTTCCTGCCTTGCTCGTTTTCCGTCTTCTATGTGGCTTGAATGCTGCTTCTCCAAATGCCGTGCTTGGGGGTTATATGCTGATATCTTGGATAATCCCCAAACTCGCGGTATCGCTATGGCGCTTTTCATGGTAGTCACAGGCTTTGGTCCTCAGCTAGCACCTCTTGTATCTGGGTTTGTTTCCACGGTATCGTGGCGCTGGACGTTTTGGGTTGGATTGGCTGCCGCTGGTGTAGGATATCCGTTTATCCTTTTCATTCCAGAGACCTATGTGCCCGTTTTGAAAAAGCGACACGCGCGACGATTGGCCAAGGCTGGAAAACAGGAAGAGAATGGTTGCAACACTATTCAGCCCCAGGGCCCGGGCCATCGAGGAGATGGTATTCTATCCATCTTCATGAGACCATTTGTGATGATTGCAAAGGAGCCGATCCTTCTCTTTGCTTCACTCTTCATGGGCTTCACATATGCAATGTTTTATCTGTACTTCCAAGCTTATCCGATCATTTTCCAAAGTAAGACTCCAATATCTGGGAGGTTATTGGACCACTCACTGAACTCCTTGGCAGATCTCTATGGGCTATCACCGGGCGTAGCAGGGCTCGCATTCTTACCAAGTATGTCAATTCAACCGCGTTTTGTTGTGGAAATTAACATTCTGGTCACAGTCAGTGTGGGGGCTTTGGTCGCATTCTCACTCTTCTTGCTATATGGCTCATACCATTCCAAGGCTGTGAAAGAGAACAAGGACTGGGCCATGCTTGAAGAGTACCGCCGGTTGCCGCTTGCCGCATTGGGTGCACCTTTGTAAGTTGAATACCTTCTCTTTCATTGCATAAGGAGGCTAACACCTTAGACTACCAATCGCTCTGTTTTGGTTAGGATGGTCTTCCAAATTATCCATCCACCCTGTTGTCCCCATGATGTCCGGTCTCTTCTTTGGCATAGGGTACATTCTGATCTTTATGGCCATGATCAACTATCTCACTGATGCCTACAAGCAGTATTCTGCATCAGCGCAGGCTGCTGCAAGTACACTGCGTTCTTGCTTGGCAGTCTGTCTACCGCTGGCCACGAATCCGATGTACGGCGAACTGGGGATCAACTGGGCGAGCTCGCTCTTGGCCTTCATCGCCATTCTGCTTGCTGTGATTCCTTTCGTGTTTATCAAGTATGGGCAATGGATCCGAAGCCGTAGCCCATTCTCTCAGCGGGTGATGAAGGGGGAGTTGACTGAAAGACCTGCAGAGACAGTGGTCTGAGGAGTATAGTACCTGGAACATATAAATTACAATACTGTACTATACACGACCATACCGGAAACTCTCGCTGTTATTGGCCGGAGCTTGCGGATTTAAGATTTAGGCTCAACTAGCGCCGTCAGCAGCCCGCAGTAGCGCCGCCACATCCAGGCAGCTCAGTAAATCAGTAAACATTTGGCATTGGCATTCATATATAGCGGAATATTAACTTCTCGCCTCGACGCGCACGCCAAGTATTTGTCGCGTTCATCAGTTCAGGACACCCGCGAACAATCCATTGCCACTTCTTCAAAAATGGCTCCGTCACCTCCCAGTTTCGAATATCCCAAGGCTCCCCCCATACCAACAGTCCAGAATCCATCGTCGACTCGCCCCAAAATCCCATAATGTCATGACAAAGCTGCTCATCATCCCATTCATCGCCCGCTTCGATCAAATTGTCACGCATCTTGGGTAGAGGGAAGAAATCCAGCCAGGGGTGATGAGGCACCGATTTTTGGATTCGAGTGGGGCGGAGGGTTAGTGGGATGTGGCTATGATCGTCTGGCGTAGATTCTCTTTGTGGCAAGGCTTGATTGAATGGAGATACAGCGTCATAGTCCATCCAGTACGGTGACCAACCGATCAATTCTAGATTCTGTGCGAATGCTCGGAAGACGTTGACTTTGGTCAGGGTCATCAGGTGGTCGGCGGCGGGATCACCGCGCGCGTAGCTTTCAATTGCTGATTTGGCGAATTGTTCCAGTAGATCTTGCAGTACTCCGGGGGTGCAGCAGGATTTCACCTTGGAGCTTTCTGAAGTGGCGGAGTCCTGCGACTGGGGTGATGTCGACTTGGACAATTTGACCAGACTCTTAGGGTGAACATCTTTGTTTTGGAGCCGCTTACGTTTCCCTATATCCAGGTTAGCGTCTGCAAGATTGACTAGATTGACTGGGGCAATGCAGCTCACGGTATGCCCTTTGGTTGATGCGATTTTGCCGCCGCCGACGCTCAGCCCGGTCGGTCAGCCCCGACCAGTTGTCTTCCACTTCATCGGAGGAGATCGGATCGGCAATTTGAAGAGACGAGTCAGTCATGTTAGCGGGGAGGTTGTCAGCAACATGAAAACGACAGAAGTGGCTTTATGAAAGATGCGTAGGTGGATTAGGTTTTTAAATTACGACGGAGTTAAGAGATAGTGTTTGGTATGGTCACGAACGGTACGATACCCATTGCATCATCTACATATCTTACTACCCCTCCAAACCCTGATAACCAATGCTTCTCAGCACTTACTGAGGGTTGCTAGAAATTTGCTAGTGTTGCACCGAATCTACTTTCATATTTAAAATAAGTTTACAACATATTCTATTAAGAGTTGTTCCTAACAATTGACTTAAAACACGCTAATCTAAATTTAATCACTTTCTCTGCAATCCCTGTTCACCTGTAACCGTATCATTCGATAGTCAAAAATGACTCACTGTTATAATACAGTAAGGATCTATAGAACCATGCAGAATCTCTCATTCAGAGAGCCGAAACTCAGCAACACCCTCTTTCCCGTTGCGAGCAGCCTTCTGTCACGTCTATCAGCTATCGGAGAATGAGCAAGATCTAGTCAGATATCTATTTCAACAAGAATATACATAACAATGACTAAATTTTAACTCTTGTGGTATAGTGAAATCTCCTGGAAGAATTTTATATAAAATTGCACTAGTGGAGCTTTCAAAGGCACGGAGTCACCGGTCTATAACCATAAGGTATACTCATCCCACCTCAGTACCATTAAGCCCACGAACAAGACCAAAACCAACGACTTCATTGTCTCAACCTCGTTCCGGTGCCGACTCAACCAATTCTCTAACTCCACCCGCCAAGTATACTGGCCGCTATCTTTAAGCGCAGATCGGAGACCTGGGAGTCCGTCTAGGCTGCGGGTGTTCCATTCTTGCTGGTATGTTTGCATCTGGCCGGCAGCAACCTTTTTGGCGGCAAACTGGCCTAGTGTTTGGCGGTCTTTGAGATAGCCTTTGGATTCATTGGTTTCGGGATCGATTGTTAAGGCTATCAGCGGGACACCATAGCCGCAGGAGGTTTGGACCTAGATATGTTGTTAGATAGAGTCAAAGAGTCAATTCGATGTTATAGATGATATCTCTAGGCCGGATTATGTTCGGGATGTTTATCAGTCTTACTTCCTATAAGACTGATCGATCCTCGGGCGAAATGCAAATCAGAGACCAGTGCTAACCTTGAAAATGTGAAGTATAATAATAGCACGCGCCCCCACAACCTGAGGTTTTCCCATGCGCTGTGAATATTTATGATACTCGGGCTGATCCCACTCGATAACAGAACCAGTACAGAACAGCCGCAAGATACGAGGAGACGAATCAAACGAGATGAACATCATGGTAATGCGACCATTCTCACGCACATGGGAGATAGTTTCGCAGCCAGACCCAGTTGAATCGATGTACGCTACCTGGTTTGAACCGAGAATCGCGAGGCAAGAATCTGGTAACCCCTTTGGAGAAATATTAACATGTCGGCCACGGAGAGGAGCTGAAGCCACGAAGAAAATCCTTTGGTGTAGGGCCCAGTCGCGCAGATCGTCTGGAATGGATTCATAGAACTTGCCCATGGCTTTGAGTTGGTTGGCGATGGAAGATTACATAGAGGAGTCGAATGTGAAGTGGGCTGGTGGTGCTGTAAGTAGACGTAATCCACATTCCCCTCCCCTCTTCTCCGCAGCAGTCAGATAGTGTATGTATTATTTAAATATTTGTACTAGCTGTCTCGCAATAGACACTCAGCCCCGCTAGCCTCTTCCGACCAGAGTTTTAATTATTCTTAGCGGCAACGGCCCTTCTCATATTGGAGGTTGCAGCTAGAGTCTTAACGCGTCCTAAGTCTGGGATCTGGAAGTTAGACAGTAGGGAGAGCAGGCGTGGAGGTAAAGGCGTATAGGGGTTCCGTGTACATACATCATAGGTCCGGTCCTACCAATGTCACATGAAATACAAGATCTATTATTGGAAGTGAAGGATCAATGACCATGACTAATCGATATACAGACTAGCATCTTGATCTACTGGTTCGAGAAACAATTACAGGGAGACTATAGGATAATCTTATTTGCTGTGAATGAAGACGAAGGATACGAGTAAAGAAAAAAGGGAGTGGGCGTGGATCAAGCCAAATTCTCTATGGCAAAATACGGTTATTTACAATGACTCATTGCGCATTATAGCCCGATACGCTCATACAACGATACTGCTAGGCAGGGGGATGTTTTTGTAGTAACCTTATATGGTCTAGCGTGGTATCGGGGTACTTGACCGAGAAACAAAGCGTGAGTGTCTGGAGGGTACAGTAGAATTCGAAAACAGTTTAACCCCCCAGACACTCACTCTTTGTTCTCGGCCCGTACCCAATACCACGCTAGTTCTCAGGAAGAAAAACACGCAAATAATAATTTTCTTCCAAAAGATATGTTTAATTCCAGAACGACCGCATGACGCCGTATATTGCAGGAAACTCCTATACACTCTCCTACATTAGTACCCATCTACACCCTGACATACGTCCTCACCACCGCCACACCCGGAGAACGCGGTTAAAACTGGAATCTATATCAACCCTTTCGTCTCGCCAATACGCACCACGTACTTAATAGCAGATGCCTTGCCCGATTTAAGATCCTGCAACGCCCCTTCAAGTCCAGCCAACCCACCCGGGCGCACTTCATACGGGTGTCCCGAGAACCAGCCCTGCGCCAAGCCACGGCCAATGAATTGGAAGAAAGCAGCGCTAAACTCGTTATCCTCGACTGTCTTGCCTGCTGCGACAGGCATATGAACCGACCCCGCTATAGTTTGGCTCATGATAATTCCGTCGGGGGGCTGGTAGTCACCGCTCGACAGCATGGTAGTGATCTCCCCAGGCGCGGTCATAACCGCGCCGACATTCTGATGACTTCCATGTTCGCCCACCGCATCGAATGCGTAGTGTATCGATCGCCCACCCGCCGCTTCCTTGATCTTTGCCCTAATAACTTCGTCGCCTTCACGGTAGTCGATTATCGTGTCACCTTTCTCGCGATCGATGAGAGTTTCGACGAAGGTGCTGCCTTTGCCAGCTACCGTGATAAGCGGGTGGATATTAGAAAGCCGGGCAAATTTAATCGCAAAGGCTCCAACTGCGGTCGCGCCGCCATATACAATAAGAGGCAGAGGCTCAGTGGTCGGATTCCAAGGCAGAGGCAGCTTCAAGCGCTGATAAAGACCGAGTGCAGCAGTCATAGCAGCCAGCGGAATAGTGGCCGCCTCTAGCCGCGTCTCTATATTAGCTCTAGTGAAAACATTTGATCGGAAACAGGCTCACCTTCAAATCTGGTTTTGGCGGGAATATGGAAGGTCGTGTAGTCGGGCGCGATTGCATACTCGGCGTAGCTGCCATGAGGTTTCATCACTTGATGGAACGCGGCGACCCTGTCGCCCTTGTGGAATCCCATCACGCCCTCCCCCACTGCTTCGATATATCCGGCGATATCATCTCCTTGATTGGTGGGGGTCCCGTCTGTTGGCCACCAGAGAGGCATCTTCCAGTCCTTAGGATTAGTACCAGATACGGCCACGCGAATAAGGACGTGGCCAGCTTCAGGAACGGGGATATCGGTGTCTCGGATCGTCAGTGAGATGTTCTTGTCCACAAATGCCTCCTTCATGATTGCTGGTGATCCTCTTCCGAGGTACGTTTTCTACAGCAGTAGTACAGCTTTCGTCATGTAAGAGGTAGGTGGATGAAGACGAAGACTACTCCGAGAGAAAAGGAAGAAGCGAGATCGCCAAAACCCGTCCTCTCCTCCCCCCTCTTAGAACATTAAAAGGAAAAATACGGTAATTTACATTGACTCATTAGACACTACAGTCCAAGACGTTCTTTACCGCGATACTGTTAGGCAGGGGTTATTTTGAAGGTAACCTTATATGGTCTAGTGTCGTTCCGGGTACGGGACGAGAAACAAAGAGTGAGTGTCTGGGGGGTAAACTGTTTTCGAATTCTACTGTACACGAAACTGCTACACACACTCTACCTCAGTGCCCCCTCCTTCCCTCCTGCCCACCTTTGAATACTGACTGGCTTCCGTCTTCGCTCAGGAGAGCCAAATTCGCGCGGAACGTTGAAGCAGACCTCGGCTGTCCAGCCAACCATCGGAATCCGATTTAGGTCAAAAAGAGTCCATATTCCGGAAATGCAAGGACAACCGCATTGTTTGGTTCGTCTGCATGAAAGATTTCGCACTATCCTACGAGGGGCATAGACCACCGTTGGAACAGCGCCTCCATATGTCGCTCTGCATCTGAAAAATTCGAGGAAAAGCATACGCTAGATCGCAACATGGCCCGAGTCTGGTCCGCCCTTACGGAAAATAAGTCGGGTCGCGGTTCCAAGCGCTCATTTTGTAACCTCAACCGGCTGTAATTCCAAAAGGAGCTTAACTTCCGCGGCGATGATCTCGACACCCTCGTATTCACGCGCCAAGTCCTGTGGTATTTTGATGTCTCGTATTCGAGATATCAGAATATATGGCCCTGGATCTGGAAAACGGCCGCATTCCCCCACCCTGTTCTTTGATAAATACCACAAGCAGGTGCTTCCTGAAATAGTACTCATTGTCAAACCCGCAGTTATGGATATCCTTCCCACTTTAGATCCCAATGATCTCTTCTCTGCCAAGGGCCTCGTCGTCGTCATTACAGGCGGCGGCAGTGGTATGCCCTTTATTCTCACGCTGTGTGTTCACTAACCCTGATATTTCTTAGGGATTGGCCTCGCCATAACCTCGTGTCTAAGCCAAGCTGGTGCGGCCCGTGTTTATATCCTCGGCCGCCGCCTATCTACACTCCAGGAAGCTGCTAGGAGCGTCGGTGGCGCTGTTGTACCCGTACAATGCGATATCACTAACTGTTCCTCCGTTTCCGCCGCTGTTGCAAAAATAGAAGACGAAATTGGCTATATTGATATCTTAATCAATAATGCCGGCGTGCAGGGCCCCGATCACAAGCCTGCTAGAGACGCGGAAACAATCGAGGACCTGCAGAAGATCTTGCTCATCGATCCGGAAGGATGGCAGCCTACCTTCGCAGCTAATTCAAGTGCAGTTGTTGGTGTCTCAGCCGCCTTTTTGAAACTTCTTGATGCCGGAAACAGACGGCGGGGCTGGGAAGGAGGCAAGATTCCTTTGGGACGACCTCGGCAGCGCGATATCACAGGCTTCACGGACGATGAGAGAAGTAGCCAGATAATAACAGTCGGGAGTATCTCTGGCCTTAATCGCTTCATAACAGCGGGGTTAGCCTATGGCGCGAGCAAGGCTGCAGCAATTCATTTGAGTAAGATGTTGACCTACTTATTGGCACCGTGGGGAATTAGAAGTAACGTGATAAATCCTGGAGGTGAGTTTGCAGGAAGCCCCATATCATTTAGTTTTCGCTGGACCGTAACTAACCACTTATAGTTTATCCTTCAAGCATGACAGCTGGAACCAAAGACAATTACAGCTACATGGAAGTCCCCGCTGGTCGGAAAGGTGGCTATCGGGATATTTGTGGTGTCGTTCTGTATCTTGTAGGGAAAGCCGGAGCTTATGTCAATGGCAGCATGGAGAATACAGACGGAGGCCGCCTAAGCGTGATGCCTGCAACATATTAACCGTTGATAAATGTTAAAGTACTGTATAAACGTCTGACACGTTCGATACAAAACGCAAGGCAGTACGTCTATCATGATCATTGGCGTTGGTGGAACTATGATCACGGTCTATAGAGAGTTTGTTTCAAGAAATATATATTTGTAAGAGCGGTACCATATGACGTTGTAAGGCTTGTGCTCTTCGGTGATATCTCACGTGAACGTGTTGCTCTCAAGAGGATCGTCTCAAGTGGATTCCGCTCTCATACCAAGGCTCTTAATACTTTCTGTTCAAGTTACATATGCTAATCAAGAGATGTCTCTCGGGTGGTAAACCGTCCTGAGACGTTTCTCTTGTAAGGCCATAAAATCGGACTTCATAGCGCGCGACGATGCACTATCCAATAATCCAGAACTTGTCAGTCGCCGGCTTCATATAAAATTTCGAAATTTGCCTCGTTTTCATTCAGGTGGTAAGGTTGTCGCGACGGAGGCGTAGCATGTTTGAACAAGAGCATTTACTTACATCGTAGTCTCCTAACCACCGGTCAAACTCGGGTTTCTCGTATCTTCGATTCCCAGAAAGTCGATCATGCTGCGCGACGACGGCTTCTTTCAAGGTTGACCTTTGGAGATTGGTTGCATTGATCAAGGAAATCATGAGAGTGGCGAGAGAGAATGAGGTGAATGCTGTCATTAAACATGACGGTCGAAGTGATAGCCTTGCGGTTTGGACGAGAGAAAGGAGCAGGATGTTACCGGATGATCTTTATTTGAAACTCGGTGATGAAACGGGATCGACTCAGGCGATTGAATCAAATTCTCAGAAAGCAACTCTCAAAACTGGGGATACTCTCCACAATGTTGACATCTCGACGATACCATATTTATTATCCTTTGTAAGGTTTCAACGCCTTACCCAGCCGCAAAATACAAATTTCATTCATGGCAATATTGCTTTATTTGATATTGCTCTCAAGGGCTTGGAATCAGGCTATCGGCAATGTTTCCGCTCTTTGCTAGGCGATATTCCTCAGTGTCAGACTCTTTGTGAAACATATGACTTCCTTGGGGTCGAGGTACTTGCCGGGCAGTCAATTGATAATATTTCTGCCGATTTGAGGGCCTGCAAAACCGATTACGAAGTCGAATATAAGCGTTATTTATGATGCCAATATTTATCGATGATAATATCCATCAAGGGATCGCCATCCAATTTCGAAAATTCCATGCTCTGTAGTAACTCCACGATCCCAGAGATCAAGAAGATAGCCCAAGTACCTACTTCTCAAAGCCCCCGTCTAACCATTGTGTCAACGACTTGGCAAATAGACATGAATTGTCTTTATCTCCGAGCCTGGCGTCGACTTTAAAAGTCCGCATACCGCTCTTCAAAAACATTGAAGGAATCTGGAAATCTAGCAATATATCACCGCGGCCGCTACTAGGTAGGTAGTCAACCTGAGCGCCCGTGGAATCGCGAATGATGAAATGGGCTGCATCATTAATGAGAACAGTTTTTAACGGCATTGTAAGGGACTTTGGTTCTAGGTAGCTACCATCTCGGTAGACAGCAGAGCTGTTCACAGGGAGGGTTGCATCAATAAGGCCCTTATCAGAGAGTCCTAGTCCCTTCGTTTTGGATTCATATAGATCGCCACGTAGGTAGACAAAAAAGACGCGGTCGCTTTAGGATGTCAGGACATTAAGGGTGCCCTATTAAGGAGGGGTTCTTACGCGAGAATAGGCGTCGGGGCAATTTCAAGGAACTCGATGCTAAATAGCTGGTCTTCTTTTGGCACGGTATCGTATATAGCATCGTTGTGGCCGAAGACCTTGTCTTCTTTGACCATGACGTTCACGCCGACGAGAGGCTTTTGCTGTACGGGTTTGGCGATGCTAAGAACAGCTAGTGTGGCAACACAAAGAGACAGCCAGTGTGGGATATTCCACTTCATCATCTATCGGTGGTGTGGATGGGATTGAAGATGTCTTCACAAGGGGGAAAAAACAAGCAGTAACGTAAGTTTATTGGTTGAGAGACGGACAGGGAAGGAGAGACTCCGACCCCTCGAGGACTATCTCCTCCTCTCCTTCCCTTCGAGGGGACTATCCAACTACTACTTGCCTCAGTGCCTCAGGCCCTCCACTGCATCGGAACAAGCATGTTCCGTAATTACCTAATCGGGTAATTCGCCTGGGGAGGGCCTGAGCGCAATTGCACCGCTTTTGCTGTGGGTCTCAATTTCGTAACGTGTAAAACGCATAGTTTAGGTTCTAAATTCACAACAAAACGACGCGACCATCGAGACAATTTGTCCTGTTTCTCCGCCAAATTGCATTGCTATACCTTGAAATTTAACCCATCCTATCAACAATGCCTGTTAAATCAAATGCAGTATCTTTTATGCCTGAAGATCCTCCATCTGCTGAGAAATTACGCGACCTTCTGCACCGACTCCACGGATTCCAACCCCGTCCCGACCAGGTAGAGGCCATTAAAACCCTGGCCATCGATCAGAGAGACCTCATACTCATAGCTAGGACTGGCTGGGGGAAGTCAATGATATTCCAATCAGTTCCTGCACTTAGAACGGGCGGAATCGCCCTTCTGATCATGCCTTTAAACCTGCTAGAGGAGGACCAGGTGGGTTGAACAGCCAGCGTTGAAATTGATTAGCATGCTCCATACCCAGTTGGAGCTATCACAGGTGGTTCATGCAATCTGACATGTCCTAGGCAGCGTCAATCAAGAAAATATCTGGCTGTGTTCCATGTATTCTCAACAGCAAATCGAACAACGCTCATGTGCGCCAGCGGATAATGAATGGAGAATTCACGCACAGTAAGCTGCATCCAGCTGCCGTGGCACAACGACCCACTAACGGGAGGATTCTAGTTCTTTTGGGGCCTGAGATTGCTCTCTCAGATAAATTCGCGGAGCTGTTACGGCATAGGGAGTTTCATCAGCGCTTAGTCTTAGTTGCCATCGATGAACTGCACGTCGTTCAGCAGTGGGGTGGCGATTGGCGAAAACACTACTCTCGGATTGGCGTCCTTAGACATCGTATCGATAAAAGAGTGCCATGGTTTGGGACCTCTGCCACCCTTGACCCGACCATGCTTCAAGATGTCATACAATTGGCGGGTTTTCAGGACGAAGTCGAGGTAATGAAAACAACGATCGACCGACCAGATATCTCATTATCCATTCGTCGGATTGAGCACAGCATTGCTAGTTTCCATGATCTCAGTTTTCTCTTAGACGAAGCAGTGACTGCCCCAGGGCAGGTCAGCATGAGTCAAATCCCAAAGACGATCGTGTACATGGATTCAATCGCCCAGATCGAGGCCGCAGAGTTTCAAATGATCGAATGGCTCGTGAGGTTGGGTAGCCAGAGAGCCTTGGCAAGCGCCGCTATTCAAGCCTATCACTCTCAGTTGGCTGACTTCGACAAGCGCAGAATATCTGAGGATTTTTGCCGTCCCGACCGAGGCCAGGGCGGTCCCGCCATCCACCGCATCATACTAGCCACAGACGCAATGGGAATGGGAATCGACAACCCTGATATCCGCCGCGTCATACAATGGAAACAGCCCTCCTCAATGTGCACACTATTTCAGAGAGCAGGGAGAGCTGCAAGAGGAAGTGGATATATGGGTGACTTCCTTTGGTTGGTGGACTCCTGGTGCTTCGAACCGATGGAAAACCAAGCTGATGCATCCCGAAGAGCAAAATTGGAGAGGGTGCGCAGAGCACAACTCGATCCTGGCCTGCGGGAGTTGATAAACACGCGTGGCTGCATTAGAAAATGCGCTCTAAATTTCTTCGGGGAGTCAATGACGGATTGCCAACGACCTGGACCGCTGGCCTGCTGTACTGGTTGCAGTCAAGTTGACATCCTCCCTAGGCCTCGAAAGCAAGAGCAACAGCTCCGTAAATCGAAAGTCCCTAACTGGGCAAGACTAAGGGCTCGCACGGACTTGATTCAGTGGCGCAAGACAAGGGCAGCGCAGCTCTTCCATGCAAGCTTCTTCCAAGATGAGGACGCTCATGAGGCGCTAATGCCCACGCACTTGCTGGATAACCTGGCAAGAGACGGATACCACATCCATACAATTAATGATCTTCGAGACCGTATTGGGGGAAGTGGATTTGGTTGGAGAGATTTGGAGGGGAGGTCGTCAAGACCATCAGGGCAGCTGGGGTTACCAAGGGGGTCGACATCAGAGCCATTGCAGCTGCTCGTGCAGCTAAAACAAGAGACGAGAGACAAGCCCTTCAACAGCTCGATGCAAACAGGGCATTCCGTCCGTATCGAGGTCAGCCACCGATTACGCCAAGTCAAAAAAGGCAAAAAAGGCAGATAGGATAGATTCATCCCGTGTCCTCCAACGCGAAGAAATCTACGGGTAGATCACCTGTGTGGGATTCCTCGAGCTCCTCGCTCTCCATGCCATACCCTCGGAGTTCTCTTGAATTAAACCTTTCCATTGTCTCACCAGCCAGTTTGGCAACACCTAGTCGCACAAGATCCGGAGCAACAAACTTGGTAGTTCGATCGTTTTTATATGCCAACGAACCTTGGCGGACCAGTCTCTCTGCCATGATAGTGAGATCATACGTTGCCGACTTCACCGTGTGCTCCGGGTTAACGTGTACGTTAAAAATGCGCTCGATCTCGGAGCGGAGTAGACGGAAGAACGATGAGTTAAGGGAGCAATACTCAAAGAGATAGTCGAGATGGATAGTGGATCCTCGTTTCGCCTTAAAAATCTCCTTCATATCCCCAATATGGAACTCCATCATCCGATCAGTTTCAAACCACGAGTCCTGATGGCCGCGCAAGTTAATGAGGCTATTCGCGAGAATGGCCCGTTGCAGCGCTGGAGTTGCAGATGTGGTCAATAGCTTTTGAAAGTACAGCATCTCATTGGCATACTTGCGTTGATTGGTCCCGGCGAACAGAACACAGGCTCGATCGACCGCTCTCCGTAGAAGACCAATGTCTGCGTATTTGATGGCGTACTTGAGCAACAGGTAGTTGAGTGTATGCTGCAGGAAAAGGCAGTGGTTCTGTAACTCTTGGCCCCCGCGGGTAGCCTGGTGGAAATATACCACACGGATGCGCTCGATTAGGGAGAGGAAATTCTCTGGGCTGTGTAGGCGTGTAATTCGATCAATATCCTCGTAAGATTTCCCTAGTCCGGTATTCGCGAGAAGTAACCAGTACACAGCGGCCACTCGGGCTTCGAAGCTGTGGATTACCAGCTCTTCCAATGCGAAGAAATCCGATTTTGCTTTGCTGATTTTCTTACGCCTCCAAAAGTTAGCGGCATCATGCAAGGTGGATGGATCGCCCCCAGTGCCTCCGTAATGGCACGTTGATATCATGTACAAATAATTCATCTTCAGGTGGAAGAGGCCAGCGACCGGTAGGACCCACTGGAGATTGTCATAAGGTCGAGAGGCACGTCGCCGAAGGCGCTTGCAGGATCGAATACGATCAACGGTTTTTTGATCACCATATACGAGGAAGAGCCGAGTGCGATAAAGCTCTGAGTCCTCGTCGATAGCGTACTGCTTCCGGAAAATATTGTCAAGTATCGATAGGTTTCCTTCATTTGTCGACTCGTCATGGAAAATGGGTCCAAGAGGGGAATGCTTCGTGATCCCAACGGGCAAGACGTCAAGTTTTGGCATGTTGGGAAATGCCGCCGTCGAAGGAGAAAATATTGCTTCAATTGCTTGAGGAAAGACCCCTTTCACAGCTTTAGCAATGAAAAACCGGACAATCTACCACGCTAGGTTAAAAGGGAATACTTACCATACGAGTCAATCATACCTGGCGCTGAATTTCGTCATCTGAATTGCCCGGTGCTAGGAGCACACTTTCCGGTTCCAGGCGGACATTTCGATCAAGCATGGTCTGCTTCAATCCTCCATCTGGCATTTCCCTTCCTTCAAAGACCTCCCCGGCGGTCACTGAGTGGAATGTACTGTTTCCTTCAACACGCTGCTCCCGGACGCCTTCCATTTGCTCAAAGTTATCGTAAACAGTAACAGAATTCTGAGACCTCCCAGCAGCAGTCACAGAAGCGATAGCTTCTCCAGAAAGAGACTTGATTACCCTCAGAATCGTACTATAGCTCACAGAGAGCCCATACTTCGCGAGCAGTTCGATGACTCGTCGCCGAACTCCATTGGCATGCAGGTGTATGGCAAGAAGAGTCTGCACGTTGCTGTGTCGATTGGATTGTGAATAACAGAGGATTGCGAGGATTATTATGTACCGAGACGAAAGCGAACTTATCTCGCTAGCACGCCGAGTTCCGCATGTTACACTATCCAACAATCCAATAAATCTCGGAGCATGCTCATGAGCCGTATCGAGGAGTCCATGTAGCGAATCAGCACTAGCAATGGAGACAGCGAACTCGCCAAAGCCGGTCTGTTTTCCGAGCTCAACAATTTCTCGTCGATACTCTGGCATGCCCCAATTCACTGAGTCGAGTAGCATCTTGCGCAATTCCAGTTCTGATGAACGAGGATGAGCGAGGCAGAGGTCAATTACCTCCCTGCCATATGCAGCTTTCATATACCCAGTTTGTCGCTGGCGGTTCTTTAGGTCATTTTGCTGGCACAGGGTTCTGATCAAGTCGGATAGGGACCAGTTGAGTTCAGTACGAAGGAATGCGAACGTCTTGTCCAACTTTTCTGCCGGACTGAGACGGCTGCGATACTGCCTAGGTGTTGTATGAACGGGGCTGTCAGAAGGTTGCGACATTGTTGGATGAAGGGGTTGTTGTTCAAAATACATTACGAAATTGAGACCCACAGCAAAAGCGGTGCAATTGCGCTCAGGCCCTCCCCAGGCGAATTACCCGATTAGGTAATTACGGAACATGCTTGTTCCGATGCAGTGGAGGGCCTGAGGCACTGAGGCAACAACTACTCTCAGGACAATCCAGGTCACGTGATCTCAACAAAAAAAGAGACACAGCGTTGACCTAAATGAAAAACGCAGTGTGAGTACCAAGTGTGGAGACCAAAGATTCAGGCGCAATAACCTCAGGGAACGCTAGAAAACTAAGGGGCTTGTTGCTGCGCCAAGCGGAGATTGCGTGACCGTGGTCGGAGATGGGAGTGCGTGGCGTGAAATTTGGCAACTTGACGGCCTAAAACGGCCGCACTTGCGGCCATTTCTGGAAGCCCGTTTGCCGTCTGCTACCTTATCAAAGTATTCTATCCTTTACAATAAACTATATAATTATTAATTTAAAAAATTAGGTATTTTAATATTTTTTTTAATACTACAATTCAGGATGACACGGTGAATGGGAGGCCAGAAACGGCCGCTTTTGACGCCGTTTTAAGCCGCTCGCTCACCGTGGTCGGTCTTGGCGTCACGTGCGCCAAAGCCCACGGCCAACCCGGTTTACTGCCACCAGCGCTTCGGGTTGGCCGTGCCTGGTGCCTGGGCCCATTGATCGACCGATGTCTATTCGTGCCGCAGCCGCCGGCGGAGCCCTGTCCTCGCTCACCCTTAGTCACTCTCCTAGCGGAGGGGAGCCATTTTCGGCTCCTCTGTTAACCGTTCTACTTCCCTAAGTTTCTATAAATATCGACCACCATGGCCCCCGACCGACAGTCCTCCTTCGCTCTCTAACAACTCCTCTAGCCCTAGGCCTAGGTGTCAGGACCTCTACCTGACTGAGGGTGTTGACTAGGCCTAAGGCATTGGTTGATGCCTCAGGGATCGGAAAGGATCGAAATGGTGCCCCAGCGAGGGTCTCACCGCCCTCGACTGGGCCAGTTCTTGTATATAAGCATTTCTCGCTGGACCGTAAAACGGGCCAGCGTTCAGTCTCTTCATACAATACACTTTATTGTAATACACGCATAACTGGGTTATCTACCTCGCTTACATACCTAAACCTAGAGACTGCTGCATGGTCTCATAAATGTATATCGGTGTGACATAAGGGTATAGGATGATTAACGCTTTCTATAGGAAAAATTTCTTCTTATAAGTGTATATCACTAACATTGGTCAGGAACACTTTTATTATTCCCGAGATCATTTATGATCCGTCGCTTATATTGAGCCTGCATAAGTTTTTGCTTAGTATTCTTTTCGATAACGACGCTTTCCGTGCCCCTATAATAAAATCCCGGGACGACCTTAGGAGGCTTTGGCTAGAAGATAGCCGGCAGCAGCTACTATTACCACTAAAAGCTAAGAAGGCAAATCATTATGTATTCTATAAGGTCGTGGCAATCCGCGGCGTCGTATAGATTATTAGAGATTGGCTAATCTCGACCATAGCTCTAGGTAAGTAGTTTTCCGAACCTTTATACACATTGCAACCGGTACGGTAGTGGGACAATACTTAATCAGAGTAGTAAGTTACCGGGCTCTCGGTTCTTATAAGAAGGCGAGAAAAAGGGCTAAGAAAAGAAAGGGCTCGTGAGCGATACATAACAAAATTTAATCATGAAACACGTAAGCATTCGAACATTTTTGAACCACTATCTCCCGCGTCCTATCGGTACGGATATATAGGCATTGATAAGAGGTCTCGAACCTAACTTAGCGATAATAAGAGCGGTCTCTCGGATAGGGAGATAGGTTAACACTCGTCGGCCTCGCGAGCTTATAGATACCTAGAAAGTAAGTGTTAAAGCAATGCCGGAGCTATAAGAGGCGATCTATAAACGTGATAGGTTCGCTCGAAAACTGAAACAAAGCGGCAAAAAGAGCCGTAGAGGACTAGATCCACTTGATCAACTTAAGAGGATTGTGACTAACACACGTAGTCGGCTCCTTTACGATCTTCGTAAGCGTGTAAGGGAAGAATTTGATAGCAGCTAAGTAGTTAAGGATATTCAGCGATAGCTTACTACCGGAACCGCGGTTTATAACGATAGAACCAAGGAGCGCCTAGCAGCTAGGGAAAACATGCTCCCGGAGTAGATATTTCTCTTAGAAAAGCTAATAACATAGCCGACTTCGTTGTCTTTAGAGCGGGAATAGAAGCGGCGAAATAAGGCAGTCAAAGCTATTCGTATATACTGCCGTGTGCGAGGAGGTAGGCCTCGAAGAGGACGACGACCGAAGAAACCCGTTCCTCGTGATAATCTTGTACCACACAGCCCTCCTACACTAGCTTCTACACAAACACCCGTACTATCTTTACCACGCGAAGATACTTTACGAAAGACAGAAGCGCATGTCTAGGCCGCCGCTAAACCACTAGGATGCTTCTAATGTTTTGGAAACCTAGAAGAATCGGACGACCGTCGGATGAAACACTATTCTCGGCATAAACATCATCTACGTCATTTCAGGGATACACATCTAGATGGCCGTCACTACAAGTAGTGCAATATATTGGTTGAACATAAAGATGGTTTAAGGAGGCATGCCCATGAGAAGCATCGACTAAAGACCTAGGCTTTTCTGCCGGTCTCCAGAGATAAGCTAGATATAGCCATACTCTATCTGCCTCGTCAGTGTCAGCGCATGCGATATTATACACTAGCTTCAGGGCTACCACCATAGCGTGAAGTAGCACTCTATTTTCCAAAAAATGTTCCAAATCTACTGCATACCTCACATTATCCCAGACGGAGTCCTCTTCCCGCAGTGGCATGCCGCAGCACAATTGACACCCAGAGTTGATCTACCAGGATTTTAGCCCCAATTAGAAGCAGGGCTACGGCCACGACCAAAAGAAAGAGAGGCGCTTCACGTACTGGAATTGAACAGCATTCAAGAAGTTTTTTCGTCTTAGACGATAACGTAGACAAACTCTTGGCGCCTCTCAAGTTGGATCTTCATCAGTGGCATAGAAGGTATGATTCGTTGTTCTTTTTCTATAACCAATGCCGTAGAATATATACAGTACGTATCAGATAGCACACACAATGACATTAGCGATCTATGCTTCAGCTCCGTAATAGACAAACTGTGCCTAATGTAACGGCCGTTTTCGATATTCAACCCTCGTCGGAACGTTAAAACCGCCTTCTAAAGTGCTATCACTATACTGTATGCATCACTGAGGAGCGCGGAATTAAAGGTCCGGCCCCGGTAAACGGAAGAGGGGGTTCAGTTTCGCATATATCGGTTGCCTGGTCCCAAGATGAAAGCCGATTTGCACCAGCGTCCTACGGTAATACAGTCAGCGACTGGGATCTAACAGCCAATCACTAATGAGTTCTAATATATCTTTGCGAATGCTGTAAATTTGAGCAATCGTGTCTACTAGCTCAATGCCGTCCATTGGCTAGCTGGTCGGGAAATGGTTAATAATGTTGATATAGGAGGTTTCTAAGTCTGCTTTTCCCTTGAAGAGACTGTCTAGCTATTTATACATACAAATCGGCCCCGATCTACTGCATTGACTATGCCGTAACAGGCAAGAGAACCGACGTCTAGGGTTGAGTGATGAAACTCGTAATTTGCAGTACTGACCACGATATCAATGCCAGAAATGGCCTGGATCTCAAGAAACAAGAGGTTTTGTTTATATAGGTATCTGGCTAGATAATTAAGCTTGATCAAGATCAGGAGATGGTAGTGAACAGCACCAAAAGATTTGGGTTACAATGAAGATTCAAAGGAGCTTTACGGTGATGTCTCAGCCTTGAAAGTTGCCTCCTTCGCTTCCAATTCATCCAAGGTAGGCTTTCTTGCCCACACGCGGTGCCTGAACGTTATTAGCATCAAAGAATTCAGCAGCACGATTTTAAAGAAAACGAACGCAGGATTATACGCATGAATGTATGGGTCCTTCAACTCTATGCGCACTTTAGCTAGGAACACCTGTACCTCCTCCTTCGTCCACGGCTCCGGCTCCCCAAAGTGGGTGAGAAGCCACATCGCCCAACCTTCTAGAGCAGCGTTCCAGTGGGCATCCTGGAGGTGTCCAACCTCCTTCAGTAACTTATCCTTAGGCCAAGGTCCTAAGGGGATCTTGTACTTTTTCCTCGTGCACATCCACGAATCCGGCCTTCTCAATTGCGCCGCGCATGGTTTCATGGATGTTGAGCGACCGTCCAGCTCGCTCGGCGCATCTAATAAACATAGGCCCCCACTTCCATAGCTGGTGTTCTTTTTTCAGGGTACCGTCATCGCTAGAGACTCGCACGTCAAATTCCATCTGCTCGATCCAACCACCGGGTTCGAGGGCGCTATAGCGAGAGTAAACACATATGAGCGTTTCGTGACACAAAAGATCGAATAATAAGGACTGAAACTCACTCGAAAGCCTGTTTATATAACTGGTCCCATCCCTCAGGTGGAAAGGCGCCATACATTAGGCGCATATGGATAAAGTCAAACGAGTCTCTCCATGTCCATTCGCGGAGCACATCATCCACTTCGAACACGCAGTTTGGAGGCATCCATGACACTGGCGGGGGGAAAATATCCACGCCGCGGACGGTAGCTAGCCGGTGTCAGCCCAGAACAGGAGTCATCTCGCGAAATCTAATACCTGACGGATAGCGATCGGCAACATCACTATGGACTCGTTAATGGTTTTCTTGAAACGTTTTGATCATCGGATTACATTGCCCAACTCCCTTGACCAGTTCCGATATCCAGAATATGCTAGTGATGTTAACGGACGTTCAAGTGACTGTCGCCTTGGGAAGTTCACCTTGGGTGAATCGCCGATAGGGGCGCGGAAAAGAGGATTCGGCTGGTTGAAATCTAGAACAAGAAACACCATATGGCTGAGTTCGTTATAACCACAGACCTTCTATTAGTGAGACATGAAAGGTATGAGGATGAGATGCGATTTACCCAATCTCAAACGCCTCGAATTGCTGCTCGTCAGAAGGTCCCCTGAACACGGTTACTCCATGTATACACAAAGCAATGCTTTGTAATGCTTCGTAACTAACCAGTAATCATCTTCTTTTGTGGCCTGGTATCTACTTCTTAGGTTAGAATCAGGAAACGACCTTGGGCTGGATTAGACTGACCTTCGGCCGTTTTCTAACCGTCCCCTCGCGATCGAGGACGCAATAGAGGTGGTCTCTCTGAACACGTACTAGAGTGAGAATACGACAGTAGGTATGCTGTAGTTGGTTGCACTCACGACTGAAAATCCTGCGGGTCTGTGCCAAAGCCAGTAGCTATAGAGTAGAAGTCCGGGTCCTAGTCGAGACATGAGATTGACCGCATCAGAACATGAAACACTACTTACCACTGCGATTTTCTCCATATCTTCAGTCGTGGTTGTGATGATTTCCCAAAGACTTGGGTGAAACCTGTCGAGGTCGGAGCAATTTGAGAAAACGGCTGGGGCAAAAAATGGAGGCGGGGGAAAGTGGGATGTTGGGGCGGAGTGTGACCAACTCACGCCTGTACTGCACTAGGTACTAACAAAGAAAAACGAAAAAAGTACCAGACGGGGAACGCGGGGGCTACTAGTGATTGGCCAGGTGTTGACCTTTCCAACAGACCCAGAACCCAACGCGATCTGGCATGGTTTTACAGAAGTCATTGCATCTAAAGCCTTGCCGAATATGTGGTGGTGTGTTCAGGAATCGCGGGAAGAGGGGCTAGCAAGAGCAAATATGTCCATCCTAGCCACTGAAAGATCCCCGTGGCCATGGAGTGATTAGGCCGCCGCCCAGAAACGCCCATCATATGTGCGTATATTATTATTTTCTCCATCTCAGACGGCCCGGATGTGGAGTTGCGCTCTCTGCACGCTAGTCGGCACTAGAAAGTGGAATCTCACGCACGCGGGAGAAGGCCACGAATAGCAGCCGCTGCATTAGTATAACCAGCCCCATCTCCGTGAAGTCAAAAGTTGTCAGCCGTTTCCCATGTCCAATAGTGGCCATAGTATATAGCAGGGCCCGCGGACTCCCCAAAAGGCCGCTCTCCCCAATTCTGCCCGGTTGTTTCTTCCGCTATGGCAGTAGCCGACTTATCAGGTCAGGCTGTGACGCTCGTCTGCTGCCTCTTAAGCCTCTATGTCTTCAATATTATTACGACATATGCTAAGTTGATGCAGTTCCGGGGGCCCTCGGGGACTGGCATTTCCAACTGGCCTCATAGCATGGCGATGCTTCGAGGCAATTGCCACGAGTGGTACGCAGAAGTCAACAAGAAATATGGTGCGAAGGATTTCCTAGACATCTCTTATGCTTTGCATCCAGGGAGCCGCATATATTATAACTAACATCTCCGACTTGAGCCAGGTCCGATCGCCCGTGTCGCGCCTCAAGTGCTGGTCACGTCGTCTCCCGAAGTTTGGATGCACGTAAACAACAAGGCTGGCTACAAACGCTCCAATTGGTACTACAAAGCCGCACGAATCGAGTACCGGAGGGATAATGTCTTCAGTCAGACGGATAACACGAAACACGAGCAGCGGAGGAAGCAGATGGCTCCAGGGGTATGATAGCTGCCTCGTACTTCTCTCCCCGAGTCTATCCCCACCCATTCATACCTGCGTGGGCCGCTAACCAGGATTGTTAAAGTATTCGGGAAGGGAGAATATCCAGCTCGAAGGGTCTATAGATGAACGACTTCAAGATTTTCTGTACCTCATCCGGTCCAAATATATCTCGTCCGACCGCCGTGTTATGGCCATGGACCTAGCGAAAAAGGTTCAATATTTTACGCTCGACGTTATTAGCAGCGTGGGCCTTGGCAAGGCGTTCGGTATGTTGCAGAGCGACCATGACGTGGACGACTACCTCAAATCTAGCGAGGAGGGGCTTGCTATCGGCAATACCGCCCTTGCGATAGGATTCAGCTGGATCACCCAAATGCCCTTCATCGGCAGATTTATTGCACCATCGCCCAAAGATAGCAACGGCTTCGGTAAGATGATGGCCGCATGCTTCCGCCTCGTCGAAGAGCGCGCTGCGGGCTCCACCAACGAAAAATCCGATATGTTAGCCTCCTTCATACGCCACGGTCTAGCAGGTGACGAGCTGCGCACTGAAGCCCTAGAGCAAATAATTGCGGGCTCTGACACCACCGCTAGCGCCATCCGTGGCACTCTCCTGTACCTCATAACGAACCCCCGCGTCTACCTCAAGCTACAGCACGAAATTGACGATGCCACGCGCCGCGGCCTTGCTCCGAGAAAGGGCGAAGGCCTTATTACTGCCGCCCAGGCTAGAAGTCTTCCGTACCTCCAGGCAGTGATTCGCGAAGCTCTACGAGTCTGCCCGCCTGTTACGAACATCTTCCCGCGTGATATCCCGCCAGATGGCGACGCTCTTATCGTCGACGGGGAGAGCGTATTCTTACCGGGCGGCGCCTGCATCGGGTACTCCGCATGCGCTATGCACCAAAGCGAGAAGATCTATGGCAAGGATGCAGAGGCTTTTCGACCAGAGCGGTGGCTCGAGTCGGAACCTGCCAAGCTGGCTGTCATGGTTCGGACCAACGAACTCATTTTCGGCCACGGCAGATTCCAGTGTTTAGGGAAGGCAGTGGCACAAATCGAGATCGGAAAGACGGTATTCGAGGTGAGTAGAAACAGCTCCGCATGTCTACTTCAGTCCTCTTTCTTCTCGATGACACACTAACTGACCGCCACCCGGACACAGCTATTGCGTAACTTCGACCTAGCACTTATCAGCCCCACGCGTCCCTGGGATGCGCGGAATTACCTAGGGCTTTATGCGATTTCAAATATGTGGGTGCAAGTGACGGAGCGAATGCCCTATTCTCCTTGACCGGGTAGAGAGGATTTCCCCTGTAATGTTCATGAGCACCCCGCCATGGTCATGCTTCGCAGGCATTCTTAGTGGTACTGTAAAGCTGATGTCTAATGTGTGGTGCTTATTTTGGATGTGTAACAGCAATACAGCTTCTCGCGATTTAGTCATTGTATTATACCTTTCCACGATACGACGGACAGACAAGCAGTCCAACACAACCCACATTAAAGCGAGGCTGGGAAACAACGTGTTCTGAGTGTTCCTGTTAGGTTGAGGCAATTCAGCCAACTGAGATCGCCACAAGGAGGCTAGTAATAGCCAAGATCCGTTAAAAGGCCTTTGGGCCCCGGCGAGGAAATGCAAATTCAGCTTGGCAGCTCATGTCGTTTGTTGACTGAATGATCTGATAATTCCGCTGGCATGTGCCCATTACCCAATTCTTTCGGTTGGGAAGCGGCTTTCTCAAGCGCATACCCAGGCAATGATGAAGGAAGGGCGTGAGACTGCGATTGCTGCCGTGGCTGTTGTCGTTTCCGATAGCGAATCAGAAGGTAGAGAGCTGCAATAATTGCGGCTGCCCCGACAACGCCACCGGCCACACCACCGCCTATGGCTCCTGCATTGGTTCGTGATGAGTGGCCTGAGGTACTAGACCCGGCGCCTAAAGATGATGTGGGGATACTAGTAGGCGTGGAAGTTGGAGTGGTGGAAGAAGTACCTGACCAAAGCGTACATTAGCCATTGGAACAGTATGAGAATAAAGTGACCACTGACCGGTAGAACTAGGTTTTAATGCACTATAAGATAAATTGCGAGCGGCACCTGGGTCGACACAACCGACCGAAACAGTGCCTTGGACAGAAAACCCGGCATGATTGGGCTCACAACAGAAATAACCCGTCGAATTGTAAAGATCCCAGCTTGTATTCGCGCAAGTCGGGGTATCCGCAAGAAGTCCTGTGCAGTTCAGAGTGTCACGACAGCAAATAAAATTATTGATCTTGGTGGAATGCGAGTCTAAGCATTGAGAACTTCCGGGGCAGCAGGCATAGAAAGTTCCCCACGTCCGACCACACACTGACTCTCCCGCGCTGCAGGAGTTGTTTCGGCGAACAGGATACCCTTGAGCCTCGTCTGAAGACATCGCGATGCGGCAAAATAGATATAGCGTTCGATGTTTAGAGAGGATGAAAATTCTGAATTCATTAAAATGGGGCGGAGAGAAGAAGAAAAGAACTGAGCGAGGTTTTCGCCCCCATCTGGGGCCAGAGCACCAACCTCTTGAGTAAAGCACAACTACCGCTCCCCACGAATTAAATTGAATCGAACTTTTGGCTGATTCGATTCGATTCGAAGTTCGTGAATTCTTTGTACTAACGTCTTATTGGGAAGCCAGTAAATGGTCTAGCAGTACCTGCTGTTGATCCTTGAATGGTCAATCTGTCAACAATTCCCCTCACCACCGCAGAAAATGATTCGTTGTGAGAGTGTTATGCCGCAGCCTCCCCTTTTAACCACGCCCCTCCTCTCATGCACTCTGGCATTCATTCCCACGACCTATGCTCCATAACATCTTTGTTTATCTCATATTTACCATGGACTCAAGATAGGCTATTCTGCTCAAACCCCACCATTATATTCCACCATGGCAGCCAGGGACCGTCTATGCCATACCGATTACACGGTCGGGTAGATATGCGCTTTGCCCCTAGAGATGGCAGCCGCAAAGCTAATGCTAGATGCAATACACCCGAGTCTGCCTCGCCCGCCGACAGATCAAAATACGTACATTCTAGGAAATATCGGGGATCATAACATCGTTATTGCCTGTTTACCAAGTGGCGCAATTGGCAATGTATCAGCTGCGACGGTAGCGATACAGTTACTCTCGAGTTTCCGCTCTATCCGGTTCAGTCTGATGGTCGGTATCGGTGGAGGTGTACCAAGCAGCAAGGCAGACATTCGACTAGGCGATATTGTGGTGAGCCAGCCAGCGGACACCACAAAACAAGTTAAACCACTTTAGAGTACGAAATATGATTCATGGATAGAAAATACCCAGGAATCTCATTCATTTGCCTCTGTATCGTATTTCTCTGCGACGGAGTCAATTTTAACTGCGTACTTGCCATTACTAGCAGTAATTTATATTGAGCAGCTTTAGTTAATAAATGGGATCTTATTACCTCGCAGTAATCTTTCCTCCGTTAAGAAAACACTTGAAGATTTCATCGCCCTAAGAATATTCTTAATCCAGAAGCTAAAGTCAAATGGAAAATATAGGAAGAATAGTTGTTTTCACTGATTTCATCTTTTAGAACCCTGCATCTCACCAGCATAGACCAGATCAAAAAGCTTTTCGAGCAGCAGGAACAAGACGCCTTCGGAGGGGACAACCATTTTATCCATATCTACCTCGAAAAGAGGATTGCACTAAATACCACAGTATTGCTTGCGAATGGCAGAGCGAGTAATTTATCCTTGACCAATCAGTTAACGAGCCGAACTAGCCATTCGAACCCCATAGTTCGCGCTTGTTTTGGTACGCACGGCAATTTTTATATCATCACGGAGTATATCAAAGTTGACAAGATCGCGTCCGATGCACAGAGGGCTAAGAATTTGCTAAACTGGTGTCTATAAAGTGTTAGCGATAAGAGACTAGCCGTCTCAGCGGTGGCCGTATCGATAGCAGCTTTGGTTACAGATAGAAAATCCTAAATGTTTATAGGTTTGAGATACCTGCTAGCTATTTTGAGTCCCTATAAATGAATGAAAGCAATGCTTGATATCCTAAGATTCGATGATTCTTATTTGACAACCCTTGTATGATAGTAACTTATAGGGAGATTTGGTAATTATATACACTAGCAACAGAAATGTCCTGCTGAACTAGTAAAAATGAACTATAGAAAGGTGGTAGACGAAAGACCTCAAAAATGGCAATCACATTCTCCCCTCATATAAAACTTGAAACTCTAATCTTTTATTGCTAGCTATAAAGCATCTATACATGCTATATATAGGAATCAAATCGACTAGAGCAAACCGAGCCATGAAATATCAGGCATGATTCTTGACATCCACTTAAAGGCACGAGTCGGACTTGTTGTCACCACCGTCATGACATCCCTTAGAACATGTGTCTACCACGTGAATAGACCCGTTGCTGCCGCCGTCGCAGTGGTAGAGGAAGTAATCATAGTTAACCGTCCTGGGATCGGTACCATATTCATCGATAGCCTTTAGAATCTGCTGGTGGTAGTCGCCTATCATAGGTTAACATGATGTAAATAGAATGATTAAGGCATTAAGTTTCTTAAGTACCTTTACCCATGAGGGTGAAAGAACAGTAGTTAAGGCCCTCTTGACAATTCTTTGCAACGGCCAGAGAGGCGAAAATGGTAAGGGCTGGGAGAATGAACTTCATATTGAAATTGTTGGTTTGGGTAAAAATTGGATCTTTCGGGTGGTTTGGATGATGAGGAGGCTGCTGGATGATAGAGAACAGCGAAGGGATTACTACCCTCTTTATACCTTTTTCCGATGCCCTGACGCAAAGCAGTGATGCGTCTTTTGATAGCCTCGGCACTCGTAATGACAACATTTAAGGCCCCCGGTCCGAAGTATACGAAACAAAGGCAAATGTCTGTGAATTCTGGCCTATATTGATGCCGGATGGCATCATACAACTTGGGGGTTTACACTAAACTTGCCTGCGCCCCAATCCACCTAGCCCCCTTTGACATCATGTTACTATGTTTGATATCGATGTTGGGTCTAAGAATCCTTATTGATCTGCAAATTGGAGATACAAAATGATCGTCGGAGTGACGGAGACCCTAGAGCTCCACTAATGACCCAATAAGCTAGGCAGAATTCTTCGCCCCCGGACTTCATAGTCCTAAGGAATGGGCCGATCGATATTAAACCCCAGCAGAAATTATGTACGTTCTATAACAAAAAAAGAGATTTGATAAACAGACCCTGGTCGCCCCATCTATCATGGGGGCGGTAAAGAAACGGGTCCGACCGGGCCCCACGACCCTTACACATAGGGGGCCACGAAGGAATGCATTGCCCCTACCCATCATGGGGGCCGTAAAGGAACGGGTCCGAACCGGCCCCCTCGACCCTTAAACGTAGGGGGCCGCGAAGGAATGCATTGCCCAAAGAAAGATACCAGGGATTCAAGGAAAGAAAGCCGAAGAGAAACTGACGGTCGTCATTTAAGCAGCCCGTCAAGTAAGAACCGTGTATGAATCGATACCCACTGGTCGTCCCCCTGGTGATATGAATTTCAGTTCAAATCCGATATCTCCTTGATCTTAATGTAAACATTCCGAGTCAATGATTCTATCAGGATGGACGCTCTTTTTCTATCCTACATATTACGAGTAAAATACCTTGCGTTAGGGGGACAAACCCAACACCAGTCGCGCTACAATCGAGATGTCGCGGTCGAGAATCCGCAGAGTACGATAATTATGTCATTAGCTATAGTGCTAGTTAACTTAGCGATGATATTCAAGTTACAAGCCTCTTGTGGGAAAATGCGCATTTCCCTTGACTCCCATCCGCCAGTCCTCAGGAACTGTAGCCGGTCTTCAACTGAAAGGGCCGAGAATTGGGCACGAACGGCAGGAAATGAAACGCTCTTTCCACGAGAAGGCCCTCTAGTGGACCGACAGGAACAAGCTTTTGCATGTCTCTTCCCTGTACGTGAACATTTCTTTACTTTGGAGGACTGGCGATCATGATCCGCCGTCTCCTTTGAATTTTGTCGTCTGCGTTGGAAAGATAGGTCTTGATTCGGGAAGCGAAAGCAATTCGAGGGACATTCGTCCAGATGTGTTGCGATACTAGTAATATTCTCCGTTGCTTGGATATGCTCAGAATTAGGGCAGTCATGATCGCTCAGGATTGCGGGATCGATGGCTTCATTGCCTGGGAGGTCTCCAGTCCGGAAGTGATTTCTAGAATCGACAGCTTGAGGGTGCTGACCAGCAATAACGGCAGGGTCTAAGTCGCACGATCCAAAACCTAGGGATCGATGCTCAGCACTAAGACAAACATTATCGGGTATTGTAGCAGAATCGATATCTTCGGTGCTCCGTAGGTCTTGCAATTCCAAAAGGTCTTCAGAGGAAAGTCTCAGCGTGAGGACTGGTGAAGTTGTACGGCCCAAATCCTTAGGCTCGTGTCGAATGGTTTGAGCGTCCGAATGTAGGCCGTCATCCAAGCAAACCTCTAACGGTGGGGGGCAGGAAGGGGACGCTGGCCAGCAGAATACGAATTATCTCGGCCGGCATATGCTCCTCCTAAGATCAGAAAAGTTCCTAGAGGAATGCTTGTCGTCCAAGAACCGACAGAATTAATTTAGGTGTCTGGCGGAGAGTTCTTAATATATAATATTTACGAAGGGAGTTATCGTCGCCAAACTATAGATACATCACCATGGTTAATTATTGTGGTGGAAATCTTTAAGAGTCGAAAGGAGACAAACTTGGCGATGAACAACTTTCCAGTATGACTTGGTAAGGTTTGCAGAATTTGAAATAGTAAACACATCCCTAATTCCCCCATGAGAGGCGCGTTTGGCTGTATTTCGGTTACCGCGACCTCTTGCTGGTTGCTCCTTGAGTCCCGTGTCCGAAGGTTTCCGTGGCAGGGTCTGATCCAGTTGAAGTTGACGTGTTGGGGCGCGATAGCATTCTCTGACCCACTCGCTTACCAATTTTAGGTTATTAGAGGGGTCAGCCAGTCATTCTGGGGAATTGTCGACCCCCACAACCCACACTCCGACTTCATCAGTCATTCCCCTCACCGGTCTCTCAGTTCCAGCTTCTCAAGGGTTCCTCTTCGTTTTTTCGATCATGGCGATGCGTTCAGAGACGTGGGTGGTAGTAGGTGCCTCCAGAGGCATCGGCTTAGAATTCATGAAGCAGCTTCTGGAAGGCGGACAGAAAGTTATAGCAGGAGTGCGGAATCCGCCGGCAGCCCAAGAACTTCTGGAGCTGTGTCGGTCGAGTCCAGATCGCTGTGTGGTTGAGCAGTGCGATGTCACAAGCGAAGAAAGCATTAACGCAAGTTAAGTCATAGCCCCTATTGTCTAGACAATAATTATCTAACGTCTGGTGTAGCACTTTGTCAGCAAGGTTCAAGCAGCTAGTAAAACTGGGATGAGTCCAAAACACATTATACTCAATGCTGGTGTGCTCAAGTATCCGAATTGAGCAACGGAAATGTATTTGTTGTCTTCGTATCACCCTTTACAAGAATTAACACTAAAGTCTATGACCTAGATCATATGCGGACTTTGCTCTTCACTTGCACACCAACACAATAGGGCCCGTGATTTGTGCTCGAAAATTGATTGATCTAGATCTTGAAAGTCCACCTACCAAGGTTGTGTTTATTTCGTCCGATTCTGGGTCTGCTACGCTCTTTCGAAACTATGAAGATGGCTTTGCAGCATACGCGGCGAGCAAAGCAGCCCTCAATCAGATGATCAGACATATGGCAGCCGAGCTGGCGCGATGCAAGGGAAAGCGGAACAAGATATGCATTCTTGCTATGCATCCTGGTGAAGTCGAGACGTAGGTCGCGATTCCTATATATTTGAGTGGTGCTGATAACAATACAGTGATATGGCCAATATCGAACTTGATTGGGAGGTAGAAGGGATGATTCAGGCAGATGAAAGTGTGAGGGACATGCTCAAAGTCATTGGGGAGAAAAACGAGAATGACAGTGGCACATTCTGGTGCTGGAATGGCAAGGTAAGCGTCTCACTCCGGCTTCTTAGTAGCGTAATACTTGATCTAATGATATTCAGACCCACCCGTGGTAATTGTAGTTGAAGATGTCTTTTGCTCTCTCTAGTCCTCCGTCGTAAAATTCTGTAGCTTAAAATATTGTAAAAACCGAAATTGCTGCATAATGGGCGAGAGAAAAATTAGTTTTTTTTATAAGCTCACCATATTGAATTTGGATCTGATGAGAACTAAGGGGCCTGGTTGGAGTTGAGCAACAAGGTGAGGGCTTAGGTTGCTCAGTGAGTAGCTTATGGCTAGCTTAAGTCCTGCTCAGAAGGCCAGGGATATGCTCACCCAGTGATCTCGGAGTCGATCGCTACCTGAGGTGGCAGGTCTACCGCACCAATATTACAGTCATTAGGTACGTAACATTGCATTATGCGTACGAAAAGGCACGTGGAACTCCATGGGACCCCATAGTAGATCCGCGCAAATCTGACTAGGCGAAAGCCACTAACAATGCCTACCGTACTTTCTTAGAGATCTGCCTCTCCGTTATCGTGGCGTGTCTGATATTATGTAGTAACGATGGGCACCTGTTCAAGTGAAGGGAGGGGCGAGTTTCATATTCATGCGGGTTCATAGATCTTCAAACAGTCTCCCTCAGGTGTGATTCTTGTTGAGATCCCGTGACCAGGTTGGCCACGTGACCGTGGATGGCCCTGAGAGTATGTCAGATAGTCCCCGAGGGGTCGGAGCTTCTCTCCTTCCCTGTCCGTCTCTTAGTCAATAAAACCATCATTTATTGACCGTTTCTTCCCCCTGTCAAGAATTCTGCACCTTAATCTTTCTGGGTTCCCAACTAGTCCTGTTGTACCATGTATATCCCACCTAAATAAATGGCAATTTCGTTGTTTGTGTAAGACTTAGAGGCGTGCTCGGTTTTACTTCAGTGAGCAAAAAGCGGCAAGGGGTGAGCACTAAAACGGGAAGGGAAAGCCAAGACTTGCCAGACATAACCTGTCTATATGCACTGTTAAGTTCAGCCGCAGAAAATTGGCTTATTCGAACGTCGGATCAACGGGTCAACTCCTTTATGTTCAAAGTCAACTTCATCCTGTGTGTCTCCGGTGTAAGTGGTAAAATATGAAACTGAAGTTATCAAGTTGATGGTAAAACGGTTGCCTTGGGTAAGCCACCGCGACCGCGCTTTAAAGTTTGGGCGAGGCGACGCGACAAACTAGCAGGAGGCGACGGTTTCCGCTGCCTGATCTTGCTCAACTTTTCTTCTTTCCTACATCATGCCTGAATTCCGACATCCGAGAGACATGAAAAAATGCTTGTATCCGTACGATTCCGGGGTCATCCAGCTAAATGTGCAACGCTTAGGGCAGAACTCCGACAACAGCTCGTCCTGGACTGCTCTAGTAGACCAATCCAGAGACAGTGGAAATGATGCTCCGGCACTTATTGCGAGTCAAATTACGTGTTCCTTACACCCTACTCTATCCGGAAATGACCGGTTCTCCTGGTCTTTAGATAGATTACGACTGACGTGAGTCTTTCAAGTTCCACGGAAGATCGATCTAGGCATTTGATTCGACCTGACATTATACTATTTAGGCACATCAACGGTGTGGATATTGTATCCGCTGAAAAGCAATTTCGTGCAAGTCCTGCTATAATACGCTGCAATCTTGCGTATCTTTATCTAACTGCCAGTAACAGCGAAACATCTTCAGAACTCGACGTGTCATGGGGTGCATATGACACGATTATCACTCTTTTGCAAACTCATTTCCGTCACTGCAAAAAAATCATGCTTGTACTTAGGACCGATCCCACTATTATATATCGAGGCGCGAGGCAGCCCAGGAGAACGGTGCTATGCTAGCCCGGCTTAAGAAAGTACTTATCCGAGCGGATGAACTTCATCGCACACTTGCTCCTCAAGGATGTGAGTTTTCGATTTTTCCGTCTCCGGCCGCATTCGAATTGTGCCTAGATCAAGCAAAGAAATCAGGTGGGGTTCTCGAAAAGGGTGACTGGGACCTTAACCGGGGTGCTGAATCCCGCGTCTGGCGTAGTAGTGAGCCACAACTAGGCTATTGGATTCGAACAAGCTTCTTTGACATGTTTGAAAGGAAGGATATGGGATTTGTGTGACACGAGATTAAGGGCATGTAAGGGCCTAGGCGCTTACTATGAGCCCAGGCAAAATAGGGAACAAGACTTTTCATGTCTCTCTAAGCAACTGAAAATTCATACATCTAGAGACAATCCTAGGATTGACAAATATGATCACTAGGTACATGAACTCTTTAATATCAAACTTCAATTCTTGAAGACAGAATCTAGATGAACGTAGCTACGCAGGGTTGTAACGATTCTAGCTGTTTGTAGGCACTCCACTACAGGAAAATAACACTCGCACTGAAAGCCACTAAGTACATAACGAGAAAACCACCTAATCCACTCCATGCCTTTGCGTTTGGAGCAACTCTTGCGGCGAAGCTAGGAGGTGATGCAGTCGTGCTGGATCTAGCAATCGGTAGGTCGGACTGGTGATGCACAAGTGATAACGTCGGCATCGCGTACTGCGATTCCCTTTGTAGCCTCCAATATATGAGGTTCAAAGATAGATTTAACAGACAGTTCTAAGGCATTGAGCAGTAAATCCTATATCCGGAACCACTCCCAAATCCCATCGCACGGGGTTCTCCCAGCACGTCTTAACAATCGCAGGATGTTCAGACCTTCTACAGCAGCTTATCTGTTCTTCATAATCAGCGCTTCGGCGCAGTCGGTCATCAACAGTGGACGGGGATTCGCTACAGAATACTATGATATCAAGAATCCTCATGTATGAGACTGATCATACGTTACCGTGAACCAAAGCAACGTTTCATGCAACCTAATGAATGGACTCTTGCTCAACGTAGTCACTAACTATCTGGTTGCAATGAACAACACTCTGCTTCATTCAAACTTGTCTCTATACTGTGGCAAGAGGGAAGTTGTCTCTGTTAATGGGAAGCCATCCATCCTACCTCTCTTTATCGGAGATGGTTGTGAGCGCTGTAGCATGGGGCCTTCAACTAGCAGAACATGGAATTAAAATGCCGCTCCGATTATTGACCTGAGTCATGAAGTGCTTCAAGCGCTGTCTGGAGACGCCTGTCACGCTGGCCACGTAGAGATTTCCTGGGCGGGTTTTGATGAACAAGTCTATGAGTCTCGCAAAAGGTCGTGCCCACGTTACACTCGCCATCAAGCTCCTTCACCGTGAAAAAGAGCACGCCAGGCTCTTGGCTAAGCAAGTATCCAGGATATCCTTGTATCTTCCAAATTACATTGAACATTTATTCACTAAGGGGTGCACGATCTGTCTGGGGAAATACAGGGTTTTGGATTACACACATTGGATATATGGGCTTATGGATCGGTAAAGGGTGCGTAATTCATATCCAGACAGAAGAGGATCAATTCCTTCGGCCTTCCTCGAGTTCAGCCACTTTTAACCATTAAACCCTCTTCTTCCCCTCTTTGTCTTCTTTCTTTCCCTCTCTTTCTTCCATCTCCTCCTTTCTCTCTCTCTCTCTCTCACACACACACACACACACACTTTCTCTCCCTACAAACGAACTACTGATATAAGAAGGAAACAACACAAAAGAGAAAAAGGAGAATAAATTATCATGGCAGAGAGCGGTTCTCCTATCTCGGATCGCTCGGACTCCTCGGAACCCCCAGAATCCCCCCATCAAATAATCGCCAGGCGCAGAAACCGCCTTGTGAACATCATCAAGCAGAACGACCTCGTTCAACTCCATCAATTCATCGCTTCATGCTCTCCCGAGGCTGTGATCGCCCCTGGGACACCATACTTGGAGGACACCTTGTTCAATGCAGCCTCATACGGCAGTCCTGAGGCTCTTCGCATCATCTTGGAGGTGTACACTGCGGCCCCGGACGTTGTCGAGAGGTTTAACCCAAAGTTCTGTCTGCTGCTCGACGCATGTGGTGCGGCAAATGTTGATGTCGTGCGCTTTATCTTGGACAGCCATGACAGTCCGGAGAATCAGTTACCTCTCGGGACGGTGGATTTGCATCAGAGAGATGACTCCGGAGATACGCCGATCCTCGCGGCTGCAGGGTCGCTGATGTGTCTTGCCAAAGATGCAGATGAAGAAGATGAGACTGAGTGGATTCAGGATCGGATTTCAAGGGGCCATCAGTTGATTCATCTCCTTCTTGACCGGGGCTGTTCAGCGACAGATGTCGTTCCCCCTTTGCCAAATGATCTCTCTCCTGGGGGAAGTCAGGTCCAGGATACTGTGCTTGGGCTTGCTGTGTCGAGGGCTAATGGTCCATTAATTCAACGGCTCATTGACTCCGGTGCCGATATCTACCTTAGGCATCAACACTTGCATCATGCCAAGGTACCGTTCCAGTTGAGGATGACAAAGGATCACGCATATGATGTTACAACGCTTCATCTAGCAAGTTTCTTCTACAATCCTGATGCTGTTAAGTTGCTCTTGGATCATCAACATTACAAGAAAAATACCAACCCTGACCTAGCTTCCTCCCGTGACAGTGATGGGCGACTCCCACTGCATTGGGCAGCCAGCGGCCCTGGAGGTTTTAACTGTGGACTCCTGGATAAGCAGCTCAGAATCACAGAGACCCTTCGACTGCTTCTTAACCATGATTCTACTGGTATCAACCTTGTTGACAATAATGGATCCACGCCGCTGCACTATGCTGCTATGGCCCACGCTATGTGCGGTTGTAGCCAGCACGCTCAGCTTGCTATCCGCACTTTACTCGAATACAGGGCTGACCCCCGGGTCCCCGATGGCTCTGGCCGTACCGTCCTACATCTATTAGGGTACCACTCCCATCAAGGTGAACCCATCGAGACCACATTCCTGAATTTAATCCTGTCACACGGTGCCAATATCAACCATGCCGAGAACAACGGCAAAACGCCATTGCACGTCTTTGCTCAGAATCTGCGGCAGGTCTCGGCGGCAAAGTTCTTAATTACGCATGGGGCGGATTTCCGCGCTCGGAATAGTCTCCGGGAGATGCCCTTTCACGCGGCAGCGCGGGGGTTTTTGAATGATCATGTACGCCGTGATGGGAGAGATGAGCAAGTGACAACTGTGAACAAGATCAGGCTTCAGGATGAGATGATGCGTGCTCTGCAGGAGGCTGCCGGGGAGGATACTGCTATCTTGATGAGCCAACCAAATGCGGAGGGTAAAACTCCGCAGGACTTACTAGAGGAGACGAGAAATCGGTGGCAGGAACGGGACCAGCGCATACCAAGCCCCGGAAGAGGCAGAGGCAGAGGCAGAGGCATAGGGCAGCCAGTAGGAGCATAATTACAGTTCCGGAAGAATCTCTCATAAGGGTAGCCATCGTAGCACTTCTGACATATTTTGGAACTATTAAAGTTTATGTTTGCTACACCAACAAGGGTCCTTGCCATGCTTCAGGTCATTGTAGTAGAAAGTTAATCACAAGTGCTACAGGCCCCAGGCTATACGTATGCCTTGGGCGATGTACAATTCGCATTTACCAAGGCCTCTGCATCTGGCATCACATTGGGCATGCTGCTCCGCAGAACCAAATTCTCGTTTCTCTACAACAGATAAGAGCAGAGATTAGGACAAACAAGACCTATATCATCCTATATCAGAATCTCAGTGGCCATAGACTGTGACTCTCATCGTCGATCATACACATACAGGCCATCAGAATCATGGCGCAACTCTTCGTTGATTTGCCGACGCCGAATAACCAAACTTATCGACAGCCAACTGGCCTGTTCATCAACAATGACTTTGCCGCCGCGTCGAGCGGGCAAACTATCACTTCAATAGACCCTGCGTATGTCCGGAGCATACCATTGAGCCCATTCATATCAGTCAATTTAACTGATACATGTGTAGCACGGATAAACCCCTCGCCACAGTTCCCGCAGCGAGCGCCGAGGATGAAGGTCGAGCTGTGAAGGCAGTCCCCGGGCCGCGCTGGTACATCCCTCCTGGAAACAGCTTCCCGCTACCGAGCACGGTCGAGCTCAAGTTTTCACTTAACTGAGCTCCAGTAAAGACTGTTGTCGTACCATATAGTATCTTAAGTACTACTTAATAGTCTAGTTCACTATTCCTGTTTCTCCGTTAGTTTACGGGCAATAAGTAGTAGAGAGTCTTAGCTCGATACCTATTTAGTTGGTAAAAGGAGTAAATACAGAAAACTGTGTACTTCAAACCCCGGAGCTGATTGTTCATGTCACCGAATCTACACGCCCTTCCCTGCCACTAATTAGTTGCCCGTTTATTACTGTAGTACCCTCAATCAGTCTCTGTCATCCTTTAAACTTAGACATCCAAATTGCCGTCAAACATCGCTATTACATAAGCTAGGGCATTAGTTAAATTAACGTAGTTCACATGCGAGTGGATCACACAAGCGAATGGATCACCGCAGAACACTATAGTTAAGGCGATAAATTACAATACTATTTCCCCACAACAGATGCTTAGACAGATTCTGGAATCGAGAGTATATTTAAAATACTTAATATAGCACTTTGACAAAGTTTAGAGGAAATTTATAATAAAATATGGAAAATACATATGTTTACAGCTGAGATAGCTTAATTACAACGTAATTTATGGTATCGCCATTATTGAGCCTTTCAATTCACTTCAAAACTCTACAGGCTATATAAGACGCTTATCGATCCATAGGAAAAGAAATTAATTCAGATTCAAGTTGCGGTTGTCAAAATATATAGATATCGAAAAACAGCCTTAACTATGGTGTTCTGCGGTGATCCATTCGCTTGTGTGATCCACTCGCATGTGAACTACGTTAACTAAAATCAGCTAGCTAGCTCACGTAATAGCAACCATGCGATCCATACAGTATCTCATGGAGGGAATGTTGAGATCATGTGACTAACCAGGTCACATGACCCTGGATGGTCCTGAGAGTAGTTAGATAGTCCTCGAGGGGTCGGAGCTTCTCTCCTTCCCCGTCCGTCTCTCAACCAATAAACTTTCGTTATTTCTTGTTTCTTTCTCCCCTGTCAAGAAGAAAGCGCCGTGCAAAGTCAACTGGACTTGAAGACCTTCGTCGTGATATCGAGAATCTCTAACACGTCAGCTTTCACAATTGGAGAGTGAATCTCGCTCACTCAGGCATCGATCAACTACAAGGCCTCGTTGAAGTCACACGCTGAAGCCAGTGGATTAAATATGGACACTATTAAATATGGACACTTAATTGTTTGACAAGCATAGCCAGAGTGTCGCTTTCAGAGAGCCGCTATTTTTTCTTCACCAGCGCGGCCAGAATTACATCCATATCCTGGCCATGCAGGATACTTTCGTCTTCAATGTAATAATAATTGCCCGGGGCGAGTACCTGGCCACCGTTTTTGAACGTAATGGTCCCACCGATGGGAATCACAATCATGCGGCCTGTGGGATTTTTGACCTTGGACTCCTCGAAGACGTGAAACGCGGTGCATGTGGTGACCTATATCTGCATCAGACGAAAGCACCGAAAACAGGAAACTTCTTGAACTCACCGGCTTGCCTTGCGCTTTTAGCTCCATCTTGAGCTTAGTCATTTCATCGGCAAACCTGGGACCTCCATGCCTCCAGCCCCAGTTCGCTCGCGCCTCCTCCGCGGTTTGCCTGCTGTTGATGAGTGAGCTCATTTCGCTGACAATCCCGGGCAATGTTCCCACGAGTTGCTCAACATGGGCCATGATGAATGGTATGTATGTTGTATATATTCCCAGGGCGAAAATAAAGACGGCCGAATGTGTAACAACAAAAGTGTGAGGCTCTCTCTCCACGCGGGATATCCGAGGTTCCTGTTTTATAATAGACAACAACCCAAGGCAGATTCAACAAGGTTTGAGGCCAACGCGGGGTTGCTGATGCCAAGACTCTCTCATCGATAATCTGACAACCGCTTTTTCCCAGAGAAATAACTGTACGGAGTAAGCGGGGTCAACGGGCTAGCTGAAACCAACCCGGGAGTCGGAAATGCATCTATCTTAGCGTGTTTTCTTACTACGCTTATTCAGTAGGCGGTAAGAATTACTATAGTCGGTCAGTGATCGAAAGAAGTTCCATGAGAGTTGCCAAAACTGATCGGGCGCTGCACAACGTTCGTCCTTCTAGACCTACAGTTGAGACAGCGCATGACGCAAGGTCGAGTGGGGGACGGAATACGACAGTCATAACAAGGAGAATAAGCTGCATCCAAAAACAACACAGCTTCACAACGCGCACAGCAAACACCCGACGAGCTTGCAGGAATTGACATGGCAGCGCAAGCAGGGGCGTGTTCCAAACGCAGGTACAAAAAGGAAAGCCGATAAGCAGGACATCTCGGTGGTTGAAAGGTTGCAGATAGACGAACTTGGCGGCCACAATCAGAGCAAGTCCGATTAGATAACATTACGGAACGAGGGGCATTCAAGCAGGAGAGGAAACGTGCTAAGAGGAAATGATAGTGGTGATAAACAGCACAGCGTTGCAATAAACCGAGGGACAACAAGCAGATGACGATGCAATCATAGCAGCTTAACTTGCAGAAATATGCAGACAAAACCCTACAACCCTAAGCCAAGACGATGTTTTCCGAAGAGAGCGATGAGCCCCCGGGGCGCAGCTTCAAGATAACCCCGAGGGGATGGCACCTAGCAATATGACCCTCCTCGACTGGAGTGAGGCTTTCAAGTGCTGACGGATAATTTTGATACATTGTCGTGTTCACACGATTCAAAGCAGAAAATTCCGGCAGAGCATTTTGAGACAGAGACTTGAGGCAGGTCAAACATATATCCCACTCGTCCTCATGTTTGCCACAGTAGTCAAGGTGGGTAGCTAGTGGTTCAAGCAAAGGGTCGCCGTCCTCCATTTCTACAATCTCCGAAACAGGCACAAAACTACCGCAGGATGAGCACACACCTTGTTTTGAGGCATTTTCTACATCTTGTTGATATCGGGCAATGGACGCTCTTATTTGAGCTTCAGTTAGCACCGTTGGAAAAACCGTAGAGGCTGAACGTCTCGATTCAAGCTCATCACGCAACAACTTTAGAGCTTGATCGATGATGTGGGCAGTGTTAGTATCGGTGTCTTGCACATGTCTTTTGGGAAGTGGAAGGGTTTGAGACGGACCCGGCCTCTTCGTGGAGATGGCGGCTCGCTTGTGGTGGCGGCTCGCATGTGTATTACGTTAGGTTAATGTATTTCACTAGCGAGCTGCGCACACGGGCGAGCTGCACAGCCCAGAACACATAGTAAAAGCGATAAATTACAACATGATATATCAACAACGGTTGTCTATATGAGTTTTCCCTTGTAGCCTAATGGTTTTTATGTGGTATCTAGCCGCTTGTTAGAGCTTAGAGGAATTTAATAAAGGAGGTGTTAAAATATATGAGCAGTCACTGTATATATGACCAAAACCCTTCAATTCAAAAGACGTTTAAATGAGGGCCTTTAGAGAGCGATGCACAACTTGGTTGAAGTACGGTATGACTGAAATTATTGGCTAACCAACAGGCCCTTTTCCACCCCAGGCCTAGGTCCGTGCATTTCCTAATAGCACTTAATCAAAGTTCTGATTTCGACCAGATTTTCAAGTTTAAATAGTCTGGTTTTCTACAATATGTATTCACCCGAAGATATCCCGATCACCGAAACTCAGCATACGCAAAATCAGCCGGGGTCAGGCATCGCTGTCGCTCGCCAAAGGCATAGAGACCCAGCATCATGCCTGTAAAGTTGGCCCCGACCGGTGGTGCTTTCGTTGCAGCACTATTCACGACTGAGCCAATCCAATGGAAACTAGTTTCGGTGTCCTCTCGATAACCGAATCGATATTCGGTGCCACATTCGATTGTAAGAATGATGTCTGTTGCTGCACCAAGATCACACTCTACTGTTTCCCCTTCTGACGGACGGAACAGGATACAACGGCCCTTTTCGGTCTTGCGAATGCCGAGACTGCTGTAGGTAAAGTAGTTCATCCAGAGCACAGTTCCTGCTTCCGTGGCATCTGCGGTGGGGTAGAAGGAAAGTCGTGTCTCCCATGTGCAGTGTCGATGGGTTTGCTTGCGGAGGAACATTGTTGGGCAGGCTGGCACCGACAGGTTATAGGGACCGCCGTAGAGCCGGAGATGTCTCGGGCGCTCAGTGAGCGAGTAATCCGTGATAAACGGCGTGTCTACTGACGATCAGCCAGATTCAAGTGTTGGCTTGTTTAAGTATTCACTCTTTCTATACCATCCCAACTGCATTTCCGGAGCAGCGAACTCATCTCTCCAAGAGACTGAAGTTTCGAGTGGATAGAGACCTGGCCCGTGAGATTGAAGTGTAATCTTTTGTCCTCCGTTGATGACAGGCCAGTCTTGCTCCCAGTTCAAAGGTACCAAAAATGTCTCTCGGCCTATCTTGATCAGTATGACGGCTGATAGTATCATGGAGCACTTACCCAGCACTGATTCCTCCCATTGGTCGTCTCGTCGTAGAGGACGAACCCCGAGCATAACTGCCCACCATTGCCCTTTGGTATCCTCGACCAAATCTGCATGTCCTGTGTTCTGGACTTCGTCCTCGACACCATTGCGCCAGAGTGGGTTGTTTGGCCCGAGTTCCCACGGTCCCAATGGCCCAATCTCGCTGCGGCTTACCCATTCCGAATGTCCACTTTCAGTGCCTCCCTCGGCCGTAAACAGATACCAATAGCGTCCGCGCTTGAAAATATGTGATCCTTCGGCAACCCCAGAAGAAGATTCGCGGATCAATTTCGGCTCGGACGTGGAATGGCCGGTGTTCAGATCAACGGTACATATGTGAATTGCGAAATCTTTCAATTTTGCACCAGGCGTTGGTTGAAGTTTTCGGTAAGTAGACGATAGATATACGATTCCATCATCGTCCCAAAATAGCTACTCATTGTCATTCGGTGTTCGTCATGCCCTTGTTCGCAACTCACATCTTGGTCAAAACCAATTTGGTCAAAGTAAATAGGATCCGACCATGTCTTTTCATTCCAAATATCGGTTGTCTTGACATAAAACCCTTGTGGCCAAACTCGGTCATCTTGTTGCGGGCGATAGCGCTGAAAGCTCGCTGCAATGATATAGTAGACACCGCGATGATACCGAATCGTAGTTGCCCATACGCCACCTCCAGGCTCTGGTGTATGAATTTGAAGCTGGCTGCACCTTGTCAAGGCATGGCCAATTAACTTCCATTCGATCAAATCCCGACTATGATAAATAGGAGCTCCCGGGAAATATTCAAATGTGGAAGTGACCAGGAAAAAGTCTTCATCGACACGGATTATTGACGGGTCGGGGTTAAACCCAGGGATGATTGGATTTGTATAACTCATTGCAGTCAAGATAGTTGATGGCGCTGACCTGCTTTATATAAAAGTGAGGTTGACCTGATTGGTGGAGAAACAACATCCTAAACAGCCAAAAGGTGGGTTGGCTCGTATTGCGGGGTTAGCAGGGACGATTGACCGATGTTGACCTTCCATGTACATGTAGTTTCGAATCAGTAAAGTTATGTTGAATATAGTTAAAAAAAACAAGTTAGTGTTCTACGATTGACGTCGAGCTCGAACCCAATCGATGTATGTGGTCAAGCGATGTAATAAGGTTTCAAGCGAGCTTCAAGCAACGAGAAGTCCAAGCCATGAAAGATCAAGATCTCAAATACCTGGAGAGCTATGAAACAAGAAAAAGGGAAAATGCCGAAGTTCAACCTTCTCCGCCATTGTCCCCTCACCCCGACCCGAATGCGGGTCGGACCTCCGCCCCATGTGACGTGCAGCTTTGATGTCTGTCATTCTCGTTTCTGGTTGACATCCAGCTAGTTTGACTTCAAATGAGCTTGAGTTCTCGGCACCATGTCTACTTGTGTGATCCAAGAATCGCATGATGTGAGTTTCATCACGCTCGAGGCCCTGCCTCGCCAGCATTCAGATGCAGATTTAACGCCAAGCCATCCCCCCGATGGGTTCCCGGTGTTGGAAAGGTGGAACCAGAATCGTCTCAACATGTATCGAACATTTGCGACGTTCTGGTGTTTTCTCGTGATGGGGGCCAATGATGCTGCTTATGGTGTGAGTTGGCTAGTGAAAAGATACGCAGACTTTTGTGGTGATTGCTAACTGAATGCAGGCCATAATCCCATATGTAAGGTCCCTCTTTGATCAATGTGTCAGTTTCTAACGTGGATACAGCTGGAATCATATTACCACCTCTCCTATACGATAGTGTCTCTCGTTTTCTTGTCGCCTCTGGTAGGCTACACGGTCGCGGCCTTTCTCAACCAGCGCATTCACAACACCTTTGGACAGCGCGGTGTCGCCCTTCTCGGGTCAGGGTGCCATCTCCTGGCCTACGTGATCAACTCTGTTCACCCACCATATCCAGTACTCGTTGTCTCTTTTATCTTTGCAGGATTGGGGAACGGCGTTGAAGACGCAGCCTGGAATGCATGGATTGGTAACATGGCCAATGCAAACGAGGTGCTGGGGTTTCTGCATGGAATTTACGGGGCTGGGGCAGTCGTTAGTCCGTTGATTGCAACCTCGATGATTGCGAAAGGTGGCCTGCCGTGGTATTATTTCTATTATGTCATGGTGAGTCTCTTTCCCGCAGAGCAGGAGCACAGCTTAATAGTCAGGTTGGGTGTGCGGCCATCGAACTCGTCGTTTCCAGCGCCTGCTTCTGGAAATCCACCGCTGCCGAATTCCGGGCGGCGAACAGACAGTCGGTTGAGGAAAATAAAAAGGGTGGCCTCAGGGATGCACTCTTTAAACGTCCATCGGCCCGGGTCACATGGCTTTGTGCCTTGTTCCTGCTGGGCTATGTCGGTGTCGAGGTCGCCCTCGGAGGGTGGATTGTTACCTTCATGATTCGAGTCCGACAAGGAGGTGCTTTTGCTAGCGGCATGACCGCCACCGGGTTCTGGCTCGGCATCACAGTGGGACGAGTGATCCTGGGGTTCGTGACGCCCCGGGTGGGTGAAAAGATTGCCATCTCGGTGAGATCATCCCGCGTCTCCCATGAGATCTGGCACTGACCTTTGCTAGGGGTACATTGTTTGTTCGATGGCCTTTGGTCTCGTTCTGTGGCTCGTTCCCCAATTCTATGCCTCGGCCGTGGCAGTCTCCTTGCAAGGTTTCTTCCTGGGACCTCTCTTCCCAGGTGCTATTGTGATGCTCACCAAGCTTCTACCCCGACACATGCATGTCACGTCGATTGGGTTCGTGGCCGCGTTTGGGGGCAGTGGAGCAGCAATTCTCCCTTTTGCGGTGGGTGTACTGGCACAAGCCAAAGGAGTCAAGGTGCTGCAGCCGTTCATCATTGCCCTGTCAGGTGCCATCCTGATTACATGGCTGGGACTGCCGCGGGTGAAGTTCAGCAGCGAGTAAAGAGTCACATGTGAATATTCTTTATCAGATCGGATCCATGTGATGCAGTCAGCTGATCAGCTTATTCATCCCGTGATATCGCCGATCGCAATCGGTTAGCTGATCTCGGGTTCCGAGATGCCGAGCTGAAATCATGTTTGCCCCGGCTACCCCAGAACAAATGAATCGGTAGTTGTGCGGGGGTTAAAGCCACGGTAATTAGGGGGTAGAGAAATGCCTAGGTTCTTCATTCTCCATAATCCCCATGACTAGTCCATAGTGAAGAGAGAGATGTAGCCGAAGTCCATCCACTTTCCTGATTGGCCCAGTTCAGCCGAGGCTCTTCCCTGATTGGGATGGATGTCCCTCGGCCTGGGGAAACGTCAGTGACTTGCCCCGGGTTCATAATCCCTGACTCTCCTCCTTTGTTTCTCACATTCCCCCAATCTACACATCATGCCATCTACTCCTGAATGGGTCAAGGCCCTTAAGCCGTCGGGTCCGCAAGGCTCCGAGCTGCTCCAACACGAGCGTGCTCAATCCAACGTGAACGTGGAGAAGCTGTCCGAATTGCTGCACACCAAGGAATCATTACAGCGACAGGAGTCCCTCCTGGCCCTGTTACAACCCGAGAAGGTCTTTGATAAGTCGCAGAACCACACGCTCGGCCGAGTGGAGCGGCTGCAGAGGTCGTTGGCCAAGGCCAAGCGCCTTCAGCAGCTGTCTGAGCAACATAAATGGTCAATGGAGGAGCTCCATGCGGCCAATGAGTTGATCGGAGAACCCACACCCTATGGCTTACATGCCAGTATGTTCCTGGTAAGTGATCAAATCCTGACAGCTACTGAACAACACTAACCGGTTTTCCGTCTTCTAGGTGACCCTCCGGGAACAGGGCACCCCCGAGCAGCACAAGCTGTTCCTCGAGCGCGCTCAGAAGTACGAAATCATCGGCTGCTACGCACAAACCGAGTTGGGCCACGGATCCAACGTCCGCGGTCTCGAAACCACTGCCACCTGGAACTCCAGCGATAAAACCTTCACCATTAACTCGCCCACATTGACTGCCTCCAAGTGGTGGATTGGATCTCTCGGTCGCACCGCCAACCATGCGGTTGTCATGGCTCAGCTGTTTATTGACGGCAAGAACTACGGCCCGCATCCATTTGTGGTGCAAGTCCGTGATCTGGAGACCCATCAGCCCTTAGAGAATGTGTATGTGGGCGATATTGGCCCCAAGTTTGGATACAAGTAAGTTCCGTCTGGCCACCGCGATAAGTACCTGGCTAACATGATATCCAGCACTATGGATAACGGCTTTTTGCTGTTCAACAATGTCAAGGTGCCCCATGTCAACATGCTGGCCCGTTTCTCTTCCATTGACAAGGACACCAACAGCTATTCCCGGCCTGCGCTTCCCTCCTTGGTCTTTGGTACTTTGACCTGGGTGCGATCTAACATTGTCCTCCAGGCTGGTGGAGTCCTGGCCCGTGGTGTCACCATTGCGACCAGATACTGTGCGGTCAGGAGACAGTTCCAGGATCGCGACGCGGACGCCCATGCTGGCGAGAACCAAGTATTGAACTACAAGATGGTTCAGGTCCGTCTGTTGCCGCTTTTGGCATCCATGTACGCCCTCCACTTTACTGGTCGCGGCATGATGCGTCTATACGAGGAGAACCAAAGCCGCATGAAGGCAGCCAACTCTCCCGGACAGGACTCACGCGGTGCTGGACCCGAGGAGCTCCGAGCTGGTGCGAACCTCCTGGCGGATCTGCACGCTACCTCATGTGGTCTCAAGGCTTTGGCCAGTACCACTGCTGGTGAGGGCTTGGAAGTCTGCCGTCGCGCATGTGGTGGTCACGGATACAGCAGCTACAGCGGCATTGGCCCGTATTACTCGGACTACCTTCCCACCCTGACCTGGGAGGGTGATAACTACATGTTGACCCAACAGGTCGCACGTTATGTAAGTTGTTATGTTTTTCACATCATCGTAACTACTTGATACTAACATTTTCCATAGCTCCTCAAGTCTGCCCGTGCCGTCTTGGCCGGCAAGCCCGCCGGTAACGACACCAGCCAAATCCTTCAGACGTACCTTGACCGCCGCGACAAGGGAGCTTCCTTCGATGTGCTCGAAGAGGACAAGGATATTGTGGCTGCATTTGCCTGGCGCACGGCCCATCTGACCTTTGAGGCCCTGAAGCACCGCGATGCCGAGCAACGGTCCTGGAACAGCCTTCTTGTTGACTTCTGGCGCTTGTCGACCGCCCACTCTCAGTACCTCGTGGTTAAGAACTTCTACGATGCCGTCTCCTCTCCTGAGCTCTCAGCGGCCTTGGATCCCGAGACTAAGGCGCTGATGCACAAGCTCTTCCGCTTGTACGCGCTGCACACCCTGGAGCGTGAGGCCGCCGAATTCTTCTCATCCGGCGCCGTTACCGTGCGACAGATCACTCTGACTCGCACCACCGCTGTGATGAACCTGCTCGATGAGATCCGCCCACACGCTGTTCGCCTCGTTGACTCCTGGGCCATTCCCGACTGGCAGCTTGACAGCAGTCTCGGTCGGTATGACGGCAAGGTGTACGAGGATCTGTTCCGTCGGGCCAGTCAGGAGAACCCCGTCAATGACCTGACCTTTGACCCATACCCCTGGAATTCCGCCTTGCTCAAGAATGAGCCTAAGAGCAAGCTTTAGATACCTGTGCCATACGCTTTCTTGTGATGTATTTATTTTTTTACGCCTACATTTAGGATGATAGACCATAGATATGAAATAGATCTCATAGAATGGCCATCGATGACAATGAGGTTGCATATATTTCAAATGGCAATATGAGCGTAATACTACAGTACTGTAACTAGGCCTGTTACAGACCACCCATCGTTCTCCTTGGCGACGGCATCTAAAACGTTTGACGAGTGGCTTCTATACTGTTCCGAATGGCCCTCCAGATGCATTCGTCCCTTGCGGAATCCAGACAACTCCTCAGACTGCCACCCTTTTGTCTGTGATCAAATAACAACTCATTAACAGTTGAAAGATGTCCACCCTTAGCTGCCAATTTCAAAGGGTGCTCGAGCCACCGATTCTTGAGATTGACATCAATTCGATCATGAGAAAGCAGAACTTGGGCCATTTCAAAATCACCATCACGGACGGCGATACAAAGAGCCGTGTCGTGGTCCGCAATTGTCCCTTCGTTGATGCTCAGACGTGGGCCTTTATCCACGAGAAGTTTGACCGCCTCACGGGGGCTGTTGGCAGCAGCTCGACATATGGGCGGATCTGCTAGACCCCTGCTATTAATCTCCACACTCGCCACGTTTAGCAGCATCATCCTTATTATGCATCTGTGGGAAGAAGCAGCGGAGATCGGGGACTGACCCGCCGCGTAATAATTCACATCAATCCCTGGCGCCCCAACCAGTCGTTGTAGAGCCACAGTGTCCAGTCTGGTCACGGCATGATGGAATGATGTGGATGGTGTTTCAAATCTCCCGCGGCCACCGATCAAGTTGATCTCGATACCCTTCTCGGCCAATAGCCTGTCGGTTATCTTAACACGCGATGAGTAAGTAGATAGCCAAAGCGGCGTATTTCCGATCGGTGCAAAACAAGAGAGTGCTAGAGGCCATTTTCGACACGCGGGTCTGAAAATAGAAGTTTGTGGTACTTGAAAGCTCTTATAGAGTCTCGGTCGTTATTGCCTTTCACGTTAGAAAAACAGAGGTGCTATTTCAAAGCCTGATCGCATGATGAGACGAGACAACTCGTTACACGTAGTACTACTAGGTCTAGTAAAGAATCCGGGGAGTCCAAAATTCCCTATTTAAGAATAGCGAGTGACAAACAGTAGACTAATTATAATATTGTTAGCTGTTCAGTGCTAATCCATTGCTACGTACGAGGCTTTACATATTCACACTATTGATGTTGTCTGGCTACGTGATTGAATACGTCCAATAAAGGCGGCGGTACAATGTGGCAGTGTCTCATTATATTTGCCGTCACATTTCACGATTCCTTTTCTTCCTCCATTTCATCAGTCCTCTTCCGACTCGTCAGACATAATCCTCAGAATGTCATCTACGTACTTCTTTTTTATTTCATCAGCAACTACCTCAGATGCTCTATATCATAAGGTAATAATGTCAGCTAAGCCATCAATATTTTAGTAGCGATGTTGTAGGTAAGACCACGGGTCGTAACTTACGCGAAGTGTATTACTGGAGGAAAGATCATAGGGGCAGGAAGCATTCTTCCACCTGAGTTTTCAACTGTTCTAGGAAATTGTCAGTATTGATACTTTGAGGCGTTCCCGCCTTTCTTCTAAAGCACTTAATAGCACTGACTCAGGGATTTCTCTCAAGGCGTCGGCCGCTTCTGGTTTGAGTTGTATCATAAGACGTCTCTAATGAAACCAATCTCATGTTAGTTACAGATTCGGTTCAGTTCAAGTGCTGGATGAACCTGAGTTTGAAATTAACTGACATTAGACATGATTGTAAGTCAAAATGGTGGTGTAGATAGATGGAGGGATAGATTGGTTGATGGAGTGAAAGAACCTTGGCTTAACACTTAGTGCCTTAGAGGAGATGAAAGAGGCACGAATGGCTATATATACCTAGCGGGTGATTTAATATGCTAATCTTTAATTAATAACATGGACGATCGTGGTAACATTTGGATTAATGATTCCGCCTTCAGCAACGCCACTTTTACGGTGTAGAATGGCTGGGACCCGCGGTGTGCTGAACTGAAAAGAGCTATACTAAGCTGGTCTATCCCGGCTTCCTCTTTTTCCTCTCACTGTTGTCTATGAGATCTTGCCCACTACTATGGCTATTAAAATGTTTCCTATTACTCACAGCTTGGTAGCATGTTCTCACACTCATGTTCTCACACTGCTAGAGCTTCTACCAACCTAGCGGTGTGCGCGCAGCCAGGCAGTAGAATATGTTACCACTGTCGTACATGTAATAAGCTAGAGCGCTCACACCCCAAAGGATCAACGGAATGACCACATGAAATAGTTCCCGATTTGGATACTTGCGTCCTGCAAGCATATGTATGTTCAGGCAGTGTTCGTTGACTTCACATCAAAGCATAAGGGTACCATTATAGGCATACTGATTTTAAAGTCCCGTTAACCAACTACATTTACGTGTAAGCATTATAGACGGATATCCAAAAGGAAGCCAAAAAACTTATATTAGCGCCGCTAATGGTAGTCTTTAGGGGAGACCGGGGACATACCAGATAGTGAAGCCTTTTGTGGCTGGCTGAACGGCGGGGATCACATAGAGCATGTGATTATTTATTCCTACGTAAATACCGTGTGGCTGTCCATTACACTAGAATTAGCACACACATATCCGCGGCTCCGAAGTACCATACGTCCCGTCTTGTGTCGGAGCGGGGTACATATGTGATGCCTCACAATTCAGCTCGCCGACGTCTTTCTTCCCCGATTATTAGTATTTGACGGCGTTGAGGTAGTACCGATCTCGAACGCTCGATTTAGTTGTATATTTCTCCTCCCCGCTTCGTGTAGAAATTGTTTTAATGTGACGATTTTACTTCCTTAATAGATCGAGTCTATATCCATTATGTTCGTTATAGTATTTGGAAAATGATCGGAGAGTGAGCATGGTCTCGTCCGATATCCGCACGGCTCTCTTGTGCCTCCGGTAGAGAATATCGACCTTTATCTGTGGGACTGTGTGGTCTAGGGTAAACCAGCGTTTTGAGTACGTTGTTGGCCGTAGACCAGAAGTATGCCTATCAACTGCCGCGCAGTCACTTCCGTGAACCTCTTAGCTGAACTATCCGACGTTGGTCCCGTCGTCAGCTCCTTCTATAGGCCCGTTTGTAGGTGCACCCCAATACCGATCCGCACTAGCCTGCGCGGTCAAATGCCTTATTTACCTGAGTGCTAGGCTTACGTTAGGTCTTCAAGTTCCACTCATCGGGTCACCCCGACACGACATTAGCGGCCTCTGCAGCTAGCGCAGACGAATCGCGACCCCGGGAGAACCATGGAAGTATTAATCGCTTCGTTTTCCGGGATTTGTGCCTTTGAATGCCTGCCTATATCTTGCTGTCGAATAAAAGCTGTATTAATCTGCATGATAATGCGCCAACGCATCCTACCCACGTCGTCCGGGAGGCTTCGCGAGATATAGATATTGAACTTATGGAATAGCCAGCGCACTCATCTGACTGAAACCCAATTAAGAACCTCTGAGCATTGGTGAAGACCGATAACTTTTATAAGCTTCAGCCTGATCTTATTCATATAAAGAGTAACGAGCAGATAAAGACTATTTTTGTAGCTACAACACAGCTTACGTGAGACCAATTAGACCTAGAGCACCTAAAGTGATTTACCCCCGCATGTATGCATAAAAAGATGAGGTATCACAAGTTGGGTAACCATTACGAGGCCAGTAGGAGGCTTAGACGGCTTCCATGATTGAGGAGGTGTATATATTACGTATATGCAGGATTTATTCCGCTAGTGTGCCCGATCAATCCCTTGATCACTAAGTCTGATCAAGGGGTGAAATGGTTTCTCGTGATCATGGGAGCGCCGGGCTACAGTGAAGCACACGTGACTATGACTAGTGCGTTGCTCCTAGGAGCTTGGTTGGCCCTTGGTGGCCCAACTATGTCTTGAGTAATAAGTCCTTCATGTTAGCCCTAAGAATGGCCACGGAGACACAATATGTGACACCTCATACATGACTAGGTAGTGGGGTGGCTTTGCAATGATGAAAAAAGTTCACACCTACCATAGTTGATCCTTAGTTGCTTTTGGCCAGCTAGAGCTAACCTACTTTGATATTTGTCATTTGCTCCGTTTTGTCAAGTATATCTTTTAATAGGACAGCCGACTTCCTGCTGTTTAATTCGTGCTGTTTGTCCCTAATAACACTCTCCAAGAAAGGAAGATGAGCCGTTCTATACTTGACTACCGAGATGTGGCGCTACTCCGAGGCTATTCCTACAATGAAAGTAAGGGAGTATAGATGTTTCACAATACTTCCTGTCCGACGACATACAGACCACGAGATCTGCGATGAGGCGAAAGCATAATTTGTCAAAAAGCTGGGAAACTATGGTCAATGATGGAACGAAAGAAAACTTTGGCAGTAGTAATCCAATCACGGGGAACTGGAATGCCAAGATATTTGCGAAGTCTAAGCTAGAGCCTCTCGCATAGGTGACTAAGGTCACTGCTTTGTTTGTTTTCCTCGATGGTTACCTAAATTATGGGATCAATTATGGTAGGATCATCCTAATGACACTCTTAAAGAAAACAGAGGCAATAAGTCCTAGAGAGGTGCAGCTCGTTGGACCCATTTAGGATGAAATAACAATGCTGATTTATTTTTGGTTAAATGTGGGCACGCCGGACCCTCAATGAAGTAAGCGAGATATTCGCGAGTAATGTTAAAAAGGCTAGGAAGTATCACCTATTATACAGCTTGTGGTGCCTTTTCTTAGAAGAATTTGGGAATATGATCCCGGGTGATTATTATTCTCCGCGAGTGGTAAGCCTAGATGGGAAAGGCCTGATCAGGAAATGAAACCCACTTCCAGTCGATCGAGACTATGTGAGTTACCGGATTATTGATGTTGCGATGAGGTAGGTATATCTATTAATATTTATAAAATAACAACTAACATTATGAAGGCAATATTCACCTATGGCAGTGTACTGTATAGGGTTGACTCTCACACCATCCCAGCTGGAGATCCTCCAACCTGTTTCAAATCTTATATCCGCCTGTTGTGGATTGACGAATGATTGGTGGAGTTGGCAGAAAGAGCTCGATGACTTTGAACAACGGAATATTCGGATTGTGAATGCTATTCCAGTTGCTATGAGAGAGCATAACATAGAGGCCGTCGAGGCACGCGAAGTGGTGGGGAAATTATGCGTTGAGTATGAGGAAAACCCCCTTGCCGTTTGCGATAAGTTATTATTATCGAATAAGGTTCATACAGGACGGTTCGAAATCAGTTTCACCACTTTACTCTTGTAGATTGTTTCTCGAACCCTATCTAGAAACACGCTATTCTGTGTCTCGCTTAGTCTTATTTCAAGGATCGAATTGTATCGAAAGATGGTATCACGTGGGACTGAATCTAGTACATTACATGAAATACTCGTACCATTAATACTGCTGCCTCATTGCCCCTCGTAGCTCGCTGGTATTACATCTTTCCGTCATCACCGTGCCCACTCTTGGCAGCAATGTTCACTCAAGCGCTGAGGTCATCCCATAGTGCACACTAAGTCAATACATGATGGAAAGATCTTTCTGAGAAATTATCACATACGGCCGTAATTGGTACAGTATATAAACTTTTGAAATTCAAGTAGCTAGCTTATCTAGCCATTCCGACTCAGAGCCTCCCTTCCCCATTCCAGCAACGTTTCTGAATTAGATAAAGCGTCTGGATGGGTTGGCCCTAGTATTTGTTTCTGTTTGACTAGGCAGTTTCGTAGTAAAGTGTTGGCCTCGGCATCGTGCCCTAACGACTTCCAGGTAAAAGCGAGGTTGGCCATGCTTGACAGAGTGTCAGGATGGTCCTCGCCGAGCTTTCTTTTGCGAGTCTCCATAACCTGAACGTTGAGTCGCTCGGTCTCTTCCCATCGGCCCTGGTTCCGGTACGTTGACGCCAGGTTAGCCATACTCGTCAGCGTAGACGGATGGTCCTCGCCGAGCTTCATCTTGCTCGTCTCCAATACACGCACCTCAAGCTGCTCGGCCTCCTCCCATCGGCCCTGGTTCCGGTACGTCGATGCCAGGTTGGCCATACTCGTTAGCGTAGAGGGATGGTCCTCGCCGAGCTTCGTCTTACGAGCCTCTATTACCTGTACCTCGAGCTGCTCGGCTTCCTCCCACCGGCCCTGGTTCCGGTACGTCGACGCTAGGTTGGCCATACTCATCAGCGTGTCAGGATGGTCCTCGCCGAGCTTCGTCTTACTCGTCTCTATTACTTGCACCTCGAGCTGCTCGGCCTCCTCCCATCGGCCCTGGTTCCGGTACGTCGACGCCAGGCTGGCCATGCTTGACAGAGTGTCAGGATGGTCCTCGCCGAGCTTCATCTTGCTCGTCTCCATTACCTGCATGTCGAGCTGCTCGGCCTCTTCCCATCGGCCCTGGTTCCAATATGTCGATGCCAGGTTGGCCATACTCGTCAGCGTAGAGGGATGGTCCTCGCCAAGCTTCGTCTTGCGAGTCTCCATTACCTGCATGTCGAGCTGCTCGGCCTGTTCCCACCGACCTTCAAGCCGGTATGCTGTTGCTAACATGCTTGTGCTATCAAGAACTTCTTCATGCTCTTCACCGAATAAGATCATCCTTTGATTTCTTGACATTGATGCCATTTCTCTTACATCTGCAATATTACCGCTTTGCGACGCATACCATGCACCTCTGTAAAGTAGTGTGGCCCATTGTCGTAGAGAATCCAGTGATGCTGGCCGCTGTGACATTGCCGATTTAACATGAGGAAAGAGCGGCCTGCACCTCTCCCAGTTTTCGTATTCACCCGTGGGGAACTCTTCACACAACTTGCTGATGAATTTCTCCCTCCATTGGTTTATTTGTCCATGAGATTTCAACCATGCTCGCGTAGTCAGCTGCACCAGCCGATGCATCGTGAAGAAAGTGCCGTTCTCGCTCACAGACACGAATGAATAATCTCTAAGTGCTGTGACGTCGTCTTCAAAATCGGGTCCTATATCGGATTCAGATGTCTCCCCATCACTGGAGTCGTTCAGAAGCACTGAACTTGGTGTGTGATAGGCCATAGGTTGATGCCGGATAAGTTTGTCTGGTATCCCTTCCCGATCGAAAAAGCTCATAAGAGAAAGCAGCTCCACAGCAGATGGCTTTGTTTGGCGTATATACTCGAATGACATTTGCCACGTCACCAAAATTGAATTTTTAGCTTCCCAGTCCCGGTAGAGGTGACCTGCCTCTTTTTTCAGAAGCTTTGTCGCTTCACGGTCGCTCCTTTGGAAATCTCTCAGGTATTGTGACACTGAGTAGCGAGGCGCCCGGTTTCGAATATAGCTAGCGGCCTGTACGATCGCTAGCGGCATAAACTCCAACGCGTTCACCAACTGTTCACTTTCTTGGCTCTCCTTTGGTTGTTCAAGCTTTCTTTTGAGAAGCTCTAGTGCTTCGGACCTTTCCATGGGCTTAACCTCAATAAGGCCCTTGTGATCGACAATCTTCAATGCAGCCTCTCTAGTCCGACTCGTGATAATGATAGATCCATTTCGGCTTCTAGGGACATATTCTAACAGTGGTTTTTTCGAGGCGTCCGTTGGGCCTCTTATCGAATTTCCTTTGCCTGCCACCGGAACCGAGCAAAGAAGCTGATCGTCATCGACGTTATCAAGGATACATATCCATTTTCCTATCTTGTCATCTCGAAGCCAATTTTCGACCAATTTGAAAATGTTAACTTTGGGATCCTGACGACCCGGGACTTTAACCTGGTCCGCAATGTCCCTAAAACTTTGCTCGAGACGGGCTTTATTACTCGCATAGACCCAAAAAACCCATGTTGTCGGCGATTCGGATCGGACTTGATGGGAGTATTCGATGGCAAGTTGCGATTTACTTCGAGTTGTGAGCAATAGACCTCGCAAGAGCCGCTCCGTACTTACCCAACACCGCCGAGGCCAATAAGTGCTATCCCCGAACCCGGGACCGAAATTTTCTTATGGATCTGATCAAGCAGTGTGTCACGACTGACAAAGTCTGGATCGCGCGTGAATGGGACAGTTGATATAGGGCTGGGCGGAGTTTCTGGCCGCTCTAGAGGGAAGCGGCAATTAGTCAGTCGGTCTTGACTTTGTTTGGATCCGTTCCTGACTTACCCGGAGGCAGATGAAAGTCTGCCGTGAATGTGCCATAATTGATTCCCACCTGGGCTCCATAGTTGACACCAGAGTGACTTGTCGACGCCATGATCGTATAAACGTGCCTGTTTGTAGTTCATTACAAGCTCTTCTCCAGCACTTAACTAAAGGAGGGGTACGTCATCAGGTGACTCGGCTCCGCGGCGCTAAGACAGACCAGATTTGTAGGCCACCCACCTTCCCAGGAACCGAGCCAGAACACTCAGATCAAGCGCAGCACGCGATAATCAGCCAGGTCCCGCGGGGTGAAAAGCATGCTTTGACAGTATCACTTCGAGAGCCTATTACTGCCGGCTTTTTCAAGAACGCGATGGATAATTTGAGATTGCATTTTGTTGTTGCTATGGTGAAACTAACGTATGGTTTTCCAGCCAAGCGACCACTTTTTTTGAGGTCCGCAGCTTTGAGATAGGCCCCTAAGCTCCTAGGAACTGCGAGATCGCCTATGTCACGTGCATTTCCTAATAGCCAGCATCCCCCAGACGTTTCACCAAAATTCATTTTACCTGCTCACTGAGCAGAGGGGTGAGCAAGGGTGAGTAGATGGAGTCGCTCTGTGTCCCCCCTCGGCGGTCGACCACTGCCTCTGTCAAAGCTCTCCTCCATCAACGTCTAGACTTCTCTTCGCAACATGGCACTAAGACTCCCACTCTCAAAGCTCGAAATGATTGAAACTATGATATTGAGCAAATCACTGACTGCCTCGCAAATGGCTAAAGCTGCTGAATATAGTAAGCGTTCAATCATTAACATCAGCAACAACCTTCGCCAGTTCGGAAATGTCAGAGCACCCCTAACTCGAGTAGGTCGACGACGGACCGTAACAACTCCTATGATAGAAGCACTATGCGATCGCCTCCTCGAAAAGCCCGGCCTATATGTGGACGAGATGGCAATCTTTTTATGGGACGAGTTCCGTGTCTAGGTCATAAATTCAAGCCTCAAACGGGCTCTTGCTTCGGTGGGTTGGTCAAAGAAGGTGGCTCGACAGAGAGCAAAGGAACAGAATGCGGATTTACGGGACTTTTATATGTATAACCTATCGGACTTTCAGTCGTATCACTTGGTTTATGTGGATAAGTAAACGAATTGGGTTCAGACGGATAGGCTGGTCTCCGTTAGGCACGGCACCATTGTAGTTAGCCAACTTCCATCGTGACTAGCAGTACCAGATACTGCCCGCATATTGCCAAGATGGAATTGTGCTCTCTCGTATATTTCAGGGCTCCACGGATGCTGCAGTCTTCGAGGACTTCATTGATCAGCTTCTTCGGCATTGTGGAAGATGGCCCGAGCCAAAGTCTGTTTTAGTTATGGACAACGCATCTTTCCATCGTTCTGATCGTATCGAAGAAATGTGCACTGAAGCAGGAGTAAAGCTAGTGTATCTGCCGCCTTACTCACCTAACTTGAATCTTATCGAGGAGTTCTTCTCAGAATTGAAAGCATTCATTAGACGGATCTGGGTGCGGTATGAAGAAGACCCAGAACAAGTGTTTCAAACTTTCCTCGAGTGGTGTATTGAGATTGTTGGATCTCGAAAACAGAGTGCTTTGGGTCATTTCCGACATGCTAGCGTGGTCATTGGGACTCAGGACTAGTTACTATGGCTTCAAACGTTATAGCGTTTGATCTTGCAGTGACACCATATATATACCAGCAGTACCAAAACTGCTCGATTCTCTGCTAGCTCTACTTTTCGTGTATCCATAGTTATAGCCGAATCATTTACTAAAGGAGTTGCATCTAACAAAGATGATTAAAGAATCAATCTAAAGTCTATACTAACGCCTTCTTACGTCTTCCTACGCGTTCAAGCTGCGGCCTACGTAGCTTGGTCGACCGGCGAGACGTTCCTCACACACTTAACCCATTGGCCAATATCTCTCACGAATTGGCGTGCGATACCTACCATAATTCCTTTGTCAATGAAGAATGACGGATCTTGGTCCTCGTGGATCAACTTAAGGTCTAAACCATTGGCTAACGCCCTATTGGATGTCTGCCGGAATTGAGCTTTCAAGTTGTCGTCCCCGACATTCGCTTCATGCCATACGCTATAATTTCTAACAGCTTCATCTCGTAGTCTAGGAATATTGAGGTCGTCTATGACTTGGCAATCTCGTGGCATAGGGATTACTGAGGCTACGGTTGGATTCGATGTCTCTGATCCTAGGGAAGGTTGCATCCCATTGATGTTGATATGTATAGGAGGACAGCTTCCGGGGGTGCCGACCATCTTGTTGTTCTTAGATTTGTTGGCTCTCTAGTCTGTGCCGCTCTACCATATATAGTTCTTCACGAAATTTTTCCGGGGCGTCTTCATGAGACTGTAAGGTGCCGCCATTTTCGACGAAGGCGATAAGACGCTTTAAATGATAGCTTCTCAACCCATAGTGCCTTTTGCCGTGTGGGTCTTGCCAGCAATGTGGGCTAAGGTGGCACGAGGAGAACGGGCAACGCATTAGGTTGTAAACACTCCGCCAAACTGATTCTTGCCCAGATGCGTCTTTTTCCGCGTCCAATTGAGCGTCTCGCTCGTTAAGCATTCGTTTGGTGACTGACGACCTTCCTCTTTTTAAGCCCTACCCGACGCAGGTTTGGAGAGACGGTCGTCCTCAACATATTTAAAGGTGATACTTAACCTCAATTTCTTGCCTCGACGGTAGAGTTCGCCCCACCTAAGCAGCTTGCTTTCCACGACAGTCCAATCGATGTCGAGACGATCAAATCGTTTCATCAGGTCTCGTTAGGAGCGATCATTTACCGACACAACGATCGAGGTGTCGTCTGACTTTACCCTTCTTTTACCTAGGATTTTTCCTTCTAATAGATTTTCCAACTTACCCTTCAGGGTCATCGGCCAGTAAGCGCTCGGAGTCAGGGCTACGTCCTCTTCTGTGTCCCGTGAAAGGACTTTCTTGTTGACCGTGACTTTCCACTCTATCGTGTACTAGATGCAGCTTGCCGAAAGCTCATTACTTAACATTCCGTCATGCCATTCGGATAGCTGAAGCAGTCTCGGAGTTTGCGGTTGCTGTTGTGACAAGACCTCCAGATCGTTCTCGGAGTAATAATCGGGGGAAGGGCTGAGCCCACAGCTTGACGCAGGCGTGCAACAGTAGTATCCTGGAGTGGGGGCGTATTGCGAATCTTGATCCCCAGGTTCGAAGTCATGCGGCTGAAAACCACGGTCATTATGATACGAATTAGCAGTCATCGTCCCCGTTTCAAGGCTCTAACAGATCCCACGTCAGCATAATCACAACCTGAGACAGTTCAGCAGATGCTAGTCCCCTAATAACAGACCAAGCCTAATACAAGAAACAAAGAAAAATTACCCACTAGTACTGTCTCTATCCAGCTCGCTCGTTCGCAGCGGTCACTCTAGAAGACGAGTGGTTGGCAGAATAGGGGTTCGAATTCCTGCCACGTTTTTAAACAAGCAGGCACCCGTCCGTTTGGCCTGTTTGCATGATCAACGTTCTAGAAGGCCTGGAGACCTTACGAGTCTAATACAGAAGCTATTTTAAGCTGGTATTTACGGCTGTACTGCCCTGAAACGAACGAAGTGAGAGTAAGGGTTCTAATCAACGTGGATGTACGTGTGCGAGACTGGAAAAAAGAAGAGGCTTAACTATGTACGGTTCGTTCCGCCACGCCCCCCTGATTCGTTCCTTGAATTTCCATTTTGAGTCTGGTGTATCTGGGGTTTAGGGTTCGCCATCTATATCTGCATTGTATCTGCATGCTGTCCGACTTTGATTGCTTCGCTTCCGTTTCTTGCTGTATGTTTTAATCGTACGCTCAGGGTCTTACTGCCACCAGCGCCTTTATCTGCGGCCCACTTTGAGATTTCTTGTATCTCTTTGGTGCTGCATCGCGATGTTGACGCATCGCTCTTGTGTTACTTGCGGTCGCAGTGTTCGCCTGTCTACAGCTATTCAGCCGCCGCGGTGCCCCGCCTGCCGCCTAGCAGTTGTTCCGTCCCCACCTGAAACGCGTCCCTGTCAACGCTGCCATGTTCCGCTTCCGGTAACTTCGACTGCTCTTTGCTGCGCAGGTTGTTAAGTAAGGCAAACTTATGATACGTCGTGCCTGGACTGTGGGAAGTACTTTGCTGGCCGGCGTCATATTATCCGTTGCCCGGACTGTAGGTCTAGAAGATCGACTGCTCCACGAACGCCTGTCAGCTCGGGCCGCATCTAAGCCTATAGTCACGAGCGAAACACTAAGAGTAGATAGTGTGACTGTATACCCCCTCGTGGGATAGAGCATAGAGTACAATACAATGATGTTCATGTGAGAGACAATGTATTAGTTAAGTATGGCGAAAGTTGACTAGGAGCGTCTTTAGGGAAGAAAATGGAATTGGATGTTAGGCATCTAGTATGCAGCTGCTTGTCCAAGAGCCTAGAGATAGGTGAAACTTTTCTACGCCCGAAGACGGCTACAAGCCTCCCAGGATCGGGAAGACTTGCTTAGTATATGTTCTCGTAGATTTTTCTCACTCTTGGTTTCCATTCGATCGTTGATGTTTAGTATTCGGATCGCAACGGTGCTAGAAGGTCATCCACTCGGCTTTGTGCGAGAAATTGGTCGCTTCCACAAAACAGGGAAACAAAATTCAAACCTTGAGGTGAATATGATCCCGTTCGTTAACGAGCTGGCGCCCTCGCTGGACGTTGCTGAGAATAAGAGCAGAGATCACTCACTCCAAGCCCGGGCGAATCTGCTATGGCCCCTGATTTTCTTGCCGTAGCGGAAGAACAAGTATGGGAAAGGCAGCATCGCAACTGTCAGAAAGGCGAGCAGAGACGACGCCCAGGAGTATCCAAGATCTTCATACATCCGGTTTCCAAACAAAGGAAACGCAGCTACCGTACCGGTCGAAATTAGCCCCATTTGCACGAAAGACGTAACAACGGAGGGATCCAGCTGGACGGATCCGTGCCACTTGGTTCACTTACCGGCGAACATGCACCGCACAAAGGCGTTGGCTGCCAGAGCGCTCGCCGCGTAAAGCGGATATGCGTCGACCTGCGTATCCGTTGTTAGAGGGAGCCATTCCACCGTACGCCCCCCAAAAGGCCATCCTCCCACGCAGGGTAACGGGCCGGCTTTTGAGGGATGGAAGAAGGAGGAGGAAAAGGATATAACAACGTACTAGGAAGGTGAAGATGCCAGTGAAAACAAGCACGGTCCTGTGAATCCAGACAGTCAGCCGCATCTCTCCTGCAGCAGGGTCGTCTATGCAATGATCATCTCGGACAACTCTTGCGCGCCCTAAGAGAGCGTTGACTGAAACTACGAGGAAGCTTGACTAGCGCATACCGCTCTGGCATTTATCAAGGCGGCGGCGGCATGGTAGGACGAAGCACCATCATAGTTCAACGTTGACGAACAGGCTTCTGCTCCCCTGCCCCAGACCTTCCAACTTTGGGTACGACCGCGAACTGCTGTGCGAGGGACGCAGGGCAGGGGGAGGGGCCCAGCACCACGGGTATAAGGGGGACATAAACATACCCAGCAGCAAAAATACCGGAGCCAATGACGGGGGCGATCCAGTGGACGTCGGCATTTATGGTCCAGGCGAAGACGAACAGACCGATGGTAACGAGGAAGCCTCCGATGATGGCGGGCGGTAAGCGGAACTCGGGCTCACTGCCGCATGGCTCGCCCGTGTCGCGCTCGAGGTTGCGGATGAGGCGCTTACGGACGGCGTGCCAGAGGGGGTCGCTGACGGCGGCGCAGAGCATGCCGACGAGGATACCGTTAAAGGCGAGACCGATCTGCCAGAGGTTAAAGCCGTGGGTGTTGCCGAAGACGAGAGGGAAGGCGCCAAAGAAGAGGTAGAGGACGCCGAGGAGGATGGCGGAGAAAATGCAAAGGAGGAGGACAATGGGCTCGAAGAAAAGGACCTGGAAGGGGCGGAGGAGGGAGAGACCGACAGTGCGACGGATGGACTTAGTGGACTTTTCCATGGGGGCGCGCCAGCGGTCGTCGCCCGTGTCGGCGCGCATCTTGCGGGCCTTGTTGCGGAGGACGACGGGGTCTGGGAGGTAAGCGGTGTCGGGGACGATACCATAAGGGAAATATGCCGCTAGATCTTGGGGAGAGCCAGACTTACGGTACGTCTCGGGCACCAGAAACACAATGGCCAAACCCATGACAAACGCCCAGATAAGCAGCACATAGAACGTCCACCGCCACTGGGTATAGTAGTTGATGAAGCCGCCCACCGTGGGCCCAATGGCAGGCCCGATAAATGGCGCCATCGAGTACAGCAGCATCGGCCCCTGGAGATCATTTCGACTAAACAGATCACTCACCGTCCCGCCGGAGACGGCGAGGAACGCACTCCCGGACAAACCATCCAAGAACCGTGCCACAATCATCGTCTCAATATTCCTGGCCATAGCCGACGGGATGATCCAAATAATGTACATGCTCCACGCAGCGAGGTAGATGGGCCGCCTCCCATAAAACTCACTCAAGGGGCTCAGGAACAAAGGTCCCAGGCTGATGCCGAGGACGAAGGTCGACAGACCGAGAGTGGAGAGTATGCGGGAGGAACGGAACTCGGCGTCCATCTGGGTGTAAGTGGATGTGTAAATGGAGCTCGCGGCCGTGACGCAGAAGCTGGCTCCGGAGACGAGGGCGACGATGAGCCATCTGCGGGGCGTGGGGAGGGAGCGCGGACACCAGGGATCTAGGTCGCCGTTTGTGAAGGAGACTATGTAGGAATTCGAACTGAGGATCGGGACCGGGTTCGTGGAAGAGGCGAGAGGCGGATTTTCGTCAGAGGAAGCGGGAAAGTCGTCGCAGGAGTAGCCGTTGTGTGACGGGGTGCTGGAGATGATGCGGGAGTGGGCGGAGGCCGAAGAGGACTGGCGGGCGTGGGAAGTCGGGCGGATCCCGGTCGGAATGGGGGCGAAGCGGTCTGCATCGGGGTTGGGGTGGGGGCCCGAGAACGAGGCCTTCTCTAGGTCCAATTCTGTGCCTGTGTCTGTGTCTGTCACAAGGGCTTCTTTGCGTTCATACATTACTTGATTGACGTGCAATGTTGAGAGACTAAGCTACAGGTCCAAACATAATAACATCAGGAGCAGGAACCGGGCGCCATGGTGGTATTTATCCTAGCTCCGACTCACGATCTTGAGCCCGCAGAAAAAGCGCGAACTGCTGGTTCCTTTGTTGCTCAGATTATTAATTAGTCGATGGATCCGTCGTCATCTTTAGCGTTGCAAGTGGCAGCGTGCGCCGGGAAGCTTCTTAGACATTCTCCACCTGAACCTTATCAGAGTACGCAGCACGAATACCCGACGTCTCGTAACGGGGGTTAAGATAGCATTTGGATCACTTATTGGCTATTGTCATTAATCAGCATATTTTTGCCGTCGGAAAGCATATTGTAACTTAGTCCATGCCGAGGCGTTTGTTACATATCATGATCACTAACTATAACTCGATATGCCTTGGTGGATTAACTGGCCCGAATGATGACTGCCAATGATCTCCGTGTGGGTCTATCAATATGGAAGTGCGATATTTGTCAGCTGCTTCGGAGGTTATTGAACGATAAACCCGCCAACTCCGCAATAAACAGTAAGGAAAGAGCGTCGGGGTCCACCATTTCAGCTACTTCGGTGTTTATTGAATGATAAACCCGCCCACTCCGCAATAAACAGGGAGGAATAGTGTCTTACTAAAGCTCTCGATTACCAATACCTAGTGACTTTCAACGAACGCTTTCCGTGGTCATTAGGTGTCGGCATGATTGTGTGATCAAGGTAGATGTAAGTTTCGTGGTGGGCTTTGGGTGTGTATTTGTCAGATTGTAGGCCATTCGGGATGTCTCTTCCCCTATCCTGTTGCAAACTCTGTTTTCTATAGCATTTAAGGGACCGACTGCGCTTTGGATGTTCGATGAAAATATTCTAACGAACTCACTCAACGACTAAACGCAACATACCCAACAATCTACCACCTACCTACGAGCTATCCACGAAGCCAATCGCCAAGATGAAGGAAGCTGTCGTCAACAAGGAGGTCAAAGTCGAGATCAAGGACGTCGCCGTCCCAAAGCCCGGCCCAGACGAGGTTCTGATCAAGGTCGTCGTTGCAGGTTCGTTGTCTGCCCTTCTCTTTGCTCGACAAGCTTCAATGACGTCGTCACGTTCAAATTTTCGCTGACACGACTCCCAGGAACCAACCCCAAGGACTGGAAAATGCCAAGCTGGTCGCCGACGAGCAACAGCACTAATACGGGCGATGATATCGCCGGCACAGTCGAGGCCGTTGGCGACAATGTCTTTGGCTTCACTAAGGGCGACCGGGTCGCTGCATTCCACGTTATGATGACTCCGCATGGCGCCTTTGCCGAGTACGCCGTTGCGCCCGCGAATACCGTCTTTGCCCTGCCGTCGGCCGTCTCTTACGAGGAGGCCGCCACCATTCCGCTAGCTGCGTATACGTCCGCCGTCGCGCTGTTTAATCGACTCGAGTTCCCCTCGCCGTGGGACGCCAAGTCCAAGCGGGACAGCGACGGGAAGCGGCCTGTTATTATTTATGGCGCGTCGACCGCGATTGGCGCGTTTGCCATTAAGCTCGCGCAGGCGGCGAACATTCACCCCATCATTGCCGTCGGTAGCAAGAACAGCGGTTTTATCGTGCCGTTTTTGAATTCAGGCAAGGGTGACCGGATCGTGGACTACACGGCATACAAGACGTCCGACGAGCTGGTCGCCGCGCTGAAGGATGCCATCAAGGAAGCTGGTGTCGAGAATGGTCGCGTGTACGACGTGTTCGACTGCGTTTCGGAGAATGGGACGTATGTCACGCTGAGCAAGGTCATTGCTGGTCCGCCGGACGCCAACGGCAGGAAGCCGAGGATCACGCACGTGTTGCCCGTAGATGAGAGCACGACGGATTCGAGCGTGGAGTTTGTTGGGATGACGGTTGCTCATGTGCACAAGGAGCCGTTGTTTGGCAAGGTCTGGTCGGCTGCTTTCGCGAGCGGGCTGAGTGAAGGATGGCTTACAGCGCACCCGCATGAGGTTGTGAAGGGAGGTCTTGGAGGTTTGGAGGGGGCTTTGAACGGGCTGAAGGACGGGACGGTCAGAGCCAAGAAGATGGTGATTCGGGTTGGTGAGACTGAGAGTGTTGCGCAGTAGACAGCGAGACCTTCCTAGAACATTCCATGGATGTATACGGTAATTAACAACGTGTAATTCGACGCAGAATCTCAACACGTTATATACTCCGATACAGCTAAGCTGGGGTTGGTTTTGTAGTAGCCTATATCGGGTTAGCGTGGTCTCGGGTACGAGCCGAGAAACGAAGCGCGAGTGTCATAAGGGGTAAACTGTTTTCGAAAATCGCTGTATACCATCAAATAAATCCTTTCCCGCCGTCCTTTATATCCGCGATTTCATCGAGAATGTTGAACCGGATCTAACACGACCTAGTAAAGGATTTTCCATATAGCTACGTGTTTCGCTCAATATCCCAAGCAAGGATATTCAGTCAGACGATGTTGAACAGGAAGAAATCCCCACCCTTATCAGATTCTTTAATAAGGGCAACCGACCTAACCTTTACCAACCAAATGCCTTTGCCTATTCGTCGGGTGCTTTTCTAACTACCACGTCCGATAAGGAAGGATTTCATATTCTACTTCACGCTCACAATTTAGATCGGTAGGTTTGCCTTGTCTAATTTAGGAACATGCTTACACAATCTAGTCATCCCGGAAATCAGGAAGATACTGCCTCATACTTCATGCACTGTCCCGAAGCTGCTCAGCCAATAGTTACTTTCCTCGGCGTCGTTCTTAACCGCGGCGGCCAACTAAACGATAGGCCAACTTTACTCCACTACCGTCTTCAGACTACCGTTTACAACACGTCAACTCGTACCCAGCACACTTTTCCCATCACCGCCTACTTCAAAAACGGGCAACGTTAGGCGAACTTTCCGCCATTGAATATAAACGCCCATGTTTTTTTGACGGGTCGCATCTTCGGCCTCACAAAAGAGAACCGTCAATTAGCTATCATCGTGGATAATATACATTTTCTCCCTACACCAGCTCCTTATCTACCTCTAACTCCTTCCTCAACAACTAGTAAACGGAAGCGAGTCGATCGTTAGTCCCAGAGGGCTGGCCCCACCACCCCTTCCAAATCAATTACAATCCCCCAAAATGAACCTTCTCTCAGGGACCAGCGTTATCCTAAGCCAACTAGAACAGATGCCCCAGATAATGAGGACGACGAAAGCGCGCAAATGACGTGGCCAGACACGGCAGACGAAGTCAATGCCTTACCTCGTGCTAGCACTCCCACTCCAGAGAGACGCTCTCAAAGGCCAAGGAAAACCTCATATGCTGATATACTCGCGCAGTCGAAAAATAACTACTGTTAGCGAATTTAACTGATTTCTTAGTTGCTTTCTTCGATTTCATTTATTAGTCATCTGGTCTTTCCTCTCATTGGTCAATCTTAAGTAAAACGCAACTCAAACATCATCCACACATTTTAATGTCTCTTTTCACCTTTCCGTCTCCCCTTTCCAGTTCTTCGTTTCAGGGCCGATGCGCGCAACGCGCGCGTCTTCCAGTGGAATACTGCCAAGAAAGGGGTTCAGGGCAGAGTAACCGTAATAGGTATAGCGTGTTTCGTAAGAGGGTTCGAGAAAGAATCTCTGTGAGTAAATGGTGAATCTGATTTCGATCCATCCTGTATCACTGATGACATGCGTAAGTTTATTAACGTCCATGTCTTGATGGCGTCTGGGAACAGCTATTTCAGTTCAGACTCCCCTCTGTACCATCCGCAGCTGCATTCCCACTCAGGTGCCGATTTACGTCGATTATAGTCGCGTTATAGTATTTGATAGTCCATTATAATTGAATTTGAAAACTGGGTGATAGATATTGTATCTAGTTATGATTAAAGATTGATGCCCCACCTCTCATCTGCATGCGCTACGGAGACTTTCTTAAGCCGTGATACAATCTGTAATATGTTCTTATCAAATTACTTACTACGCCTTAGATGGCTGAAGCCACCGAATGTATAATATTCTTCCCATATCCTTGTTCCATCTGCCTCCTAACACCGTCTCCAATGTGATAGGCGCTCGCAGGGGTCTTGACCAACGGATTAATGCACAAGCGATCACATCTGAACAACCAACTGTCAACATGTGTACGTGTGAAAGCGCACAACACGTGAGGACACAACACGTGAGGGGACAAGTACCAGACCAACGAGAGCAAGGCTTGGCGCAAAATTTGGCTGTGTTTCTCGCAGCGTCAACTCATCGCATATACTTCACTGTCGGTAGCCGTGAGGTACAGTAGCTTGCCTGGCAGGTGCGAGGATATATATAATAAACAATGCTGGTGTCACAAGGCGGTCGAGATGGACTGAAAGGCTGTCCTCTTCAGGGTACAGTGACTGTAATAGGTATAGCGTGTTCTAAAAGATCTCTGTGAGGGAACAATGCGAGTGATTTTCATCCATACGGACCCGTTGGTCTTCAGTGGGCGCGACACCAAATGGCCAAGCTCGCTACAAAAAGCGAAGAAACATTACCACTACTAATACAAATCGCTCGCCCAAAGTTGTTACTCTAAAGGGTGAGTAGTTGACAGAACTATGCAAGCAGAGCAGACACTCTGTTTGGCCTGTTTGTAGGTTCAACGTTCCTAGAAGCATTAGAAACCGAACCGGTATCGTACAGAAATTATTTTTATGCTGTTATGTACAATTGTATTGGAATACTGCCAAGTCTTCCGCCAGGTGCGGAGACGTTGTGCCATCGACCGTCGATGCGGAGGAATGATTCGTCTTCAATAGTTGCAATATTGATGTTGGACTGAAACAAAGTTTTCAGGTAGATTATTAGTATCATGGAACCAGCGGCTCGAGTCGTTGGATAGGTGCTGTCTTAGATGCCCACTGCTTTGCAATGAGATGGGCGTCTGCGGTGGTAGTACTTTCGTCGTGAGTGAATATCGCAGCAAAAGCTCCATATTTATCCCCACACTGGACTAACGCAGCGATATTACAGGACGTGATAAAGATGCCATGCTGTGCCTCCTGACCTAATCGGTTAATGCGGTACGCTCAACAATTGATCTGCGTTAGCGCCTTGGCGGCTGATTCAGAAAATAATCAAGTTTGTATTGGTCAAGCCAATATCGAGAATGACAGTAACACCCTCCCCCTCCCCCGGTTGATGATTTCCAATTATATCAATCAATCAATCAACCAATCAATCAAAGCTCTATTAACCTGTGGAGCCTGACTAGTATCGTAATGGCTATGCAGGTACTTCTATCCGAATGAAGCAAGAACTCGTGTCCCGCACGCCTGGTCATGCTCCAGTACAAAAGTTGAGCTGGTCCTCGAGCGAGAGAGTACCAGCCCTACATGTAAGTCAAACAAGCCCAAACCCAGTACAGATGAGAAATTCAACGCTAATTTATATGAGTGACAACTTTTCTGCGCCCTGTGGATGACATCCTCCTTTTGATTCGCCGCCGTAGACCCACCAGCCCCTCGAAATGGTCTTTGAGAGTCAAAGGGTCGAGTCATTGTTATTTCCTGATATTCCTTTTTATTTTCAAAGATGGAACTCGAATCTCGCAATAACAGTACCGATCGAATTGAACCAGACGAACTGGTGCATTTTCATGAAGGAAGACAACTCCCGCCAGTGGATGGAGGCAAAGATGCATGGATGTTCCTAGTGGCCGGCTTCATCATCGAGGGGTTGACTTGGGGTTGGTATTGAATTGGCGATTTCTCTTGTCTCTGCTAACAGATGCCTAGGCTTTGCATTTTCCTACGGTGTTTTTCAGGATTATTATCTTTCAAGCGATGAGTTCCGGAACTCGGGCAACATCGCAGCCATTGGTACTTGTGCATTGGTAATGGAGATGGCTCTATTTTCTTGAATTATGTACTGACTTGCGACAGGGGATTGCCTATCTTTCGGCTCCTCTCGACTTTGCATTGTTACTAGGAGTGCCTCGCTTCAGGCGACTTGCTACTCCGGTTGGCTTCCTGGTTATGTGTTTAGCTCTTGCATTGAGCTCCTTTTCCACGACGACAACCCACCTCATTCTCTCACAGGGTGTGGGCTATGGTCTAGGAGCCGGATTGGCCTACTCACCTGTGATTCTGTGGATGGGTGAATGGTTTGTCAAGCGGCGTGGACTTGCTTTTGGGACTATGTGGGTAAGTATATCCCAACAATGATTCAAATTAGACGGCCACCTACTTACCCATACCATAGGCTGGAACGGGTCTGTCTGGTGTTGTATTTCCCATTGTTCTCCAGTGGATGCTGAAAGAGTACGGCTTCCGCACCACTCTGCGCGTCTGGTCGGTTCTACTCATGATTCTCATCGCACCGGTCATCTATTTTGTCAAACCACGCATTCCGACATCTCAGACTGCTAGCAAGATCAGGCCTTTTGATCTCAGTTTTATATGGACCAGATCCTTCATGATCTACCAAGTGTGCAACACAGTGGAAGCATTGGGCTTCTTCCTTCCAGCCGTGTACCTCCCAAGTCAAGCTCGATCATTAGGCGTGACCGGTCCGCTGGCATCATTGACTGTCATCTTGTTCAATCTTGCATCGATCGGTGGATGTGTGGTGATGGGAATGCTCGTGGACAAACACCATGCTACGACCTGCATACTTTTGTCTAGCGTTGGGACCGCGCTGTCTGTCTTCCTCATCTGGGGCTTTAGCGTTTCGATCGCGCCTCTGTATGTATTCTGCATTGTCTATGGACTCTTTGCGGGCTCATTCACCTCCACATGGACCGCGATTACAAGAGAGACACAGAAGAACAACGAGCGAGCAGATATGTCGATGATCTTTGGAATTTTGGAGACCGGTCGTGGGATTGGAAATATTGCCAGTGGATTCTTGAGCGAAGCTTTGATCGCACATGGTGCTTCTATCAGCGCGTACGCGTTTGGCAGCACTTACGGTAACATTATCATCTTCACCGGAGTCACGGCCCTATTTGGAGGTGCCTGTGCCCTGGCTCGTCCTTTGAAGCTACTCTAAGAACCCTGATGTTGCATTGAAAGCGAAAAGAAAGTTGATACCTGGGGATCTATTTGGCATGAATGGCCAGAAGATAGACCGGGAAAAAGTTGTTTAGGATCAAAATTACTTGAATTAAATATCTCCCTTCACTAGAAGACGAAAGTACTCTCAAGCGGTAAATTCCGACTCGAACGGCCCACCCAAACCTTGTACTGGCCCTTCTGAAGAGCCCACTGCTGCGCGGTGACATCCCAGGTGCTGAGGTCTCTTCGTGTCAAGGAAAATGTGATCTTTGCACTCTTCCCACTATTAACAGACACCTTTTCGAACCCACGCAGCTGGCGCACAGGACCGTTAGGAATTCCAACGTACAACTGTGCCACCTCATCTCCATTGACTGAGCCGGAGTTTTGCACAACAGCAGAGACCTTGACGAGCTCATCCCACAGGTGCGGATTGCCGCCCTCCACGATCTTGGCTGCGGCCGGATACGTTGACCAAGGCGTACTCTTCTTCTGTAATTGAAGGCCAGAGTATTTGAAGGTGGTGTACGACAGTCCATATCCGAATTCGAATCGAGGAACAATTCCCTTGGAGTCAAATGCACGATAATCGATGAACTGGCCTTCGCTAAAGTCGGACTGTGGGTAGAGCCAGTACTCCCCTTCAGGCTCAGAGGGGTGCAGCAGCAATCCGTAATCGCTTGCCTGCTTGGCCACAGTGTATGGCAGCCTGCCGGATGGGTTGGCATGGCCATAAAGGAGGTCAACAACTGCGCGGCCGGTGTCCTGACCAGGCAAGTGGGCGAACATGACTGCCGTGATGTTTCCATTCTCAATCCAGTTGTCGACAACTCGGATTCCCGCGTTGTGGATGACGACTACTGTGTTAGAGCACTTGCTCGCCACATTGGTGATCAAAGTATCGCTGTAATCATCACTCAACCCGGGACGATCAAAGCCCTCGCTGGCATAGCTGTTGGCGAAGACCAGACAGACATCCGAGGTGGGATCAACATCGGGGTCCTGAGAATCGAAGTTCCACATGACGGAGCTACCATCGGAGTAAGCCTGGCGCTGAATTGCATCGATGGGACTATCCACGTAGGCGGCTGAGTTGGCACCTGAGCCTCCTGCAACGTACAAGGTGCTGTTTTGCGTTGCAGGCGTACCCTTGGTATAGCCGATTGAGACCTCCAGAAAGTCCGGCCCTTTGGCGTCATATCCGAACATCGATACCAGATCAGGCTTCCTCAACGGCAGCGCGTTGTTCGTGTTTTTGACCAGAACATGTCCCTCAATAGCTCCGTGGAGCAAAGTGTCCTTCGAACTGCAGATTTGCCAATCACCTTCTCATGGGCGGCGCCCACATCGGCGGGCATTCCGATGCCTGGATTCGGAATGCCTTTATCCTGGTTGAGCTGGTACCACGTCGCCATAATACTATTAGCCTCGATGTCAGCAATTCAGTTCATGTTGGAACAGAGAAGAAGGTTCCATACCGCGTAGCCATGTCATCCAACCTTGAGGCTTCCATTGATCCATTGGAGATTGCAGTTGTCAAATGATCACCCCACAATTCTGAGGAGGGCATCACCATGTCTAAGCCAGCATTGGCTCCTGCGATCCCGGCATGCTGAGCACCCCAGTCAGTGACCACATAACCTAGACCATGTTAATGTGTTGTTAACGAGTGTAACCAGAGACACTAACCCTGGAATCCCAGTTCAGTCTTGAGAAGTCCATTGAGAGTCTTGCTGTTTTGACAGCCGTAGGAGTTGTTGATGCGTTGGTACGAGCACATTATCGACGCACTGCCAGCTAACACAGCATCTTGAAAGGGCCATAGATACAGTTCATGCATGGTTTTGTCATCGATGTTGGAAGATACTGCGGCCATACTCTCACCCTGTTTATTTCTCTCTGGGTTCCGATTTGTTTCTTGCTCATTTGCTATGTAGTGCTGGTGACTGTTAGCTCAAGATGTGAGGGTACGAGGTAACCAAAATTACCTTAGTTGAAGTCCCCACTCCTGAAGATTGCACACCATCGACTGTCTCATACACGAGTGCACCAGCCAGATAAGGATCGGTCGAAAAGCCTTCCCAGTTTCGTCCGCTTTCAACAACACGCCCAAGAGGGCCGACAACAGGCCCAAGCAAAAGATTCACACCCTTTTTGCGGAACTCAGCCCCCATGTGAGCTCCTCTTTGGTTGGCCAGTTTCTTGTTCCAGCTTGAATCTGTTGTCAGTTCGATGCTGCTGCGAGTTGGGACAACTGCCTACCTAGCTCCGACATGAATCCCACTAGGCCAGCTACTGACATAGTCGGTTCCTCTCTGTTGTTGCTTAGCTGAAGTACTTCAACCTTGGAACTTGGTACTCACCAATCCATTGCCAGCGTCAGAGACACAGAATCCAGGGAATCCCAGGTGATCAATCGGTCCGATATTGCCAGAACACCCATTTTTGACTGAGATTCCCGCTGTCAAATTCACCTTTTCCTCGGGGGTGAGCTTGCCCACAAACTCCCTGGCCTTTTGATAAGCCAAGGCCCATGATCCAGAGCCAGTACCCTCCGCTGAAAAGGTCAAATTAGTATAGATGCTCACGTTTGAGGGACACGGGAGTAACGCACGCGACGGGTAGACTGGGGGAGATTGTCCGTAGAAATAAGCATCACTCGTGATATTCTCAGCGTGTGTGACAGAGACAAGTGAAAGGCTAAGCAGAAGGCTCAGGGCACAGGCGTTGTAACCCATCTTTGCAGCTGGATGTGTCGCAGGACTTAGGTTTTGTCAGGAGCAAATCTTTCAAACTTATCTAGACCCCGCGATAGTCCCGAAGAGCACCGGAGCACTGAAGAGATAGACTAAGAAACCCCTCAGAATGAATGCACGTTCACTACTAGTATGCTACCGGGATAGTATCAACCGATCCCATGCTAGACTCCTCAAGAGAGGGGTATGACTAGTCCGCAAAGTTTGAGCACAAATGAAAGACTTGCATGGACATCACTACTAGAGAAGCCGGTGCATCTATATACCAAAACGCGTGAAAGTAGCGCGCAGGTGCGCATTCCATAGAAAACATGCCATCTTGGGTATGTCAAATGCCGATCTCGCGCGCAGGGTGCTGTACGTAGCATCACAGAGTGTCAGTACAATGTCGCAGTGAGCACCAGAAAAGGGAAAGTATATAGAATTAACTTTTGTACAAGCTCAACTTCTCTGTACTTGGCGTGTTCCTATCCGCCGTCGGCACCACCCGCACCCCCGCATTTTCGCGTCTCCACATGGAAGTAGATGTGGATGTACCTGAATAGCCTATATGGGGTAATTGGAGTGTATCTGCCGCAGCTACGAAGCCAGTCTGTGTGGGGTCGATCTGAGAATCCAACATGGAAAATCGAACATACCCCTGAAGTCTTTATGTGCCCATTCTCCGGAATGAAGTTTAAACCCCAACAATCGAAACATAAGTTATGTCATCGTAGGTAGTATTAGATCTTTTGAAAATCCGAAAAACAAAGAGGCTCATTGTATCTAGGCACCGATCACAACTGGTCTAGTACCACAACACTTGCGACATGGCTTGGGAAACACGCAAGTCAAAAGGTATAATATAGGGAATGATTCATTTGTTGGAATCCTTAGCGAGAAAAACATTTTGATATTGTTTCGACAAATACAATGATGTCGCAATCGTTCCATCGCACTCCGAAGGTTCATCGGATCAAGTTTTGTCTGAGAATTCCGTTAGAGCTACGCCCCAAAATGGTTGACTCCCGGGAATTCGCACAGACCAAGAGAACCTGGAGCTATCGAAGTAGACGTGAATCTGAAACATTGGTTGCCAGTGAATTGAATTCTAGGTGAGAGACCGAGTACAGTACGTCACAAAACCGGTGCTATCACCTACACACTTCGATTGATTCTCCAGCCCCAACGCCAAGAGACACTAGCCTACACTCGATCTGGCTTGCTTCATGCTCACCGCCCTCTATTACCTTCTTTCGTTGTGTCCGTCTTTATCTACCTCGTGCATGGTAAACTCGATTCTCGTTTATGTTTTTCTATGGGTCCTACACACTATTGCCATTTCTATTATATCGAGGTAGCGTTGTTCTTGTTCTAAATTTAGAAGCTTGCTTTCTCGGACAAAATGACGCTATCGAGCGGCTGTGCAGAAAAAAAAGGTTTAGCTAAGCCCCCTAAGTGGCTATGCAGATCTATCGTATTAACGCAGCGCCTAAGCACAAGTTTAGATCAGAAGGTTTGTCATAAGCGACTGTTTTCCTAGATCTGAGGGTGAAATTTGCGAAGCTAAGCGTCCCTCTATTACTCCCAATAATTATACCCTTGGTCCCTAGCTACAGTCAACTTTTATACTTCCTTGAAGATGCTCTTACACAACGATACAAATGCTGGTACAAGTGGTTATGCCTCCGTCGAAAACCGGGCTCCTCGGCGAAAGGAGTTTGTATTTGCGCGGACGGGACCGATGCGCATCAACATGAGGGTTTTCTCAAAGCAAGACGATCAGAATACTCTCTACTCGATACATATCTCAGGTCTGTTCAGCGACATTACGGATATCGAAATGCATGCAGGCGCCGAGAAAGGCTACCAGGCACTTGGCAGCTGTCGCTTCAACAAATTCCGAACATCTCAAATCCAATTTCGCCTAAATGACGAACAACCATCAAAGATGCTATCAGTTCAAGATCACGCCTACTACTGCTGGTGTATGGATGGATTTCACCGTGTTGATGGGATACTACAGAAATCAAAGCGGTATTTTGTCTGGAAAAGAGCAGCGCAGAGTGCAACCACCTCAAGTACCACGGGCGTGCTAGACTTAGAACTATGTGATGCCGACAACCTTCAAGTATGTGCTACATACAATGGAGCCACACCTGGATCGGGAAAAGGAGGAAGTTTGCAATTTCGAGATGACCTAGGTGAATCTGGGGAGATAGGGGTGGTGTTGACACTTTCTGCGTTAATAGAGAAGGAGAGACAAAAGAGAGGACGGAAGGGAAACTTTAGCACTGGCATGTTAGCTTATTAGCCTTAATTCAAGCTGACCATCCAATACTTGTAGGGAAATCCCATTTTACCGTTAGAGCCAGATCATCTTGCCCATACGTACATATTTTGAAGGCAATTCTCCCAACAAAATCGCAATTGAGTTGATGAAATAAGCTTTCTAGGTCTAGCTGAGCATGTATCTCTTCTAAGTACCGGTTTTCAGAGAAACTACATCTCGGCAAAGCACTCGTACGCGGCAAGTGCTTCGGCTCGTATCCGCTGTGGGCGCGGGCGGGGGGAAGTTAGTGGGGCACGGGGGTGTAAGGCGCTTCAACATAAAACGGGCTGTGGGGCACCTGGCTAGCATGATCGCCAACTAGATAATGCCTCATGTCATGTTCACCGTCGTAGAAAATTTGAAGCTACGCAGAATTCGTGATGTCACTAGGCCAAGCAAGGATAGCCTGATAAGGGTTCACGCCTTACTTGGCACATACATACATAACCCACGTCTTCTAATTCAGAATTGATTAGCTTGCTGCATTCAACAAGAATCGTTCATCTATGATATCATAGATTTCCAAATTTGTCGACCAGCATATGCCCCTATACTTGCACGAAGTTGTTACACGTGGCAAGCTAGGCATAGTGAGCAGAGTTTGAATGTCCTTCGCCACAAGGAAAACGAATATATCATACAAATAGTCAGTACCGTGTTCTTTTAGAAATCAAAATCGAGCGATTAGCATCACTTCGGTCTACTCGCCGTATTCTACTCGCCGTATATACCCCTTCCGAGACCTTAGCGGCTAGATATTACCTTCGGTAGAGTGAAGAGTCGGCGGGCAAATATCATTGATCACCATGTCTGGGTCACACGATCTGTATATCTAGAAAACTGCCTACAAGGCCGCCTGTCACAAAGATTCTGCTACGCGGACCCTGTTACATAGAGTGACAACTATGGCTGGGAACGGCCTTTACACTCCTTGTCGTTTTGCGGTGGACTCGGAAAAACGAATCCGCTGTTCATCTCGCTAATTGTCGGCCCGCCAACGGTAAGATTGCTCACTCGAAGATTGTACACGTTGGCTGGGTTCTATGACATAGACTTTGCTTGCATGGTTGTATAACAATGCCGATCCGCTACGAATTACGAGGCCCCTTGAACGTTTGTACAACCTATGCAGATCTAAAGACTACGTATAAATGTTGATGACTTGGGGCGAATTTCGTAACCTAACTCATATTCGCATTCTCTCCACTTCATAGATACCACGATTGTGACCTCATTCCACAAATGGAACCTAAAGTCGGCGTCAGCGTATTCGTGCGGAATAATAGGGGCGAGTTCGTTCTCGGAAAACGACGAGGAAGTATTGGAGCAGGTTCGTCTATTAAGTGTTAACGGGGAATTGCTCTTTAGTCACCCTGGCTGCCAAATCATTCAGTTTGAGGTCCAAGCCTCTTCTAACTTCTTCGCATGTAAAGGTACTTGGGGCCTACCGGGCGGACACCTCGAATTCGGCGAGTCTTTCGAGACCTGCGCAGCACGAGAAGTGCTCGAAGAGACTGGGCTTATTGTCCATGATCTGCGGTTCTTGGCCGTCGTGAACAGCGTCATGCATGCAGAAGGCAAACACTATGCCGTTGTGTTTGTCGAGGGGTATGTTAGTGAGGCAGCCGGGGGCGCTGCGCAACCTCGGGTTAGTACTGTCAGCAGTTGATTGGCGGTGTAAAGCTATCGTGTTAAGGAAGTACTAACTTGCCATTTATGGCCTTAGATACTCGAGCCCGAGAGCTGCACTGCATGGGAGTGGGTTTCGTGGGGTGATCTGCGCTCTTTTGACGAGGACCAGAAAAGATCTGAGGGACGGAGACTGTTTTCACCTCTTTCAGAACTATTTCAGCAGTGGCCGGAATTTCATCTGTAGCTGGGCAGTAATTGGCCATTCTACGTTGATTTTAAGGGAGTAGTAAGTCGCTATTTTCGATGCCTGAGACCGAGTAAGTCCCTAGACTGTCACTTGGACATGGGCGTGGCAAAAGAAAATGACACCTCGCAAGATCCTGAAGGCCCTTACAGGCTTGGAGTTTGGCTTGCGTGCATTGCTATGGAAAATTCTAGTTCCTTTGGATCACCAGTACTGTAGCGAGACATAAAATTGGACAATATTCCTTATCTCAGACTTTCTGCTCAAGATCGGTCTTTCCAAATCGAGGAAAGTTATGATGTATGGATTTACAACTTGGTCAGCAAAGGAATACCTGAGATGACGAGCCCTACTGGTGAAAAAACGACCTATGCCAAAGACAACGGGTGCTTATGATCTTGGCTTGCTCAGAATGAGGTCCAAAAGCAGTCATAGGTGGCCGCGAGTCTCCTGGTTTTTATATTTGGGATTCCAATGTGGATATTGATGTGTTGGCTGATCTGCCTGATGTTTGCAAAGCCCTTTCACTCAGCTGGCCAAGTGAGATTCTTACGCCAAAATGTTTCTTACCAACATATACCAAGGCATACTGAATAATAATATCACTCACAGCCACGATCTGCGATGAAAGTTACGACGTGTCACTTACGAAATGGTCCGACAATGTTGTCTCTGACTGCGTGGGGTACAGTGTTTCCGATTCCGCTGCTACTAAGTTCGGTGGAAAAGTTTGGTCTGGATCGAATGAGAATTACTTGAAAGATACTACAATTGGAGAATACTGCAATGGTAAGATTATTCTCACAGAAACTTCCCATGGTCATAAGCTCATTTTCCCCGGGCGCAGATGTAGTTGCCAACTTGCCGGCAGTGGACTTCCTAGAGGACATGCCTAGGTCTGAACTGTGCTCATTCTGCCACCGTTGAGAGGCTACAGACTATGCACTGTTCTTCTTATTTATTCTAAGATGAGATTTTCCAGAGACAGCTCCAGGCCGTTAAGACTCAATGTGGGCTCTCTGCGCCAGCCGCCCTTCCCCCGCCTTTATGTACTCCCCCGAATTTCTGCCTGTTCCCATCTGCGTTTCCGGTTAGACAAACACAACAATTTCTGGAAACACGTGTGACTCTATCGGTTTGGAGTACAATGTATCATCTGCTGCCTTGGTGAATGGCAAACTCCCGTCAGCTCGTGATTTGTCATAACTAGTTCCCAGACATGGGTCTTTGCTTGCCCACCAGCTGCGCATCCGTGTATGTTTTTAAAAGCGATGACACATGTACATCTATTGACACCTCAGACCTCTATCAATAGGGCGACGTGAGGAAATACAAGTCTTGAGTTGAATTGGACCGCTCCAACCTTCAGACATAAACCGATTTCTGGGTTCACGTCTTATGCCTCGATGTCCAACGAGGCACATACACGGCTACGGCGCCGATTCCCGGGTGAACTTAAGCCCTGGCGAGAGCACAGGCTAGTCGACATCAGTTGTTGCGTCCCCGTCGAATGCCATCGTCGCTGAAGACACAACCGTGAAATGCGGCAAGTGGCATGTCGTGCCAAGGAAGAAACCTGTGCACAGATTTGCGTCCAAGATAGGTCACCTCGACACTTTTCCTAGAAGTCAACCCGTCCCTTGCAAGTTCAGATTGCAATGCAAGCTTGGTTGTTGGAAATGCATACTGTGCCGCTCCTAATTCGGGATGGAAGACATCTTTTGCTTCAAGCACCGTTTCATTAAGCATCTCAAAGTGATATACTCTTCTGGTTACATTAACTACTAACCAATGCTAATAGCAAGATCATCGAAATATATCCTGACCTATCAACAGATTTCGCGCTAACCGAATCGACAAATGATGTCCCCGACCCCTGTTTACAAAAGCCACAAAGCGAAGGATATTGTTCCAGCATTCATCTTTAGGCGACGGTAATGACGCAGAGCTGCCTCCCTTGGGTTATTCATCGTTAGTAGCCGGTTCGCGGTTTAGTTGTTGTCATTAAATCTGCGTTTCTCTCTCCCTTCTCTTCTCTACAGTCAGAGTCGAAAAGAGATTCCCCTCTGGTCCCAGGCATTGTTTCTCGGCCCGTACCCGAAACCATGCTAGTCCATATTAGGTTATTCAGTATAGAGGGATATACTGAAAGACGCGCGCGACGCGCGCATCGGCCCTGAAACAATGAAAAAGTGATTGGAGGGCCAAGTATAAGTAAAACAATTTGACCATTGGCTGAATATATATGTTAATACACGTTGATGAAGGTAGACCGCGGACCGTAGATGTACAAATTGAGGTGGAAATTGTTCGTCGTTGAAAGTTGTCTTTCTGATTGAGCAAGATTGAGCAAGTATCACATATAGGCAGTTTCAGTGGTATCTAGAAACGCGTCTCTGGCATATGAGTGAAAGATTAAGGTAAGTAAGGACTTAGTATCATCGACTGTGTCAAGACAAATTAGCTACGTTCCTTCGTGGGAACTTTATAAGGCCGTTGGACCAGTTTGTAAGCATCAAAATGCTGCATCGCGAGCAAGGGCGTATTTCGAGGGGGGCTGGTAAATAAGCTAAGCGTCAGGCGAAACATTGCGACGGCTAGATAGCTCTAGAGAGGTACCAGCGACCGCGAGCAATACAAACCCGGTGAATTAATATTGTGTGAGCAGCACTACACACAGGAACGTTGAATGGCAAAATCCAGAAAATAGTTCACGTGAGTAGGGGCACAGGTGGCGATAAGCCACAGAGCTTAAAGCAGAACCTGTTCCGATCTGTTAGGATGTCACAGAATGAGACATAATAAATTCCACCAGAAACCATACAATGTTGAGAAAGAATTTGTTTCATCTCCGTGCCTGACACGTTTCAAGCACACCTCTCGCTCAATTCGCTTCTATTAGCTAAACAGCAATCTTTAACTATGACTTATCTGATATTGTCGAACTGCTCCCAAAATGATTTGCTTCTATGGCGTCTGGTTTATCCTGCTAAACTGTACAGATCAAAAGCCACTGATGCTAATGTCTGTGTCTGCAACACTAGCCTTAGGGGATAAATTAACTGTTTGTTTTAGACTACCCCATAGGGCATAGAGCCGGGCCCACCACCTACCATATCGCGCTAGTCGGACGGCAATTTTTCCTATTTAGCTTATGAATGCTATGAAGCCCGTTTTTCAGTGGTGCAAATGCTGAATAAGCTTATGCAATATTTTGATTAAGGGTTATATCCCTCCACTATGTATGGAAAGAAATAGCTTTTTTGCTAAAAGGAGGTGCCTGCTAGGAGGACTATAAAGATGCTCGCGGTTCTGTTTCAATGATGTGAGTGCAACTAAGTTAAATCTTCAAACACCTCAAATTACATTTGCCACGATGCCTTCCTTTAACCGGGCTATATCTGTCCTCGCCGTAACGGCGATTGTATCTGTGGACGCTGCTATGGGCCCTGCCTTCAGCACTGGTCCTGTATCGGACAACTCCTTTATTCGCGAATCGACCGCGACTCTGGTCCTACCTAAGGGTCCTAGCGGAAGCTCTGGAGATGCCTCCCTCTGGGTCGGAATGGGCACCTCTAACGGCGATTTGATTCAATCTATCGCCGATAACTGGGAATCCAGTGACTGGAGTATCTTTGCCTACACCCTCTTATCGACTAGTGGTTAGTCTTGAATCCGAATTTCTAATTAAAAGCAGTAAATTTATCTCATATTTTTTTCAGCCACCACCCAGATGCCTGTTCAGGGCGATTCCTCTACCGCCACCGCTGGAGATAAGGTGACGATGCATTGTAAGTGCAATGCAATAGTCGAGATAAAACATTAGTTCGAAATGCTAAACTTAGTTCACAGACAAATTCGACGACTCCACAGGCAACTATACCCAAACAGTTCTTGTCAACGACAAGACCGTTTCTACTCTGTCTACCAGCGATGGAAAAGCCCTGGGCTGGGGCAGCGCCGTTGAGTGCGCCGCAGATAACTGTGGCACCATGCCCGCTCACTGTAAGTTTCAAATAGCGACTGGAACCCTTTTATCACCCACCGAACTAATCCATTTCCTCCTACAGCTTGGATCAACGCCAAGATTATCCTGGACGTCGCCGATCCTGATTACATCAACACTATGAGCAAGGGAGCCGGTGTCTCTGGAAGCATGTTGACCACCGATGGTGGTAAGACCTGGACCATTGGTACCATCGAGATCCCCGAATACACTTTCGGCAGTGCTTCGTAAATCCATGCATCAACCTAGAGACAGACTGAGAGCCATATTTTGGTTGCCACAGAGACTTGAATATTCATTCTACGCTCATTTGTTTAGCTTCAACATGTAACTATCACGTCGGATCCATATGTACGCTGTCTTCTGAAAAGAGAAGTTTTGATATTGCAAAGCACTTTGCACGGCTGGTCTTACCTTCGAGGCACAAAACTATGAATGACCCTTGCGAACATCTCTCTCCACCAAAGCAGCCGACTGAGCTGATCGACTGTTCTGCCCAGGTACGTACATTATCTCCAAAGCGAAAGTGCGACTGCTTGTGGGGCAGTAAGTGGACTTCTGCCCAGTCCTGTCCGAAACGGGACTGACTTCAAAGATTATGCGAAACAAAGATCCGTGCATTCCGTCCTATGTACTTGATTTCCTCTGCCACTCCTTGGCGTTCACTTTCCGTTTTAATGCTCAGACCTTGCCGCTTTTTGCTCACTGAGTAGATCTGAGCACGCCCCTGAGCGCCCTAGCTCCATCTCGTGTACCCCCTTCACTTTTACCCATCGTCCCCCTCAAAAAAGGGCTGGGATTTCAATGTGATACTCAATCTAGTAAAATGTCTGCAATTAATTGCGCCATAATGGAGCTTGCTATTTGGCCACCAAATCAGCATTATCGTTCTACGATCGATGCTCCTGGGAATACTTTGCCTTCTCGGTCCCGCCATTTCCTAACCAGGATTTGAAGGACTACCGGAGCCAGGAGTATTGGTTCAGTCTACTTGGAGATTCCCCACATGCCCTGGCACAGAGGCTAGCAGAGATGATCGTCAGAATGTGGAGAAAGAGAACCGCTTCTCTGCCAATAAACGCATGCACCCGGACTTCGGGACTTCTATAAGCAATCGGATTTTCTTTATGAGGCTCAGATATAGTGCTCCTGATAACTGGCAGCAGGCTCTGCAATAGCTTACGAAAATGTCCGGAAGCCAACTTGATAATTACAGCTATCGTTTGAGCTATTTTCTTATTCGCCATATCACCATATTCCCAAAGACTCGGAACGTTTACCACCCTTACGTATACAGGACGTTCAATCATGTGAGCCTTACGCGTAAGCCGGGAGAATCTTGACTCTAGAAGACGTCGCGCGAGGACATAAACGAAAGGAGCCTCCGCGTTCTAGAAAACCCTATGTGGGTCACTCATGGCGCACATCCTCCACTCCTCATATATGTCGTGAGATATTCATAGCCCTTTAGGACGAACTTTGTTCCTAGGAGCCTGCCGTGCGCCGAGCCAGAACCTATTACGCAAGAGACCCAGTTAGACGTCCTAGAAACTCAACCTATATCCACAACCCCTTAGGTTGCTGACAATAGACGTGCTAAAGGATATCAAAGAGACTGCTGTATAAATATAATACAAAGAATACTCATCTCTATCATTTACAATCTTCTGAAGACTTCGATCAATAATGCTATATCTGAGGATAGAAACAGCAATTACTCCTCTTTGCTATGGTAAGTCTACCTATGTTGACTAATTGTGACATTTAACAAGTTCGCTACCTATAGTTACCCAAACGTATGAGGCCTAGCCTGATAAGTACTAGTGTAACCACAGCCTAAGTTACTAAAGCTACACAGCGCGGCGTGCATGCTCTATTAGAGAATATTTAACTGTCCCATCCCTTCCCGTTCTGATAGTAGCTATCATAGGCAATCTCCAACTACTCTACGGCAATGCTGGGCCTTGGGAAGGCGACATTATTTGGACTAGGGGCTTGCGGTAATAGTCTGGAGCGAGAAACTGGGCTTGGTCTCCGGAGACACTCAGGTGCTTTGTGGTAGCTGCGCTACATCTCAGCCCGATGCTCTTGGGAATGCTTTTATCTAGTCCGTTCCACGATTTCCTAATCAGTATTGGGGGACCACCGGAGCTAGGCATATTGTGTCAGTCTAGTTGGAGATCCGGAACATCTGCTGACACAGAGGCCACCGGAGACAGATCGTTAGGACGTGGAGAAGGATTGCAACTGTCGTTTGGGCTATGTCTCATTCGCTTAATCACCGTAACGCAAAATGGGCTGTTAATCAGCGTCTTTGTATAAAGGACATCCAATTATGGGAGGGTTCCCGCATACGTCGGGAGAAGCAGCTGTTCCTTGTCTCTAGAGATATCGCGCGGGGAAGTATAGTAAAGAGGACTCACATCCAAGAGAACCCAGATAAGCTTTGTCACTCGTAACGCATAGCCTCCGTTCCTCATGTCCGCGAGACATTGATAGCACATTGGAACAAGCTTTGTTCCTCGAAGCCTGCTGTGCTCCTACAGTCAACTATACAGTCATTCTCGAAATCGCCTTGACCAATGGGGTGGACCTTGCCGAGTTACTGTATCTGCCATTTCGAAGATGAAAAACACGTCATTCATCGATTAACTACTGCGATTTTGAGCTTACATGTAATTGGCTGGTGCTCCCACTCCTTGACCAGCCTCAAGCTCCGGACTGGAGCTTTACTGACTACCGAGTGCTTGTCTAGACTGGAAAGAAGCGCCTGTATAGCCGTTACGATGTAATTTAGGCTGCATTAGGTTAATATATATTCACCAAATTGATTGATTAGATGTTATAGAAACTTCTGTGCCGAGACCAGTCCCCCTTAAAGCTCCCATTAAATCACAAGTTCATGGCCTGTTAAGCTGCTCTCGTCGGTAAAATAGAAGGAAACCAAAGCTGTAACTATTGTTAGTAACACTTTAGAACAAAGAGAGGCAACCAAGACCAACCTAGCTAGGATTTGGAAGAAAAGGGCAATCCAGAACCATGCATTACCAACTCTATCCAGGGATGATCCAACATCCGGAGAGACACCTGCTGGACCAACTTTGTTGGGTGCAAATGCACGGGCACAAATTGTAGCGATGGACCCAAGAGACTGCGCAGCTAATAGGACAAAGCAGACGTGAACCCTTGTTAGCGTCTGCAAGAGAATCATCCCAAGACCCACTTGTTGAATCTCAGCAAGAACACCAAGCCAGAGCCAGAGACATCGTGATACGAGGGCTCCGGAAGTCAGACTCCCAGCCCATGGCAGATAGTAGCCGATGTTAGATACTCCCCACCATGTTTGCGCCCAGCGTGGTGCACCGAGACTTAGACCGAAGACGGGAAGAATCCAACTATGTTCTTTGGACAAGACGCGGAAGATGAATAGTGCAAGAGTCCAAACAAAGATAAAGAAGAAGATCACCAAGATAAGGACCTGCCATGACTTGGCGTGTTGAGAGGACCAAAGGAATGACCAATTTCGACCAAACACCGCGGAGAGGAACCAGTTTTGGATGATGACCATGAAGAAGAACCAGAGGACAATGCGTCGGCGGAACAGCGAAATGTCGAAGAAGGGGGTCTTTCCGGGCGCTTGGCGATAGTATTTTGGCAAGCCGAGAACAAGGAGGACGCCCACAATGAAACAAATTGCAGCAACAGGCATCATCACAGCTGTGAGTTTCCATGTACTTATGGCAGCTTTTGAAATGCCTCCAACTTCCACAGAAGTGACTCTAGAACTCCAAAACCACAAGGCAACAGTATAAAGTTGTTGAATGCCTTGTATAAAACTAGCGCGAAACATCCAATCCTTCACGGGGACAGCCCCTTGGTCACCAAAGTTAAGGGCGAAAAAAGGGAGCCGCTAGATGATGCGGTAGCGTAGACGCCTGCGGCAATGCTCTGTGCCCATGCGCGACCAACAGTCGAGAGGCCGAAGGGTGAAATACCAAGGATGACGAATGCCATGGCGTATATGAACCACGGCACAGTGAGAACTATGACGGACGGGAAGCGGTAAAATAGGAACCACCAAACAATGGAAGAGACACCGTAGACAGCGGCAATAACGTAGAGCTTGACCGCAGTTTCACCGATTTGACCTACCAGAAGGGTGATCTGGGCTGAATTCGTTGCAATGATTTGTCCAAGACCCAAGAACAATGCGTAAACAGGCCAGTTCCCGACACGCCATCGCATGAATCTCTGAATAGCGATAGGTCTCTTGTATCCCAGGCGCGAGAGCCATTGATCGATGTCATGAGATCTATTTGAGTCTGACAGAGCAGAGGCTTGGTTATCCGACGTATCGTTAGAAGCATCATTCAAGCCGGCTTCAATCAGGGTGCCCCGGCGCTCTTTGGGCTGCTTCCTCAACTGCGCGTCGCTATACATATTGAAGAACTTTCTTTCACTTTTCATCAAGTAGGTCTCGATACAGTGATCCGTTATCGAGTTCTTCTTGTTGAGATTGGGGAGTGACTTCTGAAAGTGTTGCGTGAAGTGGCCCATACTGTCAGTAAAGGTTGGGTCCACCTTTTGCAAATTGAAGATGAGTTGGTCGTGATCCTCAAAGACGGAGGGTAAAAGAGAGAACTGATATATTTTTGACGTGGATGTTGGGCTCAGCTTTACCATAGTGGGGATCATCAGCAGGTTCAAATGGTGTTCTCGCCGGAGAAGGATCCCCAGAGACAAAGCACGATGACTTTGGGGTTAATGAGCTGGAGCCACCGCCAGAGTGACTCCTGCCGTCACCGGGGAATGTGCTGATACCCTGGGAGCCGAGAGCCTGACTCACTGCCGCTATCGCCTCCTCGGGAGAGACGTAGTTCTCCGGCGGCATGTTTGTGCTATCTACGCCGATACGAGAATCGACTGGATGTTCAAACATCTGACTCTCGCGCACGGGGTTCTTGGCAAGACGGCTTTTGCTCTGTTCAGGCCTGGGTCGTCGACCGAAGGACATTATGCGACCCAGAATGCTATTCTTATCACCGCCAGCATTCTTCACCTCTTCGAGGTTGGCTGTTTGTAGCTCTAATAGAGGAGGGGGTGATTCTCCTTGTGGCGTATCCAAAACCCCCGCGATAGGCTGGTTCGATACTGCGCGGGGGGCGGTCGAGGAATAAAGTCCCTCCACATTGGAATAGGTCTGAGACTCTCGCACGGAGACAGAGACCCTGTTTTTCTTTTCGGTGTGATGGATGTGGATTGCTGTTCGCTGCAACGTTTCGAGCTTTTCAACCCACTTGAGAACGGGGAACCTTTGCTTGACTGAATTTGCACGCATCTCCTGCCGAATCTCTGGAGATGATCCCAAGGCAGACTCGATGGCAGACTTCAGCTGTAGCAAGAGATGGCGAGTTGAATCTGACTCCACATTATACCACCAGCCAGGCATAAGCCCAAGGCCTCCAATGCGGGAACCGATCCCAAGAGCACCCTTCCGACCGAACTCAACGGCAACCAAACCAAACGGCTCATCCCGAGATGGGATCAAGGCAAAATCGGCACCGGAGAAAACATGGGGAGGGAGCATTGTGAACTCTGGCCTCGAGAAAACACGGCCTGGGTACATTTCCATGACGCGCTCCAGCTTGATAGCAGCCAGTTTGCCATAAAGATCAACAATGGGGCCAACACAGATCACTTGTACCAAAGGATTGGCCGACAAAATTCCAGGTATTACATCCGCAATCAGGTCTATTCCCTTCTGCTTTGACCATCGTCCCACAAAAACTAGCAAGTCGGCGTTAGGCTGCTCGCTCAGTCCAGCCCATTTCTGTGCCTGAAGCTTATCACGGATAAGCTCCGAATCTGATTGAGTCGGAACGTGCACGATGGGATCTTGCTCTAGGGCGGCAGTGTCAGAGGGATCTGGATTGGGAAGACTGCCGATGCTGCTGAGATTCCAGAAGATTGGATACCGAGCCCAAGAGCGCATTCCGTACTTTTGAGATACACCTACTATACCGAAGCCGCGCTGATGGGATCCTAAATAGCTAGCGCCGGCGTGGAGCAGATTGAAGACATTCCCAAATTGGCAGTAATCGGTCGCTATTTCGAGTGGAAGATTGAAGATAGCACATACTTCCTTCTTCTCTTTCTGAGTTCTTAGTGGCCAGAGACCTTGGAATTCGGCATTGTGCAAAGACAGGCAAACTGGGATAGTTCGCGTTGGTAGCAGGTACAGTGGTGCTACGCACCCATGGAAATCATTGATGTGGTATACATCGATAGCGGGTGCTCGCTTCATTGTCTCCGCGATGCACTGATTCCAGGCTGAGTAGTAGATTGCGCTTTCAAGGTCATCCATCCGGGCTGGATATGGCTCCGCTTTAGTCTGTTGTCGGAAAACCGGAGCATCGAGTAGGACATAGGTGATGTTTTCGACGATGTGGTACTGCACTTTCACCAAGTAGCGCTTGCCTAGGATCGTCACCATGAAGGGTTCACCGGGTGTGTCAACCGGGTAATCGATATCACCGACACATGGCACCACCCAGATGAGATTCTGGTGTTTTAGGTTTGAGGACATAAGCTGGGCCATGACTCCTAGGCCACCAATCTTGACTTTAAGATCCCAGTCCTGGATGTCGTACTCCATGGTAGCAATCAGAACTGTGCGTCTGTGGCCGCTAGGTTCTGCAATATCTGTTGGCGCAACCTTTTCTGAAACCAGTTTCACCGCGTCAACCTGCCGGTAAATCTTGTCCTTGACTCTATGCCAAAACAGAACCGGTGGTTTATTGGGCTTGACCACACTTCCATCTTTGTTCAGCTTGACTTGGTAGAACGTTTGAATAAAGATAAAGACACCAGCTAGACCCATTAGGATTGGAATAAGCCAGAGAAGGATGTAGAGCGCGAGCTGGGACCACCCAGATCCAATTGGAATGAGCTCATATCTCAGGTTGCCATCGTTAAGGGAGATTTTGTAGCCAAGACATGGGAATGGAGGCAAGTTGGTGATGTTTATCACGTTAAGCGAGAGGTAAGATGGAGGTAGCTCTAGAATTGTGGACGAGTTTCCCACGTCACCGTAGACCTCCGTGTTGTCCGGAATACCCCTAGGGCCCACACCCCAGACATTTATCTGTCCCACAGCCGGCCAATCATGGACGAAGTCGTAATTCCAGCGTGAAGATTTGACGTCGAATTGCATTTTATTGTCCAGACCCGCGTCGTAACCATACTGATTGAACGGACCGTTGAACCACAAATGAGGGAACCTTCGAGCTGCATTTTCGTTCCAGTTGTAATCACCTTCTTGGATGTAATCGCTGCTTCCAGTGAGCCTCGAAAAGTATTGCACGCGGATGTGCGTTCCTTTCCAGGTCTGCTTGTCTGTTCCGGCGAAAGTGTGAATGGGAACAGTCGTGTTACCGCCCGAATACAGCATCCATTTAGACCAGGTCCTCCCGAAATCAGATGAATGCCGGAAGCTGTCAGCTCCAGCGGCTTTGTGCTGGATGTAAAATTTGCCGTCGGATTTGTGCACTAGGCTGGTAGAGTAATTGGACATGGGGGACACTAGAGGATTGTCCTGAACACCGACGCGGAGCAGAAAGCTGTCGGTCGAATTGGTATAAAAACCAGACGTGGAGACGTTCGCGACGGTTAGTCTATGGATACCGTGATAGACGTTGTTCAGGTTTGCAGTCCATATCCAAGCGGTCGGGATCTCTCCGATAAAATTGTTCCCGGTGGTCCTAGTAGTTATATTGGTGCACTTAACGCTGGATGTATCAAGAGAGGCGACAATGCCTTTCTCCGTCGTGGAATTCAAGGAAATTGCATCAGTAATGCTGTCACAATCCATTGCTTTAGAATATCCAAGCTGGATGGGGATGGTGTCAGCCGCATCCTGTGAAGATAACAACCGAGCATCATGGCCGGGGAGGAACTCGGTGACGCTAGGTCCGGGCTCCATGAAACTGTCGGTTTGCACATAAGCCCGATATTCCCATGGAAGCAACTTCATTCGGCGGACGCATCCATAGGTACTATTATCGGGACCATCTTCCAGGGTGAGCTCATCATAAGGGTAGAAAAGATTTTTCAACTTTGTTCCTGACTCAAATGGAGACAATAAGGCACTAGTCTTGTTACTGCAGCTGCCGCCAAAGGTTTTTGTCGTGTTTCCATTTTGGTACACGAGCCATAGGGTTTGGTTTCCCGAGATTGTGTCTGTCTGGACCCCGGGAAAGTAGCTTCGCAAGACTGACCATAGACCAGTGACAGTGGGAGTGGTGGATGAGCCAGGAAAGTAGATATCTTCCGTGAGTTGGGAGATAGTCTCAAGGTAGAAACCATCGTTTGCAACCGGGTAATGGTTCCGGATCTCGAACATTCGCTTCATGATATTACGAAGTGGATGGGCGGGATTCCGTTGATCATATGTGATGGTGATATCGTTGCAGCCATCGCGTCCCTTCTCGATAGGAAAGTCGTAGAACTTTGTCGTATTCAGGTTGAAGCATCCATTTGTCCACCATGCGGTCTGAGATGACAAAGGCTGCCGGCCGTAGAGATAGTTCGATGCAGTGGCATCCAACACATACATTGCCTGCTCTTCACCCCATAAGATGAGAGGGATCCCCGGAAGCACCAATGTGACAATGTTCAGGCCTAGAAGATACTTTTCTGTGCCATTCTTGATTGATGGCCAACGGAAATTATCCTGGTTAGAGACGCCATACATGTGCCGGGGATCCAGCTCTCCTGTGAATGCATTAAGAAAATCGTTTGTGACAAGCATTGCATTCCAGGCTTCAATGAAATCGGTAGGCAGGTCAAATCCCGCAACAAGGTTACCGTCCATTCCCAAGAAGCGTGTCATTGAACGGTAGATTGTATAGTGAAATGCCGAGGCATCTAGTGCTTGTAACCCATTTTCCCTCATGAAAACTCCATCCGAGGTATTCGTTAGCCTAACACCAGCACCTGTGGAAGATGGGCGCATATTCGGTTGCCGACCGCGGCCAAGGTAGAGGCTGCCAAATGTGTCTCCAGAAGTTATCTCTCCAGGAAGAAAGAAATTGTTTTTGCCGAATTTCTTCGCGCATTCACGGTAGATGGCGGTCATTTCACTCAGAGGTTCGAGCGTCGCTTGGACTGCCTTGTCCAGTCGGAATCCGTCGATATCCAGGCTTGCGATTTGAAGGCAGGAGTGCCGTGTGATGGCGTCGCGGACGGGCTTGTGCCATTCACGTAGGCGATCCTGAACCGAGGCAAACTTTGTGAGCTGACGCTGCCAGTCAGGAAATTTCCCAAATGCCTCGAGCTCTCCGTATTGATCAAAGTCACTATTGTAGCAGCCTTTCAGATCTTCAACCCCACCGGTTGTCAACGGATACCCCGTCTCATGCCAGAATTTGGGATAGTGGCATGTTTCATTCCATTCGTTCCCGAATTTGAAATCGGCATATTGTCTCTGTGAGACCCATTCGGCATTGTATTCGCTTGCTTTGAAGTCGGCAGAGTCGTTAAGGTGGCCTTTGAACCCGATGAGGTTGCTGAGTCTGTATTCTAAGATAAGTTCATAGGTACCTGCGAGATCTGAAGCTCAATTTTGCAGCATTTACTTACGTCGACAGCGTATTGTCCACCAGCACGTACATATTCCGCTTGTGGATTTCCGTGATAGTTCGTCTCCAGTCGTCTAAGTTTCCGTAATGCATGTCGAGAAGGGTGGTATCTGCCGGCGAGTAACCATCGTAAGCCCAAGGCAGATTGATTAGATACGTGCCGGCGAAGTAAATGGCCTATCATGATTAGCCATAGAACCATGTCGAATGCGTGAAAACCAACTTTGAATCCCATTCCGTGGATGTAGTCTAGTGTATCTATCAGGCCTTCGAGGTCCCCGCCGTGACGCATCTGATTAGAGCCCACCACATGCTCGAAAGTGGTACCATTGATATCGTCATTTGTAGGGTCACCATTGGAAATTCGGTCCAGAAAAATGGTATAGATAGGGAAACGCCAGTTGTCTGGTGAAGGATGATACTCATGGTCTGGCCACGCTCCCCAATAATCGGTTGCGGCTTCAGCGGATTTGTTATCGTTGAGATTGTACTCAGCGAGTGATTCATCATAGGGCCAACATGAGGCATAGACGCTCAGAAGCGACAGGAGAAGGTGAGTGGACAGCTGCATCGCCGTATATACTCAGATGTCTAGCAGGGGGCCTGCTGCCAGGCAATTGTGCAACTCAAAGGCCTGAGAAAGATTGAAATAAGGTTGTAAGCGATCTTTACAGAACCCGAGAGCCAAACGAAGGAGTGGGTGATTTTTTCTATTCAGTTCATAAGGTCTAGAGCTCATAAAGTGGCTAGAACACCGGGAAGGGCGCCATCGGGCCGAACGGTTGGATATGTGTAAAAGGCCCTTGACCTCACCGAGACCCGCTCAAAACCAAATCGTCGTAAAGGCCGAAAAATGGGTAGGTAGCGTTACTCTGAACAATTTATCGGACTAACGTTGTTGAAATCCTCGCGAAAGCAATGAGTAGTTGACTAGCGTAATTCACTACCGTGCCACATACGTGAGCGCCGCATTCGAAGATTCCGCCGAAAATCATGTTTATCTTTTACAACGTTACTTTGATGTTCGTAGACTGTGCGAGATGTAAACCATTGACATCTGCTCTCCGTCTGTCTTCGTGTCACCACCGATGGAGCTGAATATTCCTGCGCCTTATATGTAAGTCTGACCGTGTTCTGACCTGGCCAGGGGGATTCTTATGTAACAACCAAACTAGTCCATCCCTCTGGAAAGCGTGACATGTATTAAGAGGCTGATTATGATGGCGATGTTAAAGCGATCTGCCCGATCTACGTAATACACTTTGGCAATATGCTACTTCTTTGCGGACATCCGCGTACCCGCCGACCTTCCCACCCAAAGCGAACACGATATACCTCTGACCCACACACAACCAAGGGTCCTGCCTCACCAAGGGCATACCAAATGTATGCCCTCTTTTATGCAACCATCCAACCATCCGGCTGCCGCTCCTGCGCTGTCTCGAACCAGGGGAGAACAGCTGGTTTGGCACTGCAAGTCTATTAGGCATCAACCTTTCATCCTTCCGAGAATCTTCACTTTTCGTCGCATTCCTCCACGCCCAGAATTGGCCCAGAAGGCCTGTTCAAATCCTAGATTCAGCCACGTCAGGGTGTTGTCCTACAGGACCTCGATTCTCTGGTTGGAAGGAGTACTTTCATCGTGTCGCGCTCGTCATCGTGCAACGGGCACTCGATCAGGACAAGAGTTGACGTCAACTCGAGTCGGTTGATACGGTGCACGTACGCATCATGGTATATGGTCTATCCACATTTTTCATTTATTTGTAATTAGTGACCTGAATCCATATATACTGCGAGTAATACGACTAATAAAAGGCAGGATTGCCATCAAATTCATCGCCCATCCGAAACGAGGTTCTAACATGGGCAGTGAGTGTGCCGCCAGGCCTGTTAGAACACCTGACTTTCTGCTTCTCAGGCAAAATTCAGGCACTAAGCCCATGGGGGTCCTGGACTCCTTTATTGAATTAACGTGGCTTTGTGGCTGGTACATGAACGCAACCTCGTTCAGTATCCAAGGGTCAATTCTTGGGGTACCTGTTCCACAATGATTAACGTTAGTCACTGGGTAAGACTTTAGGTCAATTCACCTGATGCGGAGGTCATGTGTTATCGAAGTGTCGGCTATCATGCCCGTCTTATCGACTGGCTCGGCACAGATCCGGAGTAGATCTACCGTTCCGTGGAGTCCCCGACTCCCTTGCTTGTCAACCATGCAATCAACCCTTTAGATTCCGTGGCCTCAGATTTTACGGCCCCTAGCAGGCCCCACTTAGGCACACGATAAGGCGCTTGAATTTCCCGGCCAATAAAAGCATTTTGGGGGAAGTGGCATCCGGCTCAAATCTAGTGGTCAGTCCCTGCGATAAGCACCTGTATATGGTCACTGTGACCTTATGACTACGACTACTCAGGAGGCGATGACCTATGAGCGTAGCAATAACCTAACATCATTGATTCTTCCGCGCTTTGTGAATTACAAATCCGATGCCAGCGCTAAGCCCAATGCGGAAAAGAATTTCATAACACAGCAAATATCAACCTTCCGGAAACGGCGCAGAGTTCAGGAACAGCAAGCGAAGCAGTCACGTAATCCCAACGTGCACATGCCTTGCCGTGATGCATATCTACTGAATCATGAACCTCTGATACGCTACGCACGGAATGGCAGAGACGGGGGCGAATGGGTATCTTGTTGGCAGCATGGCCCATTCATAATTGAGCCTCTTCTTTTTACGCACACACACATCCGTGTTGATTAGAATTTTTTTCTCTCGCATCGTTTGCTTTAGAGCATTTCAACTCATTTCTCGATAACAATATGAACCATATAACAGTCGAGAAATATACCTAGACGAGTAGAACTTGACAGGATATACTCTGCAATACAGTAGCCCAGAGTGGACAATTGTGACTATCTGGCAAGGTTAACTTAATGAGTACCAGGTATTCACCATTCGTAATCTGTACAATCCTACCAGCAATTGCCTCATAATCTATAGCTGCTTTCACGCCACCGAAGTTTCAGCTATTAATTACTTAATATTCCATTACTGCCTTAGTTTTCAATTTTTTTCAATCGCAAGGATCGCCTTAGCAGTGTCACAGAATGTCTGCGCTGCAGGCCTTCCACTGGCTAGATCTGGAAGCCGCCCCCAGAATCCGCGCTTTTCAGGCCATCATGTGGTAAGATTGCCCACGAGCCGCCCAGGTGCCACCTTATGCGGGCAAGTATTGAGGGTCTCACCTGTTCTTTCAACCCCTGCCACCATTTGATTGCCTCTGTAGTGTATTTTAGCGCATAGCCCCTAATATTTTAGTTTTTTTGGTGCATCTTGCCTTCGCCGTTCACTACCAGTTCTTTCCATCCTGTATCGTAGAACCATCGTCTAAAGGGATCTACGGAGTTTTCTCTCACTACTATTTTTCGACTCCGGCTACCACGATTGAAGGCCCGATTCGCTCTCACCATGCACATTCCTCGGGCTGGTTGCTCACTGCCTGCATGGGAACCATAATCAACGCTTCCGGCGTGCTAGTAGCGGACCTAACTTTCCCGCACAACGAAACATATGCGCCCACCAAAAAGTTGCCTGTTGTCTTTGCTTTCCAGAGTTTCGAGCGCTCGAGGTACCTGAACCCCAAAATTACTTACACCATGTGGGATTTGGATGAGAAGAACGAATCCCTGACTCCGTACCATGATTTCCATGGTTCCAATTGGGCAAACTAGACCGACCAGGTCCCCTACCTTGCATACGAGTACTTCGGCATTTTCAAAAAAGAGTGTCGGTGGAGAGTGAGCTGGACCATGCCCTGGCAGAGTTGCGACGAGGACGCCTCTGAAAACCAACCTGTCAGCGCCTATAATATGATCCGCAACATTTCGACTTAGGCAATTTCGTTCACCACACAGAGTCTTCGCCTCCAAGGTGGATCTCAGTGCTGCTACAGCCAACAAGACATGCCCCGGGCAATACGGCGTGGCAATCCATGTGTCAGACAAAACTCTGCAGGTCACCATGGAGGTATCATGGTCTGGCGGTCGCTACTCCAATGCACATGCGCAGTGGTGGCGACCTTCTGTCCTACCCCTACACCGGATCCTTGTCGAGTCCATATTGACAAGACCACTGTCGCAAGCATGGAGGCCTCTTTGTATGCCTGCTACTGTCGCAACATAGACCCACCATCCGATTGCCCGGATAAGAAGAGTACCACACACAACTGGCTGTGGCTGCCGTACCCTGCTTGCTAGCTACATTTAAGGCGTTAGGGGGTTTCTTACGTGACCATGTTCCTACATTAGTCCTCTGATATTTGCTGTCATACTCCTGCTATAAGAGCTTGGCTTTTTGAGTACGAGCTTCTGTCTCTTGTGTATATACCTAGTATGTGATGTAGACTCTTACCTGGGTGTTTTTCCCAACATGCAATCCACTTGACGCCCGTTAACGTGGGAGCAGGTAAGCCGTTATCTGTAGTGTATGCGGGTAGACTGATTGTATCACCGTTGCAAGAAAAATTGTCTCTTGCACTGATTTTGTGAGGACTGAAATCGCCAGCGAGATAGTGAGTGCGAATCAACTCATGTGCTATGTCCTCTAAGTTAACTCATTTCGAAGCTCGGTGTCCACAGAATAAAGAGATTTAAGAAGCAGTCAAGAAACAGTCAAGAAGCAGTCGTTCCGTGAGAAAATGACAGGCAAATAGCAGGACTCGCCCAGGCATTCAAAAAGGTAATACTCCGGCGGTAGGCGTCCCAAAAACTCACATCATTTACCCGATCATCACCCCCAAGAATGTTTTCCTTGGTTGGTTTGAGTCAAAGATGCATGGTAACATCTGTGCGTGTTTCTTGTAGATACCATGTCTGTGGCGCTATGCTATGAACCTTCAAAGGCGCCACCATCTCATGAACAGCGCCATGGGCGGCCGGAACCTCGGCAGAGGCGCATTCTAGCCCCGGGTACATCGCGCACTTTTAGCCGCCTTCGGTAAAAGACATAAGTGTTGTGCTACTAATGTTAACATTGCCCGACGTACTTTACCTACACATTCAGAGTTGTGTTTATGCTTAAACTTAACTCAAGATGATTTTACGGCAACAGACGGGCTCGTCGGTCCAGGGGAACGGCTACGGGCTTCTTGTGCTCGCCGACTGTGTTCTTCAAGCCACGTTCTAGTGGAGGAAATTGAATGTATCTCTATCGGACGTAGGCTACATGCCGATGCTGCAGTGTGAATCTAGACAGCTTACTCTGTACAAAACGCTAAGGGACAGACAGATAGCTGTTGTCGGCATTTACCGCCAATCATACCCCCTGGAGGGGTTAATTGATGATCGAAATGCGACCAAAATCTATGGAGTTCTAGGAACCTTCACCTTCAAGGGATCGTTTCCGAGTATGGCAATAGGGTATAATCATAGACCGATGATAGAACGGCACTTCGAGGGGGAGAAGTGGAGGCAATGTTGTCGAGAGCTGGGTCACGTGATCCAGATACAACTGAGCATTAGATAGCCAGAGAACTCGCGTACCGAGTCTCCCTCTTTCCCCGTCCATCGTCTACCAATGCGTTGACATCTACTGCTTCCTGTCCTATGATTTAGACCTTACCTATTGTCAAGAAATGTTGCCTTCATTCCAACGTAGCTAGGTAGCACCTAATACCGCGGCTTGGCTATAACTTAATCTATAAATTTGAGGCTAGACTCTAGTGAAGCTTGGTAGAAATGTATGGAAGCCTAACATGGAGTGCTGATATTCTCCCCTTTGACACATCTTGAGAACATCCCCACTTTATATGGATGACGTCGGTATGCCGATCCAAGACGGCCCAACCTCGCATGTACAGTAGGGATGGGCAAGCGCAAGCAGGCAAAAAGTAAGTCATACCGGAATAAGCCAGATCTCACGGGGACATTCGCTTAGAGAAGTGAAACATGAGATATTCCCGGGTAAATAGGCCACTCGGTTAATATAACTTCACCCGACAAATGCCCCGACTGGCTCTCCGTCAACCCCGACCCGCCAATGACGCTGCGTCCATCCCCGACTTTGGCTCCCCGGGATTTCTGCTCTCCGCATTTCCCTTCCCCGTTGATCTTTTCCCGTCCGGGGTTAAACACCCGGTCCCGGAGTCGTGCCATGCAATGGACCCTTCGCGTAGCTCGCATTGGCCGTCCGCCACTTATAAAAACGCCTTGCCGCAAGCCTCAAAGACTACAACCTCTATGGGCTAACAACCATGTACACTATAACGAATATATACGGTAAGTACAGTTAAATTGATGGACAATAGCAAAGCCTAACGTGCCACAGTCCTTGCCGCATTTGGTACCATTGGAGGCGCTCTTTTTGGCTTCGATGTGAGGTGCGTTTTCATATTTTCAGTCACAATGACAAGAAATTAACATGACTTCTAGCTCGATGAGCGCCTGGATTGGCGTTGATACGTATATGGACTATTTTGGCGCGCCAAACTCCGACCTCCAAGGAGGAGTACGTGATCCCTGTACTCAGTCTGGCCCAGAGGCTAACATTGTCCACTAGATTACAGCTTCCATGTCTGCCGGTTCCTTCGCTGGCTCGATCGCAGCCGGGTGGCTGTCCGATATCCTTGGGCGTCGCTATGCGTTGATGATTGCTTCTCTGGTTTGGATTGTTGGAGCGATGGTGCAGTGCAGCGCACAGAACGTAACACATTTGGTCGCTGGCCGCGTTGTCAGTGGACTCGCTGTCGGTGTTACCTCCTCCCAGGTCTGTGTCTACTTGTCTGAACTCGCGCCCGCTCGCATTCGTGGCCGCATCGTGGGTATCCAGCAATGGGCAATCGAATGGGGTATTTTGATCATGTACTTGATCGCATATGGCTGTGTTGTGGGTGTATCCGGACCTGCTGCGTTCCGTATCTGCTGGGGTGTGCAGGCTGTTCCGGGTCTTATCCTTTTCATTGCGCTGTTCTTTTTCCCCGAGTCTCCTCGCTGGCTCGCTTCCAGGGAACGCTGGGAAGAGGCTTTGGAGACCTTGGCACTCCTGCATGCCAATGGTGACCGCCATGATCCTGTTGTACAGGTTGAATTCGAAGAGGTCCAAGAAGCCGTTCGAGTAGCACATGAAGCTCAAGATGTCTCCTTCCTGGCCTTGTTCGGACCGCGAATTTGGAAGCGCACCATGTGTGGAATGACTGTTCAGATGTGGCAGCAGCTTTTGGGTGGCAATGTTGCCATGTACTATGTGGTCTACATTTTCCAGATGGCTGGCATGGTGAGTCTCGCCAACAGTGATGCGCGAACAACCTCGCTGACTATCAACTGCAGACCGGCAACACAACTTTATGGTCATCGGCTATCCAATACGTCATTTTCTTGGTGACCACTGGTGTTATGCTCCCCTACATTGATCGTGTTGGTCGAAGGAACCTACTTCTCATTGGATCTGTGACATGTATGATAGTCCATTTCATCATTGCTGGTGTTATGGCCAGCAAAGGAAAACCGGTTTCCAATGTAAATGGAAATGCCAATTTGACTTGGGAGATCAAGGGCAGTGCTGGCATGGCTGTCATCGCATTTTCATATATCTTCACAGGCATCTACGGCTTGACTTGGGTATGCCATTTCCTTGTCTTGATTGCAAGTCCTTACTGACAGCTACAGGCTCCCACAGCGTGGATCTATGCAGCAGAGGTCTTCCCACTGAAGTACCGAGCCAAGGGCGTCGGTGTCTCAGCTGCAACCAACTGGATCTTCAACTTTGCCCTTGCATACTTCGTGGCACCAGCCTTCCACAACATCCAGTGGAAGACTTACATCATTTTCGGAGTTTTCTGTACAGTCATGACGTTCCACGTGTTCTTCATGTACCCTGAAACTGTGGGTCGTTCGCTTGAAGAAATTGACATGGTTTTCGAGACCGATGTCAAGCCATGGCACACTCACAAAATCGAGGATGTATTTGGTGAGGAAATTGAGCGCCACAAGGATGTGAGTGCCAAGAAGGAGGGTGGTGGTGCCAGCCATGAGGAGGTGGTGTAAATAGACATTGAGAGGGAGCTGATTCCCTAGGGAAGCATAAGAAAGTCCTGAGGCGTTTGCAAGTATTTATGAATCAATGAGATGCAATACAAGATTTTAGCATAATATAAATAATTCAATCGGACTGTATGGCTCGGCCCTTCAGGACAAAGAATATAAGCAAGAATTCAGCCAGCCCAAAACTGGGGACACAGCAATGTCGAAAGTTTACATTACTTCTCCCCACCCTTTCCACTCCGACAAAATATCATCCCAGAATATAAGACATGAGGACTTTTATGGACCGTTGCCTCATCAACCAGGATACAGAACCGGAAGAGCTACTGGACCCCCGGGAAGTGGAAACGAAACGGCTGAGAATCACGAACGGGCGGAGGATATTTACCACCATTCGGAACAGCGGAGGTTTATCCAGGCCTATACCCCGAGTCATATACAACGCGAAATCCTCAACATCGCCTACTCCGCCTACGATACTGGCATCCTTTGTGGTCCTCACTTTCTTTTTCCTTTTTTGTTCCCGGCATTCCTCTTGCAGCCATTTCAACGCCATTGTTCGGCGCTCCTTTCGCGTCTCTTCAGTTTCTGTTCAGACACATGGATCACTTCGAGATCTACATTGCGGCTGTGCTTCAAGACTTAACAGCTTGCTTAAGCACTAGGCAAATTTTGGGAGGCTAAAAGCCAGGGGT